CACATTAATTTGTTTGCTTGTTTAGCATTTGCGTCCGTTTCGACGACCCACTTCTTATAACTCTAGTGGGAAAACGTTAATTCGCCCAGAAATGAATTCTTTATCATTTAAAACAAATTATTTCTAATTTCTTGATTATTCAAAACTTTTATTTTGTATCAAATGGAATTATTTTCTTTTCAATATACAAAAAAAAAGTCTAATTTTAGGCTTTTTTCTCAATTTTAATTACTTTTCAGAAAAAAGTTCCGATGAGTGCAATTATTAAAGATTCACTTCTTCTTGCAGATGTTTTGTATTCGCGCTCTTTTGATTAACACACGCGTCGCGTGTTGTGAAAAATTGATCAAGGCGCGCGTTGGCGAGTCTTTTGGGGCGCGGAACGCACGTCAAAGTTTGCTCCTCAGAGCAAGGAATTATCAGCGATAATTCTCGGCGCCGTGTAAACACGCGGCGGCAATTTCATGCAAATTCTGCAGCACCAGATGTTTCTAATAGACTCTAATTCCCATCCCTGCGCAGCCAGAGACACACACGCACTAATGGTTCTCGTCGCGCGCCACAAGAAAAGGTAAACAAAATTAACGACGAGAGCAAAGAGCCTGGAAACGCTTTTTCTAAATACGGGATTTAACGAGACAGATGCTTGCAATTTGTTGATCCGCTTTTTTAATCTCTGCGCAAATAAAATGAGAATTTTCAAATTAATTTAATATTATTGTAAAAAATTGTGGCAAACTTTTAAAAATTTTCAACTGATTGGCAGAAATTTGATTGATATATTTTATTTCAAATTTTTTTTTTTCAATTACAATCATTATGGCAAATTCTAATTTCCAAATCGTTCGGATCGATCAAATCTGTCGCAACCGTTTCACGTCACGAGTTGACAGACGCAGAAATAAAATATGAAGACGCACGCGGCTGCTGAATTATTTAGCGCCGAAGAAAAGACGACACACGGAATTATGCATTCTCGCATGCAATGCACACAAGAAAGGGCCATAAATATGCAGATTCATCGATCGGCCGTCGACGCACGCGGCACCAAAAACTCGCACACAATAAGACTCTTCTCAAATCTGCAAAGTGGCCTCAATCGCGATTTCAACCGTCAAATTTTTTATTAATAATTAAAATGATTACGTAATTTATTCAATTTTAAAGATATTATATTTAAATCACCATAAATTTGTGAGAAATATAAATAATAAAATTATTTTTATTTTTTTACAAATTATGTTCAGATTATTTAGAATTGCACAGTGAAATGTTTTTTTTTTACCACTTGAATAAGATTTTTTATATTTAAATGCAAAATAATTTCCACTTGACGCGTTGTTGTTGCAAAAAAAGCTGATGAGCTTTAAATTTGAGCGAACGAGTGGTTCGGAAAAATTCCGCCGCAAATTATAGGCTTGCGTAAAAAATGGAAGCAAAGCCCCGCGTTTGAGCTCAAAAGCCTCTCCGCGCACAATCGACGCATTTGCATTTTATTTTTTTTTGCAGACCCCTTTTTTCGAGCACAACTTTGGCCGAGAACGTGTTCTGCATTTTCCTCAAATGTGGTCATTTTTTTTCACTCTTGGCCTTAAAAGTTGCGCCGCCACTCACTTCTTGTCCGACTTTGAAAACAAATACGGGCACCAGAGGAAAACTAATTTCAATTTGGCCGGACGGACGCGAAAGAAAAACGACGAGCCGAGGAAATTAACTTTGCCGCGGCCCGACGAGCACTTCAAAAGAGAGCCGCGCACTTTCATTTGGATTTTCTGCCAAAAGAGAACTTGACGCTTCTTTGCTCTGTAAGAGAAATTTGGGGAAATGTTTTATCTGCAGTTAAGGAACCTGTTTGAAAAAGGTTCAGACATATTAATTTTTCATTTTAATTGTTTTTGAAAAAGATATGTAAGTAAATCTACAAATCTATAATCGAGCATTATCATGTTTTTGAAAGGGCATCATTATGGAAAAATGGGTTTCACAAATCTTAGAATATGCAAAAGTATGTAGGAAAATTTAAAGTGAAAATTATGCTCTTTAAAATACGTAAAATTGAATGAATAAAATTTAACCGGACTAAAAGTCAAGTTTTGTATTAAAATTATAGATTACTTTTTCCTTCATTAATAATATTTAATATTCGCAATATAAAAGAACCTAAATTGTGGTTTCAATTTCCTATTTCGAGCTTCATATAATAACACCAAAGGAAAATTTTCAATTGCAGGCCAAGTATTAATTTCAACCCAATAAGTCTTGAAACTTTGTGAATTTCTACAAAATTAATGAACTTGCAAAAATTATTTTTTATTTTTTGAGGAAAACTTTGTTGGGAGAAATTTGATAACACGTCCAAGTAGGAAGACCTGCTTTTTCATGCGAATAAACGCAGAGACTTTGCAAGTTCCACGGCAGCTCTATTAAACTTTGTCATGCTGCGCAAGGAAAATCTCAAGAATTTTCATCTCTCTTCGCACATCTTCCGCTGACATATTTTTTTAGGTGAAAAATTGAGAAGAAGATTTTTGCTTAAAATATCAAGAATGAATTAAATTCAATGGGAGGTTATTTGAGAGGAAAAAGGGAGAAAAATGAATTTTCAATTAAGCCAGAGAAGACGCGATTATTTTGGCCTTTAAATTCGCATTTTGCCCGAGGGGGTGGCGAAGAGGAGGAAAGCAAGGAGCTTATTTACCAAGGGTCGCTTTTGTCCGCAGTCTTTGTTACGCTCTCAACTATTCTTCCCAACATTCATGGGGCAAAGTAAGCAAGTTCAAATGTTTGCAAATTTAAATATTTACAGAGGATTCTAGAGGCAATTTCTTCAACATTTCCAAAGAGAGATTTAAAATTTCTTCAAAATCGATTCTGACAAATATATTTGTAAATTGCGTCCTGTTCATTCAAAATATGCGAGACTAATTTGATCTCTTTGAAATTTTTCATAAATTGATAAAAATAAATGGATTATTTTGAATTTTTTGTAACTAATTTTTTAAATACTTTTTTTGCAGAACCTTATTTTGTAATATAGAATAAAATGCACATTTTTTTTATTTAAATTTTTGGCAAAATTGATGTAAATAAATGAGATATTTCTATGTATTTCTGGCTAATTTTGGCTTTTCTTGGCAGATTTTTATTCGGAACGTTTCCATTGGAAAGGAGCATTTTATATTTGCGTGATCTGTGAGGGTTGCACGCCTACTTTGGTTCTTCTTCTCTTGAATTCGCGCCCGCAATCGTTACATTGTTTCATTGTGTGAGAACGAGCGCAGCATCTCGGCGCTTTATTTCGCAGTATCGTCGATCGTTTCCTATTATTGGAAATTGATTTTCGCCGATTCGCATCCCCTGCGCCTGCATGTGCGTGCGGGTGGGTCTTTCCTCTCCAAGGGCAGCGACCCAAAGAGCGAACGAAACGGCGGCGGCGGCGGAGCAATAATTCTGTCAAGTGCCCAACAAAAGGAGCAGCAAATTCCTAAGCTCAAGTTTTGGGCCGCCTTGCTCTGATTTAAAGATCTCCTGTTTCTTTCCTGGTTGCTTTACAGATTAAAATATTAAAATTTAATGCATGTTTTTCTTATAAAAATTAATTTACAATTAACAAAAAAACAGGAATTTTGACAGAAAATTTTAATAATTTGTTATTTTTTTTTTCAAATTTGAAGACAATTAATTTAAGCTTAGTTGAAGATGACCCAAAGAATTAAAAATATGTGGGTGAGAAACTGAATTTAATTGAAATATATCAAAATAGCTTTGAATAATAATAAAATTAATCAATAATCTTCAATAAAAATGAGAAAGTAAAGATAAAAAATTGCTATTCCTCGCCCTATATCATGGATTACTTTTAATTTCATATTCATTTCAAGACTTTTCATATGTACAAAGTTAACTCCAATAAAATGCCACCAGAGAGATTAACTTCTGAGCGAGTCATTGGCAGTCAAATCAATCGCCCGCGCGTCAATAAATTCCAAAAGTGGCGACCTTAATTGACAATAATTGTCCTCGGAAGTGATTGAGAAGCTAATCCATTCGAGAGAGGAGGCAACAATTAAATAACTAATGACGAAATCAATCACCTGCAAATGAGCAAGAAGTGCAAATTATTACTGCAGCGATTGATGCGTGATGTGAGCACACAAGAGATCCATACTCGATATAATTGACCTGAGAGCGAATTAGAGCATCAACTCTCTCATGCCATTCCACTTAATCTCCTCTTTGACATTTGCCCGGAGAAGCATTGAAATCAATCATATTTTATTTGTAATTAATTAAAGAAAAAAACTGAATTATAATTTATGTCAAAATATTTTGAAAAAAAAGACACGTTTGAATCAACTAATGGGCACAAAATGAATGAATATTTGTTGCGAAACGCGAAACCCACACGAGTGAAGTGTCAAAATAATCATTTCACACACATTCCAATTAATAACAAATAAATGTATAAAGAGAGGAGACTGTGAGCACAGGATGTGCATTCTCGAGTGCTCTTTTGTGGGTATTAAAATAAACGCGACCGAGTGGGGTTCTTAAAACTTGAACGAACATAACACCCGATAGCCTCTTTTGATCCGCGCTGACAAAGAAAAAAATAAATTTCTTTACATAACCGCCCCTTCGAAATGAACGATTCTTCCTCTCGTAAATTTTTTGTCACATCCTTCGATAGAAAACTGGTTTGTTATTTTCCAATTCGTCTGTTCCTCGCAGCCTATAAAATATTTTCTTTTTCTGGAATTTATGCAATAATTTTTATCAAGGTCAAAGATTTTGTTGGCAAATTTTTGGAGTTGATTTAGTTTTTGACAAACACGTCAGCAATGTTTATTTTTAGGTAAAATATGTTTCTTGGTCAAACAGATATTGAAAATAAAATTAATTTTTGATCATTTTTTCTGAATATACCAAAAATTTTGAAAAAAAAAGATACGGAACTTGGAATTAATAAAAATAAATCGGTGTTTATTGTTTGCTCTCACCTTTTGTCCTTCCTGGAGCTCTTCTTCTTCTTGAAGGCCTTCTTGACCCTGAGCAGGAGGAAGGCGGCCCTATCCATGGACAAACCACTCTGCTTGCCCTTGTCGTCATTGGAACTCATATCACTCGCGGTCCGCCTTGGGCACCGACCGAATCGTGATGGGCGCCGACGGTCGACTGACTGACACTGCGGCGGCGGCGGCGGCGGCGGCGGCCACACGAGCCACGCCGCCCCACCGCGCACACACCCCCCGCGCCGCCAACTCGCAGCCAACTCGACGCACTGACAAGAGCAACACCCAATTTTTCGTTTCACCGCATTTTGCAACAAGCAAATGTGCGCAAATATTTGGTACTTTTTCACAATAATTATTAACCTCAGATTGTTGATCACGTTTTTCTCTTAATTACATAAAAACTAAATTCATGAATATATCCAAAAAATGAACGTTCTATCATTTTTCATAATTTTTTATGGTTTAATTTCTCCAAATCGAGCTAATTTCAATGATATAATTAGGTTTTTATTGAAAACTCACTTGATTATAGAATCAACTTAAAAAATGTAATTTCTCAAATGATTTCAACTTTTTTTTAACTATAAATGATTTACAGAGAAAGAATTAAAAAATATTGTTTTCAATAGTTTGGATCAAATCCCCATTAGACTAGGCCATTTGAAATACGTATATCATGCAAGTCAATAGGCTCAATAGAATAAAATTTAATGTAAATTAAATGCATCGCCAAAACTTTGATAGACAATATTACAACTAAACAAAATAAATATAATAATTATTTATTTATTCCCCACTCAAATACAATATGAAATACACAACATCTTACATAAAGTCAATACACACAAAAATTAAATGAACCTAATTATTTAAAATTATTGACATCATTATTATATTATAATTTAAAATCTCATTTTGCTCTTAACAAGTTGATTTATAAATATTTAGTACGAAATTTCATAGAGAAACCAGAATAAATTATTAGCTCCATTACATTTTCCGCATCCTCTTGAGTGTGGTTCTCTCAAGGAACAAAATTTAATTTTCCATTTTACATCAACATACAATTATATATATATATATATATAAAAAAAATCATTTTAAAAAGATTTTTTTTTTTAAATTCATCAATTTATTAGTTTTCATTTATTATGTTTTGAACTCTTTAAATACATTACTTAGTTTATACTTTCATTAAAATGGTTAGAATTCCAGACGGCAAAATAGGAATTCTCACGCTTATCAGTGGAAAAGACCAGAAAAGACTGCAAGAATTAAGTGGCGCCCGAGCAGCGATGGAGCATCGGAAAATCATAAATAATTTAATTATCCATTCGGATGGAATTCTCTTAAAAAAGGGCGCGAGAATTGAATCTTTGAACCCAAAGAAGAATAATTTAAAATTGAATTTGAATTGGAATTAAACAAACTAAAGAAGTGGCTGCGCGCCAGGCCTCCTTCCCGCGTTTCGCTTTGATTTGAACGAAACAAAACAAAAGAGCATCGCGCATAAACAAGATCGACAGCCGGCATCAGGCAGTAAACTTTGATTTTTGCCAATATCGGACGATTTTGCCCCTGATTTTCGACCGTCTGTGACCGCATCAGCACAAAATCCTTTTTCATTTTCATTAAAGTAGAATTTAAGCTGCTCAAATCGCGTCAACTCATCACTTTGGTCGATTCTGTCGAGTCGGAACAACACTTCTTTTTTGGCCCTTGGCGATTTTCCTTCAAGGTATGTATAATTTTGTGTTTTTAAATTCGTGCTTTAATAAACGGTTTTTAATTGTGCCAGGTTTCGGTGAAGAATGCTGACCGAAATGGAGCGGATGAACCACTTGAACGTGTCCATGAACACGTCCGTCCAGCAGAAGGTGCCGCCGTCGGCGTCTCGCCTGTGGAAGAAAATCGGCCACTCGTCCGGCAAGAAAGTCAACAAGGTGCGATTCGTGCCGTCCAAGACCAGGCACGACAACGACGTTGGTTTGTTCGTCACGGCAACTTACCAAGAAGACGTATGTGAATTAACTAAATCAACTGTCCATTTTAAATGCTAATTTGTTTAAATTTTCAGGAAAATGAGTTGTCCCTGTGGACTGTCGACCCCATGGCAAGGTTCGAGCAGAATGAGCAGGGCTGTGTCCAGAAAATCAGTCCGACTGGCACGCTCAAGTGCAAATTTGACTGCATGGACTTGAAGGTATGTAATTTTAAGAGAAAAGTTAAAAGAATTAATGTGATTTTTGTTTTGTCGAAAAGGTCAGTGACGGGGGTCGAGTGTTCGTGTGCTGGAAAAACGGCTCCTTCGGAATGTACACAATGTACCCTTCTCTGGAGCTCAACTACACCTGGGAAAACTTGCACCAAATGTATATAAAACTAATTAGCATTTCCACGGTTGGATAAATCAAGTCTTTTGTGTAGTCCGAGGCAAATTTTCTGCGCTTGCCGAGGCGTGGATTTCATGGGCGAGGACGTGGTGACCATCGGCGACGATGGCAAGTTGATTTTGCTCAACAGCTACAGTGCCCACCAGCAACCAGTCAGAATTATTGGTAAGGAATTTTTCAGAATTTTAATTCGTAAATGAAATGAAATTTGAAATTGCAGAGGCGAGCAGTGGTGCGCTGAGCAGCGTGTGCTTCATCAAGCACAACGAGGTTCTTTGCGGAAACTCGAGAGGCCAAATCTCGTGCTGGGACCTTCGGAAACCGGCAGCCCAGCCTGGCAACACCCTCTGCCTCTCAAGATTGAGGGGTGAAAAGACAGTTCATGTAAATTCAAAAGACAAAAAAATTAAATTTCCAAACTTCATCTTGAAATAAAAATTTAATATTTGTTTAGCCCGTGGCGAACAGTCTGGCCAAGCACCCGACTCGAACTCACCTTCTCCTGAGTGGAGGCAGCGACGGGTGCGTCTCTCTCTGGGATTTGAGGAACACAAAGTTCCCTGTCGAGTTCAACCAAATCCATTCCGGCCCAGGTATATAATTTATTGATTTCAAATCGATTGACAGAGTTTTAAAAGAGGAATTTTACAGTTCTGGAAGCGCATTTCCACCCCGAGATGCAGGAGCACATTGCGAGCTGCTCCGCAAGTGGAGAGGCCTTTCTGTGGGACTGCTCCCTGCCTTTGAATCCGTTGGCTCTGAACTCGAGTAGTGGTAAATTTTATTTTATGGAAAATTACTCGAGTCATTTATATTTTAAATCAGTTCTAGAACAAGATGCGTGGAGTTCTGTTGGAAGGGCCTACGCGCCTCAGGTCTCAAACCTGATGCCCAAAATTCCGGCCATGGCCGTCACATCCTTGGCCCTGAGCCACAACATGATCGTCTGCAGCAAAGACCCTGGATTCGTTTCTGTTTTCAAGAAGTCCTTCAAGTGAAGCGCAAGTAGGACACAATTTGACATGTGGAAGGAAACCACAAAATTTTATTTTGACCATAAATAAACAAGCCAACTTTGTGAGTGAAAATACTCATCGTTTTCACTACAAAAACTGAACTTTGCTCTCTCAGTATGGTGCTTTTAAATTATTGTAAATAGATAGCTTTCTCATTCAATTATACAATTTCTTCGGCGACTGAAAACCCTTTTTTTTTGTAATTTGCGTTTGATTAACAAATTGATCAATTAACATTAGGACCGTTAAAACATTAATTCAAAAGTTAGTCCGACAAAATCAAAGCAGCACTGAGACTGGGAGTTTCAAAAATGCATATAATATTCATTTTTGCAGGATTAATTTAGTTTTAAGCAACGCTTTCCAAAGTGGAAATCAATTCACACAATGGAAACAAGGGTTGATTGTGTTCTTGTTGAATTAAAAGAAATTCAACATCTTTGAAATGAAAAGAACAAAGTAACACTTTTATTTGTCATCTCTCAGTTGATGGTGCGGTTGTTGGCGCTGGCCGAGGCGCCGCTCTGCCTCAGGTTCTCAATTTGGCGCCGCATGTCCTCGCAGCTGCCGCTCAGGGTGGCGACCTGCCGGTCCGCGGCCTCCTTCTGCTGCCCCACCAGCCGGACCATGGCCTCCAACTGCTGCACCCTCAGCTCCTGCTGCTTCACCTTTTTTCAGAAAAAAAGAATTTAGGGGAAGGTGGGACATTTTTAAAGAAGCAAAAACCATTTTGTTGAACCACTGCTGAATGTTGGGGTCGATGCCCAGGGCGAGGTGGGCGTTGGCCGCGTCCTGCAGGGCGGCCAGGCGGCCGTGGGCCTCGCTGAGGCGCAGCTCGGCGTCGGCGAGTTCCTGCTCGATGGCCGCTTGCTCGGCGCGCAGGGCCTGGTCCAGCTGCTCGAATCTCTGCTCGAAGTTTGCCAGACGACGCACGTGCGCCTCCCGCGCCTCCTCCGCCTCTCGCAGCTGCAAAATTTTGATTTCATTTTTATCGAAGCAGCAAAAATTTAACTGCCCAAATCTGAAGCTTGAGATTTTCAATAATATTTCAGTACAATTTGGAATTTAAAACCAACCTCGAGGGTGACGACGTCAGTGAGCTCATGGAGGCTCGCCGCTCTGGCCCGCTGCTGCGTCTCCACCATGCTTTCCTTCAGGCATTGGTCGACGTAGAAGCGGTCCTCGTCTAAGATCAGGGCGAGTCCTCTATGCTCTTCAAGAATTTCATCGCAGGACCTGGGCTCTCGGAACAAAATCACGCTGACCATCAAAAGAAACATGGCAACGGGTATTAACTCCAATATACACTTGACTAATTTTATCACAATGCTTATTCCGAAGCAAGTAATCAGAGCTATTGAGCATAACACGTAAATCAAGGTGCGGAAAAATTCGTTCATTTTCAAAAGCTGGAGATTCAGAGAACGAATTTTTGACAAGTAACGGCAACAATGGGAATTTTCGGATTTGAATGAAATGGATAATTCAACAATCAAAACTGATTGAGGAGGGGCTTCTGATTATTGTTTTGTTCAGAAAATTTCAAAATAAATACTGTTCTGCCCAAAAATAATAAGATATTTCAATAACAGAAAATCAAATTTTCCCTCTCTTCTCTATAATTACTCTACTTGATAGGGTCACTGCGCTTTTTCCCAAGGTACCCTTTTTTCTGCCGGACCGGCCTGGAAAGAGAAAAATCGAATAGAGCCCGTTTCGACGCTAGACTGCGCCGAAGTCGGCGAATCACGAGTCATCACATGAAAAGATTAAAAAAAAATGACACATGGGTTAATGGACCAAAATCGGAAGCGCGGCTCTTGGTTACGTTTTGGAGGTTCCCCGAATTTTACCATCACAAAAGTTACAAAATCAAATGAGTCCCAAGAAAGAAAAAAACTTTGAAATTTTTTGCTTTTCCAAAATTTTATCAAACAATTCCCTTTTGAAAGCTGTCAAACATATATTGTGAAACTGCAAGACTTGAAGAAATCATAGGAGGCGCATTGAACACTCTGCGAAAGGCAGGAATGGCGTGACCGCGCGTTTTGAGTGCCAAAATTAATCTCTTTGACTAGTTTGACTTGTATTTTGAGTTCCGTTCGATTTTTCAATTTTGGTCTATCGCGTATTTTTCATTCGTCTGCAAAGAGCAGAAGTGCTAATGTCATGCGAGAGTGACACACGTCAGCAAATTTTCATCGCTTTTCTCGCAGCTTGGTGAGATCTTGTATAGAAAATTTGCGCACTCGCTATATAACTTTTCAGCAATTTATTTTTTTATAGATTTGAGCTGCGGCCGCGCAAAAAGGTTAAGTCCCGAAAAGTAAGAATCATTTGCAGGCAATGAATTAAATTTGAGATACATTTTAAAACAAAAATTTCTTTTAAATGACCTTTTTGTCAGCGACCGCGAAGGGGAAAAAGACGAATCCAGCGGCGAAAACGACGAAAGCGACCACGACCACCGTCAGCAGCGGTAAAACTAAATTAAGCAGCCAAATTGTAATCACATCAAAATCGCTCACCTGCACCCTTTCAACCCCTTCTTCAGGTGACGCGTCTGAATCTGGCGACTACCCTGACAGCCGCGCGCCGCAACAAACGCCGCCGCTCTCCTTCGTCAATCTCGTCTTGTCCGTATTTTTCTTAATTAAGATTCACTGAATTTAATATTCCTAAAACACTTACGAGCTCAAAATGACTCTCAAATAAAAGCTTAAGTTAAAACGTTTACCCATCTTGAACTTAATTAGAAACAATAAGCTGGAGGACAAAATCAAAGCAGCACAGTGAGAGACTGACCAAGTGTCATCCCAAGTAAACTTAATTCGGGGTTTTTTTTTATGAAAGATTATGAAAACTTTCAAATTTAAAAACTGCATAATATTCAATTTGGCAGAGTTAATTTAGTTTTGAGCTACGCTTTGCAAAGTGGAAATCGGTTCAGTTTATTGGAAAGGGTTGATCACGTTCTTGTAGAATTAAAAGTAATTCATATTGTTGAAATGGAAAGAACAAAGTAACACTTTTATTTGTCAACTAATTCTCGGCCACATCTCTCAGTTGGTGCTGCGGTTGTTGGCCCTGGCCTTGCTCTGCCTCAGGTGCTCCAGTTGGCGCCGCATGTTCTCGCAGTTGCCGCTCAGGGTGGCCACCTGACGGTCCGCGGCCGCCTTCTGCTGCCCCACCAGCCGCATCCTGGCCTCCAACTGCTGCGTGCTCAGCTCCTGCTGCTTCACCTTTTTTCAGAAAAAAGGGTTCAGGGGAAAGTGGGACATTTTTAAAGAAGCAAAAACCATCTTGTTGAGCGCCTGCTCAAAGTGGGGGTCGTCGCCGCGGGTCTTCCACAGGGCGGGGTCGACCTGGGCGAGGTGGGCGCTGGCCGCGGCCTGCAGGGCGGCCAGGCGGCCGTGGGCCTCGCTGAGGCGCAGTTCGGCGTCGGCGCGTTGCCGCTCGAAGGCCGCCTGCTTGGCGCGCAGGGCCTGGTCCAGCTGAAGGCATCTCTGCTCGCCGCTCAGCCGCGCGTTCTCCACCTCGACGCGCGCCAGGCGACGCACGTGCGCCTCCCGCGCCTCCTCCGCCTCCCGCGAGTGCTCCACCTTCAGCGCCTCCAGCTGCAAAATCAATTTTATTCATAAGGCAAAACTTACACTGCTCAAATCTTAAGCTTGAGATTTTCAGTAAAATTTAAATTAATTTAGTTTTTATAAAGTAAAAACTGCAGATAAATACTTTAAATTTGTCGACAGTAATATATTTAATTTAATTGTTTTAATTGGGGTGTTTGAATTAAATTTGGTATATAAAACGAACCTCGAGGATGGCGGCGTCAATCTGCTCTTGCAGGTGCTGCCGCTCAGGGTCAGGTTTGCGGCGGGGCTTTTCGGCGACGCGGGCGCGCTCCTCGTCGGCGGCCACCTCACCCAACTCGCCCTCCAGGTGGCTCAGGTACTCGAGCGAGTCGTGCTGCTGCTGCTGGGTCTGCTCGGCCAACTCGTTGCTCTTCCGCTGGAACTGCAGTTTGGCCTCCTCCAGCTCGGCGGCCACCCTGGCGAGGCGCGCCGCCTCGGTCTGCCGCTTCTCCTCGATCTCCACCAGACTCCTTTCCAGCTCCTGGATCTTATTTAGACCAAAATTTTGCATTTTATTTGAAATATAATTTCGTCAGCCGATCTCGCACCTGCTTCCTCTCGGCCTGCGTGGGGCCGACGAGGGCGCGGTTTGCGTCAAGGGCGGCGGCCAGGTCGGCGTCCACCCTGCCGAGGTCAGAGTTGACCTCGGCCAGGGCGTGGATTTTGTCGCGCAACTCGCGGTCCGAGTCGCGCAGGGCGCGTTCCTTACGGGCCACGTCGGCGGCCAGTTGGCTGCGGCGCCGCTCCAACTCGTGGCGCCGCTCGTTCAGCGCCTGTCGCAGCACCTCCAGCTGCGCCTGCGCGCCGCCCAGACGCTTGCGCTGCGCCTGCGCATCACCCACGTGCGCCTGCGCCTTGCCGCGCAGCGTGTCGATCGCCTCGCGAAGCTGCTCCGTCTAACAAGTCGTAAATTTTAATTAATTTCTATCCGAATTAATTTCCTACAATGTTATTGGTTTGCAAAGATGTCATTTTTCCAAGGAGACAAAGTAGGAAAAATTTAATTCATTGAGTTTTTCAAATTAAAACTTTTTCTTATGGAATCAAAACTTAATTTTTTTAAATATTTTTCTTACCAAATAATTTAAAAATATTTCACCATTTAAATTACTCAGTCTCACTTTAATAAAGTTTTGGCAAAATCAAGTCGGTCGAAACAGACAAATTAAAATTGATCTTTTGATGGTAAAGTTTCAGTGAATTTCACTTTGGGTAAGATTTTGTAAAAGCTCGGTCGTTTTAGATTGAAAAGTTACCTCGTGTCTGGTGGCGAGGGTGTCGTCCGCGAGCAGCCGCTCCGTGGCTTGGCGGCTGGCGTGGCGCGGCTCGAATTCGGCGGCCAGCGCGGCCCGTTTGGCCGCCGCGTCCCTCTGCAGGGCCACCTCGGCCGCGATCAGGTTGTCCAGGGCGCTCTTCAGGGTTCCCGCCTCGCGCTCCTTCTCCACTCGCAGCGCCGAAGACCTTTCCACGCGACCGCGCGCCTCCTCCACCTTCGCAACAATAACATTTTTCAACAATTTAAGTTTCTTTCTAAGTTGAATTTTTCAAAAACGCCTAAAACACCGTAACTTTTTCACTTCATTTGCAACAAAAATTTATTTTACAATGGTTCAAAAATTAAATCGATGTTCAGATTTCATTTTTTCCTTACAAAAAAATATGCCTAAAAACTCAGTTAAGAATGTTTGTCAGATTTCGAACACTCTCTGACGATAAATAAATCTTTGTTATTTTTTGAGAACAAAATTCTTTCCAAAGAAATCCCAAAATCGTTCAGTTTTAATAAATGTGTACTTTGGCTCAGATTTTAAATTTAAAAAAACAGAAGCTCCAATTTTCTCACAAGAATTATCTAACATTGAAATTTTTCAAAAAACTTCAGTCATCTGGTTATCATTATCATCAACTTTAAATTCGCAGCTTTTAGTTAATTCTTTTCCCAAATGATTCAAGATTTTTAAATATAAACAAAATCAAAATAAAAGATCAAATCTCTGGAACAGAATTTTTTAAAAATGACTAAAAAACCGTTACAAATATTTTTCAGCCCACAATCTGCTCTTCTTGAAAATTTCTTGCTTTAAATATGTTAAACAATGAAATCTTTTAATATGATCAATAAGAATTTTTCAAAAATTTAAAAAAAAAATCACCTTTAAAAGCAATGTCGCCATTTTCCGTCCAATTTATTTTTAAACTGCGCTTCTTGATAAAAGAAAAACTTTTTTTTCTTGTAAGAAGTTCTCAAGTGTTCAGTTTGAACTTTTGCCCTAAATTTTAAATTTAACAAACAAAAACTCAAATTCACTTCAGAATTTTTATCAAATTCAAATTTTCCGACGAGTTATTTGCAAATTCTCTAATTTCAACACGTTAAAATCTCCAATGAATTTAAATTCGCAACTTTAAATAAAGAATTCTTTTGACTCCAGCTCAAATTATTAATTTGCGAATTTTCAAATTAATTAAATAAAAGCCCAAAATTGGGAAAGAATTTGACTTTGAGCTTTACCTGGCGATCGACCTGCGTCAGGGCCGCCTTGGCCTCCTGCAGGGTCGACTTCTTAAGGCCGACCTGGTGCTGCAGACGCGCCTCCTCTTCGGCCAGCCGGTCGTGCTGGTCGTCGAGGCTTGCGAGGCGGCCGCCGAAATTGGCCACCAGGGCACTCCACTCGGCGATCTGCTCCTTCCTGGCCTGCATCTCGCGCTGCAGCTCGGCAACGCTCATTTCCTCGACCTTCTTCGGCTGCATCCTGAGAACGTTTGACGCAAATTCCAACGGTCGCCGCTTGATATTTGAAAGCAACAATCGACTTGTTGCTTCTTTAAACAGAATTCGGCATGTGTTGTTACGGGAAACGACAATAATCATTAATTACCGTTCCCATGGCAACGGAATTATTGCTTTGGTTTTCTACACAATTTCAAGAATCTCCTTCTGAACAGAGAAATGCCACCGGCGCGACGCAAATTGCAGCCGGTTGCTTACAAACATATTTTTTTTAAATAGAGCTAGGTTTACAATAATTGCAGTAATGTCGTGTAACATCAAGTTTTCAATGATTGCAAAATTTCAAGGAATTCTTTAAGAAATGTGTAAAAATAAATAAGCATTACAATTCATCGGGCATTTGGGTGGGTATTAAATGAGAAATGGAACCCGAATCTTAAAGATCTGACCACATTATAAATAGTGAGATTAATTTGCAAAAGAAAATTTGAGGCAAATCAGTCTTTATTTCATAAAAATTTACGTAGAAAGTATTTAATAGTGAAGGATGCGACTTTTAATTCAGTAAAAAGCGGTAAAAAGGAATAGAAAGAAGGCATGGGCAAAGCGTCGCTGGGGTAAAACTCGCTGGTGCCTCTGAAGGGCGCAGCGTTGCGGAGATCGGGGGTGGGGGACGGAGACGGCCGAGGGTATTCTGCTGTCGGGGGCTGGAGCTGTGGGTCTCCTCCTTGAACCTTCGGCCGTGTGGTGCTGCAGGGGGGGGGCTCAGGGTGACCGAGTCGCCGGCCTGCATCAGGTGGCCTTGCAGCGGGTGCAGGTCCAGCTGCCAGCCGGGTTGTCTGCGTCACCGAACTCGAGAAGCGGCCGAGAAGGTCTGTTTTACACGCGGAGGCATCAAGCCCTGGTGCCCAAAGGGCCTAATACACAAAGTCTTTTTAAGCCTTAATATAAATAACAACTGACACACAAAAAAGGGACAGAATTCTGAATCAAATTGAAGATCAACAAACTGATGTGTTATTAATTCCACAAAAAAGGGAAAAAACAGACCAAAATCTAAAATCGCAAGGAGTGGAAAATAAAAATAATCTTATTTTAGCATTCAAGTTTCATTATTGATTGAAAATTTCCATTGTTGAGTCTATTAGCAGACAAATGTCATTAAAAGACTTGATTTTTACTAAATTAGTCTATTAGGATTCCATTTATAAAGTAAAATTTTTGAAATATCAAATCCTCGAATAAAGATTTTATGCATACGATTAGTGGTGAATTGTGTTGAATGCCTTAAATAATCAAGAAAAACCATTAAAACAGCTTATAAAAAATGCGCTGCTTTGATATCCTCCGCTATTTTATTTGAATTTCATATGCAAACATAATCAAGAGGAAATTGAGTCAAGAGAAAACTAAGGCAGGAACGCGGAAGGACATGGACAGGTGCATTCAGTCAGTGGTGAGTGCAAGAAAGGATCATTTCCCCCAGGACAGCCGCAACCACAAAACAACCATCCTTAGTTTAAGAAAATGATTAATATGTAGCACAGAAAAATTTATGAGGTACAATATTCATTTAATTTAAAAAAAAATATTTACCAAAACACCGCATCAATGATGAGGGCAAATTTGGTGAGAAGTTCATCAAGAAATGGCCTACCGCGTGCTGCTTCCCTAAGGAAAACAATACAAATTTTACCAGATTGTTTAGAATTTAAGTACTATAGTTTTTCTCTCACAATGATGAGATGAAAACAATGGTTTCTGTCACGGGTACCACTATTTATTTTGTAAGAATAAAAATTTTCATTCTCAAGCGACAATAGATTGTGAATGCAAGCACTGCGGTAAGAAATGTTCACAATATCATATTCTTGAATGTAATGAACGAAAACTAAGCCTAAGAGAGGCTGCAAAAATCAAAATTAACTAATTTTGTACTTTGTAATAATTATCGAAACAAGCTTAATTGTAAAATTAATTTTAGGAAGACAAATTAGCTTTAGACACCCGTTGTACACCTAGTTGTGTTCAATAAATACTCTATCTATCTATAGTTATAAGAACAGTCGTTTTAATAATATAGGAATAAATTAGCTACTTATATTTATATTAATATATTTATGTCATTTATGTAATCGCATATGTTGTACACCTAGTGTGTTTAATAAATACTCTAATCTAAAACAATGGTTTGCATTGTTCCTAAGGTCAGCATTTCAATTCCTTCGTCAATCCGGAGAATGAACATTGCGGCATCGACAAACACTCCAGGATTATATATGGTGGCTAAAAAGCTGGTGACTCTCATGGCACTCTTCCAAGAGGGATATATGGCCTCTACAAAGAAGATAAATGTCAGGCAAATGTATTGAAATGAGAAAAAGATGGGAAAGAATTGTGCTTTAACTAGTTGGCCAAAGCAGTGAAGTTGCAAATACTTGGCTTTTAAAATTTTTGTAGGGTCAAGATCAAAAGGAATAAGCCGAAAATAGCACCGGTCCATAACTGAATTTCTTTGAGCTTATTCAGATGATACATTAAGCGTCTAAACATTGCTGAGGCTCATATAACTTGTGGGTCTCAAGCGCTTTCGCACCCATCCTTGATCAATTATGTCATAGTTCTTACCACGGCTCTTCATGATAGAAATGAACGTTACAGTTCTGCAGAAAGCAAAGAGGACAGCAAGTGGCAAATATTCTATCATTTTTATATTCCAGAGGTGGCCTTTGAGAGCGGTGCTTAACTGGTCGTACATACACGAATTGGACAAAACTGCTCGTGAGGAATGCGCTCGGTCGGTTCCTTCCCTCGCTTTAATTCCGCGCTCGCAGATTATTTACACCTGAAGATTTCAGTTTAGAGAATTTCAGGTTGTAATATAAGGTTGCGCGGAAAGTACCCTTCTGAAACCGTCGCAACAGGTCTGGAAAGACTTTCTGGTGACAAGAGGGGGGCCGCCGGGCAATTCGGGCCCACCGTCCTGAGAGAAGGACGAGTTCTTGGAGGAGTTCTCGCCCACGTCCAGCTGCAGCTACTTGTTGAGCCGCTGCAGAACTCGTTGCTCAGGTCTGCAAATCAGGTTTGCGATCTGCGAATCGCGATTTCAAATTGAAAACGAGAATCCTTTTGTAAAAGGGAACGATTTTTACCTGCAGTTATGGGGGCGGGCGGTTCCGAGATCGAAGGTGGATGGGGTCTTGATGGGCTCCTCGGCCGTCCAAGTCGACGGATTGAACGTATTCGGAGGGACCAAGATCGTTGGAAGAGAGATCAGAGCAAAATTCAACCAACAATTTGAACAATTCCAAAAGCATGGCGTTCTGACGCGTGGGCGTGACGCTGACGCCGCTGGCGGGAAAAGGCAGTGTTCTTTACGCCGCCCTGGTGGCACTCGGCCGAACTACGTATTTCCTCCAAATTTTGGCTCGTTTTGGCTACTTTGCAATTTTGGTGTCCACGCCACGCTGACACACTAGTAGAGCAGTAGAAGTATTTGGCCACGATGAGGGGACTCGTCACATTGACGATCCGGGGTTTCAATGTTTCTGAATGGAATAATGGATCTTTGAATGAGGCCAAACCACTCAAAAATAGTTGCCCACATTATAATAATGCTCTAGGATTTGAATTTTTTTTAACCGATAAATGAATTTTTTGGCATTTAATTTCTTTTCATCGATAACGTGTAATTGAATCTGGCCAAGTTGATGTTTCGAAAGCTTAACTTTTCAATCCGGTTCTTCTTCGAGGGTTGTGCAATTTGAGAAAAAAAAATTGGAAGAATTTTTCAGTACGCGTGGTCTCATTATTTCAAAATTTATTTAATGACAAATTTGACTCAATATATGTTGAAAATGAAATATTTGATTCGGTTTCTTGAATTATGTATTATTTGGGCAGTAATTGCTTGACGGATTGACAATATGACTCGGAATTTATAAAGTCTCAAGCGTGCAGTGGTAAATTTTGTTTATAAAAATTAGAAAAATTACTGCTCGGGTAATTTTAAATTGAAAATAAGTTCCAGAGCAAGATGCGTGGAGTTTTGTGGGAGCGCCTCAGGTCTCATACCTGATGCCCAAAATTCCGGCTATTGCCGTCACATCCTTGGCTCTGATCCGCAGCAAAGACCCTGCATTAATCTCGGTATTCAAAAAGTTGAAAAAGTCCTTCTGGCAAAGCTTAAATACTGTGTAATTTGAGAGTTGTCGAAAGCAGGAACCAAAAAAAATGTGTTTTTTTTACTATAAATAAACATAATCCAACTTCTCGTGTTAGAATCAATTTGTGAGTGACTTTATTATTCATCATTTTTAACAAGATTTTACGGCACAATAATGAAAGCAAACAGGATCTCGGTTGCTAAAAAATTCAAGTCGTTTTTCTTTGCAAACACGCTCAATACATCTCGTACTGACAGGCCAACTACTTACATTAAATATCACAGTGTGTCAAAGATTTTTAGAATAATTATATACATAGAGAGGGAGAAGAGTTATTAATTCTTGTCCTATTCGTCTACAAAACAGTGATTTGAGAGAAAAGTCTTGCCAAAGTCTCCTGAGGTCTCAAACTAAACTGGCTCGTGTTCAGTATGGCACAAACACATAATCGTAGTTTTAATTTTGAGAGAGTTGGCGTCCGGTGTTAAAACGAACCTCTTCGCAAGGTTGCTTTCCCAACCTTGGATGACAAAATGAGGTAAATAAATTTGAACTGCTCTGTCTAGAGTCTAGAATTTTAGATCGGCAATTTGTAAATAAATTATATATGATTTTAAGGTTAAAATTGATGTTCGCTCTTCGTAATAAGAAATCGTCTGCTCGTATCAGGAGAATAATCCAAACTCTTGCATCAGCAGAGCAGAATCTTATACTTTAAAAGGTGGAACATGTCTCTAGATGACTTGATCTGGTGAGAAGGGAAAGACCTGGGTGACCTTTCCGATGCCCTTGGTGCGACCCTCTCGGAAGAGCACTCGCTGGCCCACCTGGATCCGCTCAGGGTGCCTGACCAGCTTGAACACGACCAAGGCGCGCTCGTCCGTGTGGATTCCGGACGAGGCCATGATGCCCACGATGACGGCCGTCTGCCGAATGTTGCCCAAGTGGACGGTGCATTGAAATCCCTCGTGAATCGCCGTCGCATGGTAAATCACGTGCACAGTGGCCTGGAATTAAATTAAATTAAGCAACAAATACTATTGATTTAATAATCTCGTACCTGGAAGAAAATACAGCAGTCTTGGTCCATGTCCGGACTGAGCAGGACCATGCCCTTGCGCAGTCGAGGCAATTCAGGGTGCAGGGCCAAACTGGCGCTCTGGCTGGCCCGCACAACTCTGTACGCAGCATTGTTTCGGTGCACCGACTGCACCTGCACAGGCTGGTACCTTCCGTCCACCATTGGACCTGGAAAAAATTTTAATTTTAATGCTATTATCTAATTTAAATACTCCAATTAAAAAAGCAAGAGAATATTTTTATTTAAAATTAACCGCAATTAAATTCTATAAGGAATTGAATTATTTAAGCACAGTTGAAAAAAAAATGATTAGAAAAGTGAATTTATAAGTAAAGAATTATCTAAATTTTCTTATTTAAATCTTTCCGCACTTTTCAAACAACATTTTTTAATGAAAATTGATTTCTTTTCTAAAAATCAGTAAGAAAAAACCCACCAATGACCATATTCATTCCCTCGCTGATGACCCCTTGGGTGAGCAGTCCTCCAACCACCACCCCAACTTCAGGTACTCGGAAGGTCTCGTCGACTTGAAACTCGCAAGGCTCCTGAAAATAAATTTATACAAATGAATAAAAACAATTTTGCGGATTTATTAGAAAAACCTGTTCCAATCTGTCTCTCTCGTTGGCGCTCAGTTCAGGAGGGATGACGAAGAGGAAGCTGCGCAGCAGGTCGAGGCCCTCGCCGGTGACCGAGGAGACGCAGAAGATGGGCACGATGGAGTGGACCGTCTTGGCCGAGGCGTTGGCCGCCGTCATGACGTCGTCGGGGCCCTGCACGAGCAGCGGCACCCTGCGCAGGCCGTGCGGCGCCGACTGCAGGGCCGTCTCCAGCGCCTCCAGGGTGGCCTGCACCCTGGCGGCGCCCAGGTCCATCTTGGTCACTATCACAAAGAGGGGCACGTCGAGCGCGAGCACGAGGCCCAGGTGCTCCTGGGCCATGCCCCCCAGACCCGCCCCCGCGCTCACCACCAGCATCACGTGGTGGGGGTAGTAGCCGGTGAGGCCCAGCACGGTCGTCTTCAGGTACTTCTGGTGCCCCGCCAGGTCCAGGAAGGAGACCAGCTTGGTCGAGCTTTCGCAGATCGACTCGTGGGTCACCAATTCTTTGTAGTTTAACACGCTCCCCTGCGAAATTCAAAATTATCAACTTTTATACCAAAATACAGGTTTTAACAAAAAATAATTAAAAAGTGCAAGTTCAGATAAGTAAAATTTATTATTTTTTGGTTGAACTTCAAACTTGCATCAGTAAATTTTAATATAATAACTTTTTAAGCAAATTCCACTTTAAATTATCGAATGACCTGTAAACTTCAAATAAGTTTTATTGCAAGTACGATACATGGATTGAAAGAGCATATTTTTTGGTATCTCAAGCAGATAAAGAGTTATTACCGTTGAAATGTTTTCCAAATTGGAATTTTCTAATTTTTATTTAAAAAAAAAAAACTGAAACTCCTTTGGCAGCTGAATCGTCTGGTGATTTGAATGAAAGTTTAATAAAATGGAAAAGAACTCATCTCCTGTTGACGGTTTCATAACTGGCATGTCATATGCTCAGACTCTTGATCAGCTTCCACTATTAGACAGCGTGTGTGGTGCTTTCCCATTCCTATAAATGACAAGATTGGTGTTTTTGAATAAAATTAAACAAACAAAGTCTCGCAATAACAGATGATTGGAATAAATGGCATCGAGCATATTAGAGGGATAACAACAGTATCGGTTTTTTGCCACAAAACACAGAACAACTGCAAATTTTTAGTTTGATTAAATCCTATTATATTTTTAAGGAAATAATCTTGCGGGGGCGTTGAAAACGTTGAAAAAGGGAGAGGTGGGCAGAAGAAGGCGACGGCCAGCAGACACGGCGCATTTAATTCCCTGCTTATGGTCAGGATGATTTGTTTTGAACTTATCAGGGCCAAGGGCATCTTGTGGCAATTATTCCACCATGAAAGAAATCATCCCAAGGAAGATTCTGTAAAACCTTTTAGGCCAAACTCTATCAGAAACCAAATACGACTCATTTGTCAATCAAAATTAAGAATACAATTATTGTTCTCACCCGCAGGTCGACAGTTTCGTATAATGGTCAAATTTGATGTTTGGCACCAAAGCCGCTGGAACAGGGTGACCATATGGCCATTCTGTAGCAGGAACATGCGCCTAAACACATAGATTGGTGATTTTTGAATGAAATTAACAAACAAGATCAACTCTCACCTCACATTGAAAAGGACGTTGCTCGGTCAAAATCCGACTGTGGGTTTCACCCTCTGGTGTTGAGATTTCCTCAGCCGCAGAGAGCTAGTATAAGTTGAGGAAATTGTTGCCCGACGACGGCATTCCAGCTTTTCCCTTCTCGAATTTCTGGACAAACAAAAGATGCAAATTTGCTGCATACCTTTCCTGAAAAGGGCTTCAGGTTTGACGAACGGCGTGGTGACACTTGGCGCTTTGCTTTAGAGTCCTTTGCATAAACAAGGCAAGTCTTCGGAGCGGCCATGCAGCGGCCAGCGAATTCTTGCCAATCCGCACCGCACTCTTTTTGTTACCTATTATTTGTTGGCTGCACATTCACTCATGGGAAAAGTATTCACGAGCGCAACCCCGCCCGCCGCGAGCGGAAGGGCGAATGCCCTCCTTCAGCAAGAAAAAGTGGCGTAAAGTGCCTTCGGGGTGAAGTCCGAAGTGCCCGAACACTCAGAACGTCCGAGGTTTGAGTCGTTTGAGAAGTGGGCGCGGCCGGTTGCACCACCTAATCGAGCGCCGGCAGCGCCGCCATTGGCTGCCACTGGGATGACGCGCAAATTTCCCTCGCAAAATCACAAGCACCACTCCCCCCTCGGTTGCCGAAAAACGCACGAAAAACCGCAGAAGGCCGAATTTAAATTTTCTTTCGCCGTGGTCTGCCTGCACAGAAGACTCGTGTGTTTCTTTTAACGCACAGCCAGAGGTATGTAATCGTGAATTTTCAATTGTGCAATTCAAGAATATACATATGCGCGTGCTATGCACATGTCCAACATGCATGCGCATTTTAAATTATTTGTTTTATGGAATCAGAATTTTAACCATACCGCCTGAAGTTTCAGATTAAAATCAGTCAGCATGGATACACTAATGGAAGTGATCATCTCTACTCTTCGGGACGCATTCTGTGCTGTGGTACCCATAATCCAATTTATTTATTGCCTTAAGGCATTGTGGTCATTGATTCGCCCCAAAGTGGTCATGATTCCACGTGGTTTCTTTCCTGAAGACTTAGATGCGTCCCTCAAGAAATGGGAAGATTTTGACATCAAGATTCTGTGGTTGGTGGCCGTGATAAATAAGAAACCTGAAGATCAGTTCAATATCCCAGATCAGGGTACGTAAAGAATTCTTATTTAACTGTGCTTTTTTATTGTGCGCATATGGATTTTTGTCGTGCTGCTTTGTTTTTTGTTTTTGTTGAAAAAATAATTGTTTTTTTAGTGCGTGAAATAATAAACAAAGATACGTATTTGATTTTTCAGATCGAGAAGGTCTCTTGAGCCACATCCGAGACATGATCAAACAGGCCACTCAGGTCAAATGGGTTCAAATCCCTCAGCAAACACCAGGCTCGGTCTCCTTTTCTGGCCTGTCACCCGCTACAGAGCAGGCAATCTTGGCTGGAGATTGGAACACCGTTTCTGCCATGGACTTGTTTGCCTTCCTAGCCCAGAATGGATTGGTGGTGCCCACAACATTTGGTAAGCATTTACATTAAATGACAAAGAGAATCAAATGAATCTTTCCTCGCAGATACGGAGGCGCTGATTACCATTGCCCGCGAAGTGCTTCGTGTGGGGGGCATTGTTGCTGAGGAAGACAGGGGATGAACTGCCATAAGAAGCTACATTTGACTTGCGCGTTTAAGGTTCTTATACTAATTAACTGATAAATAATTGACTTCAAACAAAAAATTTTCTAAATTTGGTGCTGCAATTGTCTCATTATTATTGTAAAACGACGGAAAAAGATATAATGACACCAAGCCTTTGCTTTTGTCACTTCGTTGCTTCCCGAGAGATTTTAAGTCTTTTAAAACCTACTGATGATTTCCTGAGCTTACTTGGCACATTGTAGGTTAAGTTAAATGTAATAAACAATGTAAAAACCAATAACTTGTATTATTTTGATTTGTAAAAGAATTTCTGTATGGAAAAATGAGATCATTCATATAAATTGTAATTTTAGTGATAAATATATCTGATCAATTGACACACATGTTCCCAGTCCGCAAGAAATACAAAGTGCATGCAAGAAGGAGAAATAAACATTAAGCAATAATTGTAACTTTACATGTTAGATTTAATTTATAATTAGATCACTTGGCACATTAACTCCATGAGAATCTTATCTTCAGGTATATTGCAACCTGAAGAGAGCTCTATCTGCAGTAAATACCAAAATTTTACTGATGTAATGAAATTACTTTCTAATTTCTTAAAATTTTCGCATATTTGCTCTTTCTGCCCTAAACTAATTGGGACAATTTTTGCAAAAATAAATGCAGAGCTAAAATGACCAATGACCGCTTCAAATCACTTTATTTTTTGAAATTTTGCCCTGTTGCTTTTGGACGCGTTAGAAGTTAAATCTTTTAGCTCAAACTGCACACAAAACCTGCATGTTAGAAGAGCTGCTCCGCAAGTGATGTGGCTTTTGCGTGGAGTTCTGTTGGAAGAGCATAATGCGCCTCAGGGTCTCAAACCTGATGCCCAAAGTTCCGGCCATGGTCGTCACATCCTTGGCTCTGAGCCACAACATGATCGTCTGCAGCAAAGATCCTGGATTCATTTCGGTATTCAAAGAGTCCTTCAAGCGAAGCGCAAATATTGTCTAATTCAACTAGTGGAAAGAAACCACAAAAATGTGTTTATTTGACCATAAAGAAACATAATTCAACTTCTCGTGTAAGAATCAATTTGTGAGTGACTTTATTATTCATCATTTTAACAAGATTTTACGGCACAATAATGAAAGCAAACAGGATCTCGGTTGCTAAAAAATTCAAGTCGTTTTTCTTTGCAAACACGCTCAATACATCTCGTACTGACAGGCCAACTACTTACATTAAATATCACAGTGTGTCAAAGATTTTTAGAATAATTATATACATAGAGAGGGAGAAGAGTTATTAATTCTTGTGCTATTCGTCTACAAAACAGTGATTTGAGAGAAAAGTCTTGCCAAAGTCTCCTGAGGTCTCAAACTAAACTGGCTCGTGTTCAGTATGGCACAAACACATAATCGTAGTTTTAATTTTGAGAGAGTTGGCGTCCGGTGTTAAAACGAACCTCTTCGCAAGGTTGCTTTCCCAACCTTGGATGACAAAATGAGGTAAATAAATTTGAACTGCTCTGTCTAGAGTCTAGAATTTTAGATCGGCAATTTGTAAATAAATTATATAATGTTTTTTAGGTTAAAATTGATGTTTGCTCTTCGAACATTTAAAACATCTGCTCTGATATCAGGAAAAAATCCAAACTTTCGCATCAGGTGCAGCAGAGCAGAATCTTATACTTTGTAAGGTGCGGAACATGTGTCTAGATGACTTGATCTGGTGAGAAGGGAAAGACCTGGGTGACCTTTCCGATGCCCTTGGTGCGACCCTCTCGGAAGAGCACTCGCTGGCCCACCTGGATCCGCTCAGGGTGCCTGACCAGCTTGAACACGACCGAGGCGCGCTCGTCCGTGTGGATTCCGGACGAGGCCATGATGCCCACGATGACGGCCGTCTGCCGAATGTTGCCCAAGTGGACGGTGCATTGAAATCCCTCGTGAATCGCCGTCGCATGGTAAATCACGTGCACAGTGGCCTGGAATTAAATTAAATTAAGCAACAAATACTATTGATTTAATAATCTCGTACCTGGAAGAAAATACAGCAGTCTTGGTCCATGTCCGGACTGAGCAGGACCATGCCCTTGCGCAGTCCAGGCACTTCAGGGTGCAGAGCCAAACTGGCGCTCTGGCTGGCCCGCACAACTCTGTACGCGGCCTTGTTTCGGTGCACCGACTGCACCTGCACAGGCTGGTACGTTCCGTCCACCATTGGACCTGGAAAATATAATTTTTATTCACCTAACCAAGGAATTTTTTGAAAGAAAAGTAAAAGAATAATTCAAATTACAACTAACAGCAATCAATTTCAATAAGGAATTGAATCATGTAATTATAGTACAGTTGAGAATATTGATTACGAAAGTAAAGAATTCTTTAAATTTTTTCATTTTTAAAATTATTCCACAACTTTTGATGAAAACAAATATAAATAATTCAAAATTTCAATTTTTTATGAATTAATAGTTCTTTTTTTAACAATTATTAAGAGAAAACGCACCAATGACCATATTCATTCCCTCGCTGATAACTCCTTGGGTGAGCAGTCCTCCAACCACCACCCCAACTTCAGGTACTCGGAAGGTCTCGTCGACTTGAAACTCGCAAGGCTCCTGAAAATCAATCCAACCAAATGAATAAAAACAATTTTGCGAATTTTTTAGCTAAAACCTGTTCCAATCTGTCTCTCTCGTTGGCGCTCAGTTCAGGAGGGATGACGAAGAGGAAGCTGCGCAGCAGGTCGAGGCCCTCGCCGGTGACCGAGGAGACGCAGAAGATGGGCACGATGGAGTGGACCGTCTTGGCCGAGGCGTTGGCCGCCGTCATGACGTCGTCGGGGCCCTGCACGAGCAGCGGCACCCTGCGCAGGCCGTGCGGCGCCGACTGCAGGGCCGTCTCCAGCGCCTCCAGGGTGGCCTGCACCCTGGCGGCGCCCAGGTCCATCTTGGTCACTATCACAAAGAGGGGCACGTCGAGCGCGAGCACGAGGCCCAGGTGCTCCTGGGCCATGCCCCCCAGACCCGCCCCCGCGCTCACCACCAGCATCACGTGGTGGGGGTAGTAGCCGGTGAGGCCCAGCACGGTCGTCTTCAGGTACTTCTGGTGCCCCGCCAGGTCCAGGAAGGAGACCAGCTTGGTCGAGCTTTCGCAGATCGACTCGTGGGTCACCAGTTCTTTGTAGTTTAACACACTCCCCTGCGAAATACACAAATTTTAGGATTAAAACACCAAATTTTATGTTTTTAATTCATATTTTCAAGTTAGAGATTAAAAATAATTCAAATATGCAAGTTTAGACATATAAAATTTATGATTTTTGTCGAACATCAAACTTTCATCAATAAATTTTAATAAAACATAAGCAAATTTCATTTCAACAAATGACCTGTCAAATTATTTTTATTGCAGGTATGATACATGGATTGAAATAGCACATCAAGAAGATCATTGGAGTATGCAGAATCTTGTTGCATATCGTATATCTCAAGTAGAAACAGAGTTATTGATATCCATATTGAAAATGTAGGTTTTTCATCTTTTCTTCTAAAAACTGCAATATCTTTGTTCAAAATAGAGCTACAACAAAATTCTGCGTACCAAAATGATCCACTTGAAGTACTCTTTCAATGCATGTGTCAAACTTGCAATAAAATTAATTTTAAGGTCACCAGGGTCAATGACCTTTTTTGTCCTCGTCAGTATGTGTGATACATGATTGGATAGCCCTTGCAAAAATAAAAACTTTTTGTTGTGAGGAACAATTACCTATCACTTTTGAATAAAAAGATAAAAAAAATAAAAATTGAATGGCTTGTAAAAGTAAAACCCCGAAATTTTGAGCTATTGGGGTAAACCTCTTAACACGGTATATCACCTTGACAGAGTAGATAGGCTAAATTGAATTAAAAAAGGCCTACCCTTGAATCGAAGCCGAGGATTTCGTGCGAGATGGAGGACGTCCTGCCCGACTGAATTTCGTGCAAGTGCCTGAACATGTTGAGTCTCGCCCTGCCCCGGCCGTTGTCCAGCTGGCCCTGGGTCAGAACGCCCAGCAGGGTGGACTTGCCCGCGTCGGCGCTGCCCACGACGGCCACCCTCACTTCTATGCTGTGCTGGTCGTCAGGCACCTGCAAATCGAATGAACAAAATTTAGTCAAAAGTGGCAAAAATGGTATTTTCGTTTGCAACCTTTCTGACGAGCACTTCGGCGACGCGTCTTTGCTCGTCGTTGTCGTCCTTGGTGGGGGAGGAGTTGACCAGCCTCTCGCGCAGGACGGTGGTGGTGGCGCCCAGTTTCTGCGCCATGTGCCGCAGCGTCTGCAGCGACGCTCGCAGCTCCTTGCCGCTGAGGCCGGTCAGCACGCCGCTGTCCTCGACGCCGATCTCGTAAATCGCCTCGCCTTGCCCTTCTCGCAACCGCCATTTCATCTGCAACAAAATCACAAACATTTTCAACAAAAACATCAACAAAGGGGGATCAGTAAAATACAACCGATAAGAAAAGTTTGGCAAGTTCCTTATCGAAACTGCAAACAAACAGCGACAAGATTAAAAAGGAAAATATGGATGAAATGAAAATGAAATGAAATAAATTCTCATAATTTATCAATTGCAAATTTAATGATAACAAGAAGTGTATTTAAAAGACGGCGATGCGATGGTTTACTTGTTTAAAATAATTTCAGTGGAATGCAATTTAAAAAAAATTTACCGACTTATTAATGAAGTAATTAAACGCACCTGTGTGACTAGATGCTCGAAGCGCAGTCTGGAGGGGTTGACCAGCTTGAGTTTGTACTCGACGTTGCCGAGCTGCGGCTCCGGGGGCAGTTGTTCCGCCTCCGGGTCCCTGCTCAGCAGCAGGTTGTTGTGCTTGTGTTTGGGCTGCTGGCCCTTCTTGCCCTTGCTCCGGCGCGACCCCAAGGACGAGCCGCTGCTGCTGCTGCTCTCCCACGAACCGTCGTCCGAACTCGACCCCGGGTCGAACAGGCCCACGAATGACTCCATCTCTCACCTGCAACTCAATAGACACCAATCAATATAATTAAATTTAGATTAAAATTTAATTTTATTACAAAAAGATTATAAATTAACAAAAGAAAAATAATTCAACTCTTGGCAATTTTAATTTAATTAAATAAAAACACAATTAAGTTTCTATTTGTAATTTTTGCAAAATAAATTCAATTAATTTGCAATTTTTTTCTTATTTGAAATTCAAGAGAGTAATTTTTCTTGTTATTTTATCGAAAAGCCATTCAGTAAAGTATACACAGTTAAAATCAAAGCTTGAATTTTGGTGACTTTGGTGTAACAATCAGCAAACGAGATTTGTCGTCGCTCTCAACGTTTCAATTTTGAATTAAATTGAGTTGTTATTTAATTCAAAAATGAAAGGTTTAAAAAAAATAAATTAAATCAGAAACAGCAATTATAAAGTCAGAGACAAAGAAAATAACCCGTAGTATTCCTAACCGTCTCGGTTTCCACTCCACAAGCACAAGTAAAAATAAATAGAACTTGATAATTCTGTCACCAACCAGGAAATAAATGACCATGGTATGGTTTTCCTCATTGTTTGAACGCTGTTATTTATCACAGACGGTAAAGATAAACAAGAGACTGGAAAATATTTTTTAAAAATACAAAAATTCATTAAAAAATTTTGATACAATTTAGTTAGAGATTGAGAAACTTGAAATTATTTTTATTTTACAATTTCAGACATGCCACGAGTCTGAATAATTGTATCACCGTTTAATCGTTTTATAGTCGGCCCAGTTTTGAGTGTCGGGGCAGACGCGGTGAAAGGAGGGGGAGTGTGTTACGGCATTCTTTGTGCAAAGCACTTTTCGAGCCTTTCACTTTCCATTTCATAACTCACTCGAGCGTGCCAATTACATCCCGTAATCCGCCATGGCCGAGAGCGAAATAAGACTTCGTTTGGCAACAAATCAGAAGTGAATACAAAGTTGTGGAAAGAAATGTCTCGCATTTTTTAAATGAAGTAGAAATTCAATTGATAATCCGTGGTTTTATGAAAAATTTTAATTAAATATTTAATTATAAGTAAATTGAAATTATTTTCTTCAAATTTAGAAGAAAAAAATGGGTAAAAAATTTTCTGAGAAAACGATTTTTTTAAAATTATTTTCTAATAATTTCTGTATTAAGCTGATTTTAAAACTGCCGTTCTTGAGAAACAACAGCGCTTGCTTACTGAACACATAATTCTGAACAATCATCAAAACCATGAATTGCTCAAGAGATAAAAGACGAGAAAACCGCACTCGGCGTTGAATCTCTGAATCTCTTGGATGAATCGGATAAATACCTCGGTCGCGCGGGAGACGATGCTGTCGGCTCGCGCACTTTCGCCCGACTGAGCAAAGTTTACAAAGTCCCTTCCCTGGGAACAGCAGCTGTGGGGCCAGACACGTGCTTCAACTTTAAAGGCTTCTCGGCCACAAACAGCTGACGAGCGTGACTTTTCCTCTCGAGCGAAATCTGCGTGAATGAATCGTGTTTTTGTGCGGCCTGCGTGAGACGAAAAGCGGAAAAATAAACACGCGGAAATAATATTTATTTTGCAGAGCTGGCAAAAGTGGGTTTTTGAACTTGTTGCGAATATGGCAAAGTCGGCAGTTTGCTTCGGAACTTGAAATTCGGTGATGAAAATTATTTAATTCCGGTCGAAACTTTTACTATAATTTAAATATTTATTAATCAGAAATCATTCCTTTTAAATTATAATAATTTGAACGAAATTAAATTTGAAAAATATGTAGATTGAGAATTTTAATTTGTTTAGTTTAAAATAATAACAATCCAAATTTATTTCCAAGTAATTGCTAATTTAAAAAAAAAAAATCTGGTCACAAGTCACCGAGGTCAGTGACCTTTTGCGGCCTGAGAAGAACATTTATAACTCAATAAATTCAAATGGAAATTATAATCGGAGAGGTAAATTTGGCAGTTTCGTCAAAATTGAAATGGAAAAAGTGCCGACAATCTGCGGCTCTTATGAAGAATTGCAGGCCAAGGTCTCGCTCGTCGGGCCAAGGTCGGAAAAGCATTTTCGATCCCAAGTGACGTCACAGTTGCCTCGACTGCACACGACAATTTAATTTTGGCCGCTCGCCCATTTCCGAGGTGTCTGAATTCGCCACCTTGGTCAATCAGATTTTTGCTTCTTTACATTCTGACAAGAATTAATTTAAACTTAAAACAGAAGCAATGATTATTCTACTGAAAAAATTAACCAAAAAATTGAAAGATTTTCCGTTCCCTCGGAATGTATTCTTAAGTCAGACTGGAGAATTCAGCAAAAACAAAATCAAGGATTTTATAGTATTTTCATTTCATTGTAATATATGCTATTTTTTTTCTTTAAACTGGCTCGAAAATTTATTTCTATATTCTCGCTCAAGCACGTCTTGTAAAGATGTCACTTTGATGCCAGGATAATATATGAAATGAAATCTTATTAATTAATTCAAGTCTTTTAATTTATTTTACGTTAACCTCAAGATTCGACAAAAATATAGGAAAAATTTAAAAAATAGCATAAAATTAAATTCATTTCCTAATAATTTAATTATCTAAAGATACTTTTAATTTGTTACTATTTTTGACTGTTAACTTTACTTTGACGAAATTATCAACAACTTGAATCATTTGCATAATACCCCTCAAAATATTGCAATTTTTTTCCTCCACATAGTCATTTCAATTCAATTTCAGAATTTGCATTTTTGTTGAAGTCTGCATTTAGTTTGGAATTAAATTATTATTTGTGTACAAAATTTTAGGAAAACATTCTAAAAACCGAGTTCTAATTCCTTCGTATCAATTAAAATATTTGTAAAAATCATTTCATTTTCCATAATAATATCCACTTTGACGAAATGACCAACAACTCGAATAATATCAGTTCGTTTGTTTTGGGCGAGTGGCGTGCTGGGGCAGGTCGACAAACACGTTTCGCAAAAATTGGCAAGTCAACAAAACACAAGATCGCGTGAGCTAGAAAAAAAACGCAGTCTTGGCAGCCGCTGCGGCTCGAGTCTTTCTCCGTCTTTTGTGTAGAATTTGAGAGAAATTTAATAAAAAAAAAAAAAAAAATTGTAGGCTCTAATTAATTTTTAGAAGTACATCATATTGTTTCTGATCTTCAACGCAATTAAATGGAACCGAAAAATTTCAAATTAATAAAATGTATTGAATCGACTAATAATTAAAATTTGATTCTTATTTTAAGTTTGTTTAAAATTAAATTTTTCTCGGGAAAAATTGGTCACGTCTGGACCTTTCGCGTCCTAAAAAGAACAAGAAGTCGCGTTTTGCCATTGGAACCTGAAAAGCAAAACCATAGACAGAGAGGAGAAAAATCTTATCTCAACAATAAACGGAAAATTTAAAGATTTGTGCAGTTTTTAGTCAAAATAAAAACGCAAATGCGCTGACAATCCGTGCCTCCTCTGTTGAGTTGCAGGCCAAGGTCTCGTCAGGCCAAGATTTTCGATGCCGCTTTTGCATAATTCGTGACGATGGACCAGACTTGACGAAATTTAAAAAAGAGCGAAAAATTAATTTTGAATTTATAAAAGTTGCATTTCTAAAATTCTTCCTCTTTAACTTATTATTATTATTTTTTTTTTGGTTATTTTCACGTGAGAATTTAAAAATTTGCGATACGAGAGGGTTAGAAAAATTAAAATGTAATTTATTTGCTAATTAATTTAAATTTGAAGATTAAAATAAAAAAATTATTTCATCTTATTTTCTAGATAATTAGCTACATTATAATTTTCTATGACGAAATTTTTGAACAACTTGAGTGATTTCGGTTTGTTTGTTTCGCAAAAATTGGCAAGAAATTCTATTTTGGTCGACAAAACACAAGATCGCGTGCGCTCAAAATAACACAACGCTCTCTATAATTCCTCAAGCACTTTCTTGGCAGCCGCTCTGGCTGCGAGACCGAGTCTTTCTTCGTCCTTTGTAAATAATTGTGTAAAGTTTGAGAGAAATTGAGATTTCTTCAAAACAACAAATTTAAAAAAGGATAGAAAAAAAGTTTTTTTTAAATATTAAATTTACACAAAATTATTCAATAGTTTTGCATTCGACAATGACAAAAAAGGTCAATAAAAATATATTTTAAGCAATAAGTTTATAATATTACATCATTTTGGCACACCATTTTCAACATCCTTTGGTTTCCCTATTGCATCATTTAGCAACTTCCGATTGCGTCAGTAAAATTCAATAAACCTCCAGTTCGGACAAAATCAACAAAATTCAATCGAAACTGCAGAAATTTTTAAATAAATGAAGTCCTATTCTTTTGCGAAAATTAACGGTACAGTGTGTAAAGTGAAATTAGTTGGCAAAAGTAGTTCAGGAAGGCTCCGGAAAAAGTCCCAGAATTGCAGAATTTTTATCCCTCGATTTCCTGCTTTCCACAATTCGATTTGAACGTTCGTTGCGAATCAATTCAATCGCCTTTGGAAACAGTGGAAAGTGAGATTGACTGAAAAGCAGCCAACTAGAGCTGTTATCAGCAAAACAAAAATAAAGCGGAGCAATGGACTCCTTATTTATTTTGTGCCAAGAGCGAATTTCGGAGCGAAACTCGCGGCGATCGGGCCCAGTTTGCGGCCGATTGAGCGCCGAATTCGACGCTGCCGGAAGTAAAATGCAGACCTACCTTAAGTGCAGCTGATTAAGCCGAGTAATGAGGAAATTATCGCTGTTGCTAGGTGTATCGCAGCCGTCATTCTACAGGGAGAACTGTGTTTACGGCAGGAAAAAAACTCGCTGGGGAAGAAAATGCCCCGCCCCCTCCAAGCTTTCGCCGGAAAACGCCGACCGCAGGCAGGTGGCAGCACCGGACGGTGCGATTATTTGAACATGAAATTTTTAGAGCAAAAATTATGCAAAAAATTGTTATTTTTTCTAGTTTTTCCCCAAATTATGTCTGATAAATGAGAATTTTTTTAAAGGAAAGGAAGTTAAAGACTAGTGTGATAAAATTTTCAATTTACTGAATTCACCAAGTTCTTGGAAAGATTATTATGCATTATTCAAAATAATTATATATTATACATAAATTTTGGAATAATTTTACTATAGCAATAAAATACAGAGTCAATCATTGAAAAATTATTTAATGTCACAAACATCACAAAACATTTTTTCTTGTATTTTCTGAAGCCGTGCGTGGCTGTACGAGCGCTACACACTAATAACAAATTGCACTTTTTTTTCCAAATTTAAGCACATTTTTATTTCTTTATTATGTTCATCTTTGGATCAGTTTTGTTTTTAGCAAGAATAGCACTCAAGGTTAATTTGGTCGTTTTTTATACATCTTTATGTCTCATTTGCACATATTCGAAGGGGTTTGAGCTGAAACCGTAACCTGAAAGAGGTAAAGCATAAAATGAGGTTAAGCTTTTGACATTAAATAATACATAATATCCAAAATCCAACACGATTATTTATCATATTTGAGGCAACACATCTGTTTGCTTTCGGTAACTCCATTACTTTTTGGGAAACTACGCAAATATTACTAAGTCTTGCAGCTAGGGGTGTCGCTTATAATACCTGAAACTACGATTCCTGCACACTCGGATAGTTGTAATCAGGTACATCATAGACGTGAGGTCACATTTCTTGCGGAAAAGGAAGAGCGGAAACAAAAATATACTTTTCATATCACATCAAAATAGGCCATAATAGATCCACCACTAATTACTGTAACTGCTTTACAAATTTGCCAATGCTCTTAAGATTATCACAAAGTTTAATTTAAAATTAGGATGCGTGTCCAGTGATATGGAGATTTAATAAATTTCATTTGTTGCAAATTTTCTATATTGCGTCAAAATTTCTTCTCAAGAAATTTCCTCACAGGAACTGATTCTTGCGTTTCCCAAAAATAAAATTTAAACTCGTTCACCAAAATAGATTTAATTGAAGTACTTTGCTAAACTGTCTCCGTCCTACTTTTTCTCTCCACCGATTAAATAAAAATGGCAAAGAAAACTACTCTTTCGGACGTTTGATTTCACCGAACAATGGCACAAGACCTAAACAATCCTCGAGCCAAGCTGCTCACAGCAACTGAATATCAAGTCTGCAGACCCCCCGAGGGTCTTTTTGTCCGTTTTCCACACTAGCTGTCCACTCGGCACAATTCCTCTTGATTCACAATCACTTGGATGATGTAGCCGGAGGTGATTTTGACCTCGTCGATGTGCAGTTTGTCGCCCAACAACTTTCCTCCAAAGTACCACCGCTGCCTTGACACTTCGATTGCCTCTTGGCTCTGAAATTTTTTAATAAAATCAAATATTCTCTATTATAAAAGAAGGTGACATACTCTGAGTTTTCTCTTGCAGGCAAAGATGGTGTCCGTGGACAGGACGGGCAGTTTAATGTCACAACAAGTTGACGACAGTCGCAGCTTCAGGACAATCTCAGTTCCGTCGCCGTCTCCATTGTTTTCTGAGAATGATCAAATTTATTATAAAATTCAATTGGATGGATGAAATTGTCCAACCTGAGGAGTCCGGCGATTCTCTGCCACTGAAGTCTTTGACGATGTTGATCGGGTACGAGAGGCAGTAGACGGGAACCTGATATCTGCTGCCCAGTTCATCGTAACACTCAGTCAGGAAACCTTACAAATAAAAATGGAATTAATGCATAAAAAACAGAGCAAGCGGATCGGCATAATCCACTTATATGCGGAAAGAAAGCCGTATTAGTAAAGAGGGAAACGAAAATTTGTGTCAAGAATTAGTAAAAATAACTTTATCCTCGGTTAAAATAATCTAGATTAACTCACGAATTCAATTATGCTGAAGATTAAAAACTTTTCGTTCGATTAACTTAAATGTTGGATGAAAATTAAATTTTATGATTGTGAGTTTTCAAAAGATAAGGAAAATTTACAACTCATTGGACAATAAAATGAATCAATCCTCGAATGTACCATTTGGCACGGAAACGTTGGCGCCGTCCAAGATGGCCTGGGCCAGCTGGAAGTCGCAGGCCTCGTAGGCAGTGGCGGCCGCCCTCAGAGCGTCCCAAATCTCCTTCCTGCCGTCGAAGGCGGGCGCCGTGTCCCAGAATTCGTCCCGCTTGCTCCGCAGCTGTCCGTCCGTCAGCGGAATGTCCGATTTCCACCGAATCACTTCGTGGCACAGAGGGTGGTTTTTCCTGGTACCGCTTCCTGAAAGGCAAACGTGCAGGGTCGATTAATAAATAGAATAGAGGCTAAATCAACAACACAATCATATTATTATTAGCCTTGAAATCCAATCTATGGCGACGAAGAGGAGAGAAACCACAAAAGTGCTCTTATCTGTGGCTGCGTCGAAGAAAGTCGCCGAAGCATCCGAAATTTCACCCGAATACGATTTAATTTAAAATTAATATTTAATTTCAGGCGGGTTGATTCGAAATGCTAGGGAAATCCGTGAGATTTGTGAGGAAATAATCTGGAGCGACTTTTGAGGCGACCGTGAATTGTACCTGAATTGACGCGACTCGCGCCCTCGGACGAGGCCGACTCATTCCTGCTGCGCTCCCGACTTCTACCTAGACAGCCTCCCATGGCTCTGATGGCTCGAGAGCAGCGCAAAATGCATTACAGAGCCCAAACTAAGTGCTCAAATCGCAACAAGTCGCACTTCCAGCGAGTGGCACGTCGGCCATGTTTGAAGAGCGATTTCTCTCTAGCGCCGCCAACGCCACCTGCCGGCCGCCGCCTCAAGCTCCACTCGAAGCCATGAACGCGAGGCCGAACGCCAGCAGCGTTTTCCCAACTCGTCCTTTTAAACTTTAAATCGCCTCGAAATAGGTTGGTACTTTTAATTTCTCGTGCTTTTCGCACTTCTCCTCTCGCGAGGAATGTATTTTGACGTTCAAAATCGGTGACTCGGTGCAGGCAAATCGCGAATTCGGTTCGAAATTGTGGCTACGTGACTCGATACCCAGTGACGCGCTTTCGTTTTTCCTCGACAAATCGAACACAAAACGCCAGGCAGGATGCCAGTTTTGATTCGAAATGACCCATTTTGCACTTCAATCCAGAATTATTGTGAAATGAGAAGTGAATTTTCATAGAAAAATGTTGTTGCTCCACAAAAAATCAAATTTCGGCTTCATTGTTTTGATCTTTTTCCATCAAAATTATGTTGTATTTTTTGCAGAATCCAATGATGGAGCGGAAGATAAAATTAAAGGCGCTCAACAGCCACATAACCTGCAAGATCTGCAGGGGCTACCTGATCGACGCCACCACCGTCACCGAGTGCCTCCACACCTGTAAGAAAATACTTAAAATTTTACTCCAGATTTTCTAAAAAACCAACTCCTCAGTCTGCAAAAGCTGCCTCGTGAAGCACTTGGAGGAAAACAACACGTGTCCCAGTTGTCAAATCGTGATCCACCAGTCGCACCCCCTGCAGTACATCAGCTTCGACCGCACCATGCAGGACATTGTCTACAAACTGGTGCCAAAGCTTCAAGAAAGTACGCTGCAATTTCGGAAAAACCCTCATTGTAATGAATTTTCAAAATTTGCAGATGAAATGGAGAGAGAACGAGCCTTCTACGCTTCCAAAGGTCTGCCCTGTCCAAAGGACGTTCCTGTTGCGGGTGCGGAACAAGACGCGGCGGCCACGGCCAAGGCCGAGGTGGACCAGCACGCCGCGGCCGACTACCACAGACAGGACGAACAGGTCAACCTGCAGCTGGAATGCATGACCAGCAGCCTCAAGAGTCTGAACCGCCGCTTCATTCGGTGCTCCTCCTCGGCCACGATAAGCCACCTCAAGAAATTCGTTGCCACCAAATTACTTGTTCCTGAAAAATACAGAGAGGTGAAAATTGTCTCAATAAAAATAGATTTTGGTAGAAACTAATTCGGCAATACCGCAGATCGACATCTTTTGCAATGACGAGCTTCTCGGCAAGGACCACACGCTGAAGTTTGTCTTCCTCACCCGCTGGAGGTTCAAAGAGCAACCCATCAAGCTGCAGTACAAGACCAGCACGATTGAATTTTGAAAGCTCTGGAAGTGCATTAGATTTAAAGAAATGTATTTTTGCACCTGCAAAGTTTTAAACCGCAATTGTCGTCGAATGAATGTTAATTCACTTTGAAATGTACCAAACGGATCTCCCAAATGCATTGTTGCAAATGTTTTTATAATTAATTGACAATATTCCAGTTTAAAATTTTAAATCTGACATCAAGTCTCTTTGGAAATAATGTACATGAATTACCTAAATCTCTAGGTTTTATGTTCTATCAAACGTGAAGCTGCTCGATTAAATTTGCCACATTTATTTATATTGGTACTTTTTGTCAAATAAAAGTGGCCTAGGTTAAGATCAAACACAAATCATTACCTTTTCATTTGATCCCATTAAAATAAAAAACAAAATTTATTGCTCAAAAATTTAATGCAGAGACCTAAATAATCGTACACAACCTTTTCAGGGAAAATGTTCAACAAAGTATCACAAAAATATTCAAGTGAGTTGTGATGATGTTTGGTGTTTGCGATACATATTGTCATGGAATGCTCTTGACAAAATTAATTTCATTCACTCCTGATGGACATTTCTACTGGGTTAATTGAAAAACAAAAGCAGCGATTGGTCGTCTTGATGTGCACCTTGATGAGATTCAGTCAAAAACCAGCTCGGTCTCGGAATTCTTGGTGACCAGAGTGACGAGACTGCCGTTCGGAGGTCTGCTCTCGCCTTTGCACCACTTGAAGAACATCCTTTAAAAAATAATGAATTAACTTAATTTTAATACAAATTTTATGTGCTTAAAATTTTTCATGAAATTGATGAAATTAATATAATATCCAAAATGAACAAAATTGGATTTCGGTAGTTTTGGTTGATTTAAAATTTCTTACTCCGCAACATATTCCAACGGAGTCCAGGTGGTCGTGTCGGCCTTGGGCATGAACTTCCTGTTCATGGGCGTGTCCAGGGTGACCGGCAGGGTGGCCACGACCAGCGAGTTGGCCGGCATTCCACTTTTGTCCCCAGCCAGAGACTTGGTCAGCTGGTGGACGGCCGCCTTGGCCATTCCGTAGCCGACCATTCCTGCAATTCAAATTTTTATAAAAAAAAAAAAACTCAAAGTAAATTTGAGGATCGACCTGGAGTGGGGCCAAGGGCGGGTTTGGCGCCGGGGAGGGTCAGGACGCCGCCGTCCTTGAGGAATTTGGTGGCCACGGAGGCGGCGATGACCGAACTCCACACGCTCTGCTTCCACATCATGTCTGAATTCTTGATGAGGTCCGCGGAGGCCGCGTTGCCGCCGGCCCAGCCGCCCGCGACGCAAATCACGGCGTCCAACTTTTCGCTTCCGAGCAAGTCTCCGACTGCCTTCACCACTGATGATTCCTGGCAATTTAAATTAAATTAAGGATAAAAATTGATTTTAATTTTAATTATACCTGGTCATTCCAAGAGTCTGCGGGCTGGACCAAAATGTTTGCATCGGCTTGGTCGTTGTTGGCCAAATCAATCGAACCGACCCACTAGAAATTAGAAAATATATAAATTAGTTTTTAATTTAAATAAAATATTCAATTTTTTTATCTTATTTTAATTACAGAAACAAGAAATTTCCTGATTTTTTTACAAAAATGGAATTTAAATTCCAGAAAAATATAAATTTAATTAACAATTAAAGTTTGTGACTTAATACATCAGTAAGAATAAAATTTTGCAAAAAAAAATTAAAATAATAATGACATATTTCTAGTAATATTTTATTATGTATTTAACGCCAACAACTAATTCAAAAGATTTGTGGATAAGTTTCCGTCTTGATTTCAAAATCATTAACAAAAATAGACCGTTTCCGTCATGAATGACTAGAGAGGTGAAAGGGAACCGCATATTGTGAGCGCGATAACCCAAAGGGCAATTTTTAACAAACCGCGGATCAACAATTAAGATTTCGAAATATCCTAAAAAAAATTTGTGTTTATTACTATAAATTTGACTTTATTTTGAATAAAATCAGGTATAATCACTTGAGTACCTTATTATAATTTATTGTCGGTACAAACACTTTATGTCATTGAACATACGGCTAAATTTCTCCTTTTTTTTGCTAAAAAATAAGAGACAAATATTTACCCAGTTGTTGGCCTTGAAGTGGGCGACGCAAGAGGCTCCGAGGGCTCCTCTGCCTCCGTAAATCAGCACTCGTCCCAGGGCAGACATTTTTCGCCTCAATCAACCCTTTCGAATCCGACCCGAGATGAAAATGAGAAAGGTGAGATTCACGTTCTCCAGGACCGAACCGACAGAGCGAAACCAAGCGAAACGAAACGAGCACCAGCAGCAGGACCAACAGGTTTGTTAATGCACAGGAGGGGGCGTGGCACGGGCCCATGGGGTGAAGTGGGGGCAGCGATCTTCAGTTTTTTTGGCAGGTTCAAAACGCCGCCGCGCCAAAGCCACGTGGAATTGATGTTCGATCGCTTTTATACAACTTCTTGGCCTCTGCGCAAATTGTCGCTCTTTGATTCATTGCGAATTTATTGGATTGTAAACAATTATTTTCTTAAATGAGAAGCAGAACATGGAAATGCATTTTTTGCAGCTATTTCCTAAATCCTTATTTTGACAAAAACATTTTGGAGCTGTGATTCGATTGCAACCAAAAAAATATTGATTTTTCCGGATTTTTCATTTGCTATAAATCATCCTCAATTTTCCCACAAAAATCTTAGATATTTTTATTTATTTGTTTTAGTTCACCGTCAACGAGAGAAAGAGAACCAACTTGTTCAGCTGAGTCTGTAAAAAAATATATTTTTATAATTATGTACAATTTTCACTGCCTATATCATTTTTTCAATTTTTTGAAAATTAGACCAATTTTACACAACGTTTTTATAATATGATCCTAGAGGAATTCACGATAGGTTTTATATTTAAAAAAAATAAATAAACATTAAAATTGATAATAAAATTTAATTCTTGAAATTTTTCTTCTTAAATTGATTGTCAATTAATAATTTAATAATCTGGAGATTGTTGGAAAAAATTATTCATAAGGTTTTTGCATCATTTTTGATAAAATATAAACGATAATGAAACCAATAGGGATTTTGAATTTGCATGTTTCTCGCAATCAAAGGCTGCGCATCCCAAAATTATGTTGGTACACGGCTGCCGTCAGAGCCATGGGGCCTTATGGCTCGGGCGGAAGACATCTTTTTTTTTTTGGCCAACATAATAGAGCTGATGCGTGGCCTTTGCTCGCAATAATGGCCAATGGCGAGTAAAGAGTGTTGCCAACTCGGAAAGACATTGTTGAGCATCAAAAATGACTATAATTGTATACGAGAGTACACAGGAGCTCGCAGGAGGTCACGTACAGCGCGAAAAGTGGCAGATTTTGTTGAAGGGTCACGAAAAATAACTTGCGCGAGATCAACAAATAAAAATAAATCTGTTATCAATAAGCGACGTGCAATTCATTCATAAATCTGCACCGATCAATACAGTTTTGAACCAAATTTATTTTTTTAATCTCAGCATAATAAAACATAGTCTCTTTAATGTTGCGTTGATGCTAAAAGATTGTATTGATCTTTTCAATTAATTATTTAAAAAAAAGAAGAGGCTGCCGCTTGGAAAATTTTAACACGTAATTAAAAGTTGTTCGATTTTTGCTACGTCGAGAAAAACAAAAATTCATACAAAACAGTCGTTTTGTGCGTCCTGAGTTGAGCGGATGTTGCGAACCTGTGTGCGTCACGGTAGTATTTTGTCATTATTTAGATCTGAAAACTTCATAATTAAGGCATGGTGGCCAACTCTGGTTTAATGTAAAGTTTGGCGCTGCAGGAAGATGCAGACGGGCTGGAGCTTGTCTTTTCTATTGGCTTTGATACTGATATCCACGGTAATAAAACATACTTTTCCCCCAAATTCACCCACTTGAAACGGTGATTACATTTTCAATTTTCCCCGGAAGCGCCCTTTGAAGCAAAAACTGACAACTTTTGTTTTTTTTTTTTAAATTTATTTTTAACCTGTTTTTAACATTTCTTTTTTCACTGTTGTCTTCAGGAGCAACGAAACAATGTTATTTAATTTTTATATGGCCATATATTGAAAAACAAATGTTAATAAAAGTGATTTTTTTTAGCTCCAAATGAAAGAAAACAACAATTTTCAAAACATTTAGAGCGTCCATATTTAATGTTTATATTTGTGTTCAAAATAAAAATAAAGGCCATAATTTATCAAAATGCATTCTTTGACTTTTCTGCTTGGGACAGGATGCATCTTGACCGCGCATATTTGACCTCTTGTCAACGACTCATGCACAAAATCTTACAGATTAATTATTTTTTTAACGTCATGAGTCATGTGGAATGACATAATGCGTTCATTGTAATTGAAAAACTTTTATGGTTTAATGACCTCGTAGTTTGAATATCATTAAAAAAAACCTGATCTTTGATTGAAAAATTTCATATAGTCGTTAGTGAAAATGAATTTATTTGAATCAGAAACAAATTTGCTTAAATATTATATTTGCCTCCTGATCAACTTTTAGCTTCGCTGTGATTGCAAAAGGAGCCTTGGAAGAAAACAGGCGAAACGTCGTATCTCGACCTCTACTGGAGCAACAAAAAAATAGTATGATTGCGCAATTAAAAGATAAAAAAAAAATTAAAAAAATTAATTGTCTTATAATAAAATACAGGCAAACGAACGCATATTATAAAATGCTGTGGGCGAAGCTCTTGCTCAAATCCCATTCACAAGAATAAAAACGTGACCAAAATAAGCGCCACGGCAGAAACTGATCGATTTTCAAAGGTTTAATAATATGTTATCAATTTAATATAAAATTCTAATTTAATCAAAATTAATTATGGACAGATTTCCACGTCACCGAGTGTTGCTTCAGTTGAAGAAGCTGAAAAAAAATTAACTCCTGCAATAACCGAAGAAACTAAAATTATTGAAATGGAATCATCTGATTTGACTACAACTCAAGATGGAAATTCTGAAAGTGCGAGTAGCATTGGAATGAAAATTTTTCTCAGTGAATCTACGATCGAATCAACATTTGTTGAATCTTCACCCCCTGCTGTCCCACCAACTTCCACGACGACGAGTGCAACGACGGCTGTCAAAACTACTTCAACTTCAACCGCAACTTCAACCTCGGTTTCAAATTCAGCCTCATCTTCAAATTCTACCTCAACCCCAACTTCAACCTCCATTTCAACTTCTATTTCATCCTCAACTTCAACCTCAACGGCCTCAACCTCAACTTCAACAACTACCAAAGTCCCCACGACTACTCGAACCACATCAATTCCACCAGGCGTATGTAAAAATAACACATAACATTCCTGCAGGAATTATTATATTTTATTTAAAGAAATCATGTAATGGCGAGTTTTTCTTTAGGCCCTTTTTAGCTGTGAGAATTTGTTCTGCGAAAAAAATGTAAGATTTGCTTATCAAATCTCAATTTGATTTAAGTATCTTGCTCACAATTAAGAGATTCGTTTTTTCTTAACCCTGAATTCTAAATTGCAGATCACATTACTTTCACGAGATAATGTCGTCGTCGTCATGGGTAAAAAAACTCATAAAAATGGATTTTCATTTCATACAATCAACCTTTTTCTATTTAAAGACGCTCAAAGATACGGTTATTGGAAAGAGACATGCGGGATGCTTTACTTATTTGGAAAGAGCGCGGTAAGAAAAAGACAAGAAATAATCAAATATATTCGCTATTAAATATTGCAGGTAGAAATATAATCATAAATGTAGGCTAAAATTTCAGTCATGCATTCTCCTCTCATTATTAGATCAATCGAAATTTTTTTCTTATTTTAACAAGTAATATATATTAATTTTAGAGAAAGTAATTTCAAAAGTATTCAATTCTCTCATTTTTTTTATAATTTACCAATTAGTACAGTTGATTGAGTGTTGCTAATAACAGTAGAAAAATGATTTATGATTTTTTACTGGAGTAATTTTAGAAAATAATAAGTTCATAAAATTTGCACCTTGCATTTATTTAAACGGATAAATTTAGTTTTAATTCGTGAAATATCGCCGCAAGTTGTACATCAATTTGCTTTTTTGTAGATCGACTGGCAGACGAATTGGCAAAGGTGTTGCAGCCTCGGAATGGTTCCTATCGCGATCGACACGGATGAGAAACTCGCGTGTCTGAATAAACTAGTCGGTGCGGGTTTCGCATTTTTAGTGGAGCTAAAAAAAGGTGATTTAATATTTGTACAGGGAGTTGGGAATACCCGGCCAACTACTGGACGTCCGGCCGGCGACTGTGGCCCAACGACACTTTCCACTTCTGCCTGCCGCAACCCGTGTCCACCCTGAATTCCTCTTGGGCCTCAGGTCAGCCGGACAACGTCAACAAAAGCGAGGACTGCGTCCACCTGTACGTCAACAAGACCGGCACTTCCATGCAACTGACCGACGAAAATTGCAACAATTCCTACATTTTCGCGTGCCAGGTGAAATTTAAATCCAAATTAATTTAAAATTTAATGAAAAAAATCAGGGAGCACCAACGCCGGCGCCTCCTTGCTCTGCTCCAACATGTCCCGTATTTGATTGTTCGAAAGACGTAAAAAAAATTCATTTGAAATTGGAAAAAATTTTGCTCACCGTTATTTTTGCAGGCATCTCTATTTACTCTCTTGGCAGATAAAAAATCTCAATATTTGACAAGTGCGTTTTTTTTAATTAAGATTTAAATTAATATTCATTTGTTATCTTTACATTTGCGGTTTCAGACCCGGCGGCGTTTGGCCTGTGGTTCACCGTCAACAAGAGGACTTATTTGTTCAGCAGTTCAGCAGAGTCGGTAAGGAATTTTTTAATACAATTTTTTGCTGACTTTTGTACAAATACAAATTAATTTCTAAAATTATCAAGATATTTAAATTAATACAATCCTAGTGCAATTTACGATGGAATAATAGATTCATTCAAATTCATTATAATTTAATTTTTGAAATTTTTCATTAAAAGCTGAGCAAAATGAATACGAATTTCGAATTGATGTGTTTCTCGCAGTGGTTGGTGGCGAGCAAAGAGTGTTGCAAACTGGGAATGACGCTGTTGAGCATCGAAAACGACTACGAGTACGCAAATCTGCAGGCGGCCATCAATTGTAATTGAAATTTAATTCATCTCAAATATAAAATTAAAAATTCAGCAAACAAATCGATCCCGGCCGGTGCTCACTGGACGTCGGCCTCGGACGAGGGTTGCGAAAGGTCGTTTGGCTGGTGCTCGGTCAATAAATTGCTTTACAAAGCTGTTTGGGCGCAAAACAAGCCGGACGACCGCTGGGCGACGAAAAACTGCGCCACCGTCCACGTGGACAAGGACAAGGCGGAGCTTTTCGACGAAGACTGCTCCTCTTCGTTCAAGTACATTTGCGAAGTATCTCTTCATTGTTTAAATTTTATTTTGATGAATTTATTTTTGTTATTATTAAAGGCTCGAGACACTTCAAAATCGACAACTTCGGGCAACGCCATCAAGAATGAGTGCGCCGCCGTTTACAACGTGTCCGAAGGTAATAAAAAAAGTATTAAAATATAATAAATGAAACGTCGATGAGGAGTAAAAATCCAGTAAAGATTCAAAGAAAAATTTTTTAAAATCATAATTGCTATTTTCATTTAAAAGTAATTTTCTAAATTCTGCTTTTTGAAGTTGAGATGGGTGGAATTTTCAACTACACCAAATTCGATACTCGAATCAAGGTACAAAAATGTTTTGTTAAATTATTTATATTTGTATCAATTTTAATTTGAAAATTCTAAAGTGTTTTATTAAGTGTGCTGGACAAAACGGCGGATTTGTAAAAAGAAAACTAATATTTAGGAGTTAAAATTAATATGCAAATGGGGCTATAATAGATGGTGAATGGAAAGTTGGTGACGGAAGGACTTATAAAAATGGCCGAAATGACCTCCACAAATAATGCCAATCTGCAGGAAAACCTGGTCGCTGTTGACGAGTGCGCCAACATCAGTGAGTTAATTTAATCTTCACCGAATTTAAAGAAAGATTTTGAATAAATTAATAGAGGGCAAGGACGAGTGCGACACGGCGGCCCGGGTGTACCAGTGCGGCCAGCAAAAGGCCCCCAATCTGGTCGCGAACGTGATCGCAGCGGTCGAATTCAACACGTCAGCTGTACGTTGCAATTTGTAGTAAATTTAATATTTATTTAAGCGAGTTCGGAAAATTTTAATCTGATTTTTAATCGGGTATAATTATTCAAAACGCCATTTTATTTGTCAAAAAATGATAAGAAATTTCTAAGCTCCTTTCTCAGCCAAATCATTCGAATATTCGAGTTTTTGTGAATAACTTTTATTCCGAAAATGCATGAGTTTCCATATATATATCGATGACAACTTTGAAATGATTTAAATAATTTAAAATGAATAAAATGATTCTTTCCTTTATTTACTGTCATAATCTCAACGCAGTAAAATGATTAATGAATTAAAATTTAAAATGAAATTTTGGTATTGGGCAGGAGGACGTGCCGCTGAAACCGACGGAAGCCAAGTGCACGTCAGGGTACCCGTGCGTGATTGACGTGAGTTTTGCAATTTTTTAAAATTAAAATTATCACTCGTGTGCTTCCTTTTCTTTCATATATTGATCGCCAATACAGCCGGAAAAAAAGAATGCTTTCGATCAAAACATACGCGAGAAATTTTAAAATTAAAATTGACAGATTTTGATTGATTTTATTTTTATAATAAAATAAAGCGTTACCCGCGAATACGTACCACAGGAATGCGTGCGGTGGAAAAAATTACAATCTAATTGGCGGCTGGGTATTGAGAATTTTTTGTTTATGTAAATTATAAATAACCTTTTTGGGCAGAAAACGTTTGCGAATGCAATGAGCGCATGTTGCGAATTTGGTCTTCGCCTCGTTTCAATCGAAACAATTGAGGAGTTTAATTGCATCAAAGGTTGGTTCCCTGGTAAGTATTTGCCTTCCTTGATATATTTCCTGAAAATTTGGCATTTTCCACTGAAGGACAAGACCTACCGATGTGGACGTCCGGTAGTGGTTTGGGCAGCATGAACGCGCCAAAGTGGTGCGGCTCGTCCGACTCATCGTCGATCAACGTGTCGGCTTTCAAGTGGAATTTGGCTTCGGGTGGTGCGCTTTCCACGGACCCTAGCAAATACCTCGTCAATTTATTCGTCGCCGCCAATTCGGCTGATTCTCGATTTCTTAATGTGGGCATCGGAGTCGATAATGTTTTCCCGCTCTGCGAGGACTAAATTTTCCTTTGTGAAAAACAATTTTTTTTGCAAAATTCTATAATTTGACTGAAATAATAAACGCGCCGAGAACTTGTGAAACGTCAAAATTTAAACGAGCAAAATTATATGATGTATAATAATCACTATAGGTACCGGAGAGGATCTTTAAATAAAACCTATCGTGTAATTCTACTAGAATCACATAATAGAGACATATTATGTAAAATTCATTTTTTTTTAATGGGCTTATCATTTCCAGGTAATGAAATAGGCAGCGAAAAAATATAATTCTTTACGCACTCGGGGCTGAACAAAAGTTGCTTCTGTCGTTGACGATGAACCACAGCCCGTATAAAATCAATAAATAAGTAAAAATATGAATCTTTACATACACTGTATAAATTTACATTCTTGAATAATTTTTCAATTGAGAGTGATAAAAGCTATGAATAAAAGTATATCTTTTGCAATAAGTTAGTAAAAGTGCGTCATTTTGGTAAGCTTATTTTCAACATTTCCGCGGTTTTCAAATAATGCACTTCCGATTTAAAATTTGGGTAAATCAATTGTTATAATTAAAAAATAAAATAAATAAATAAAAAGCACCTTTTACAATTAGAGGCATTTACTCCAGTGTCAATTGAATATAAAATGAAGCAAATAGCCCTGTATAGTGGTAGCGAATCGCTCAACGTGTCACCGATTGGCCGAGATATAAGATAACTTTTTGATATAATTATTCCTTCCAACTTTTATACTTCCTTGCAATTCAGAAAAAGGAGACGATTCTTTCGACAGCACTGCGCATTGCATCTATTTTGATTTGCATTGTGGAAAAAATGAGAATGATTTTTATGGCAAATTAAATATCTATATATTTTTTTTGCAATTGAAGCAGAGCTCCCAATTTTTTTTTTTTTTTGTCAAGAAAAAAGGAGTTCATTGGAAAAATGGCTGCATAAATGCAGTTTTCATGTTCTGCTTTTTATTATGTTTAAAAATGTGCTTTTCGTTGGTAACACTATCATCGTACGTTATTGCGTATTTCGACTTATCACTGATTTGTTTTTGAAGAAGTTGACACTCGAGGAGATGATCATGGAAATGAAGATGTCGGCCGCTTTTCCTCGTTAATTGCAAAAATTGTTTTTATTCAAAAAACAAGTGGCTCTAATCTATCCCTTATTCATAATATGAATTACAAAATCTACTTAAGCTTTTATCAAAATATTGACAGGAAGACAAATTGGAAGAGGTTTTGGAATGGAATACGTGGCCATCATCAATTGACGCGGACGAGAAAAACCAGTGCTGAAATATAATAGATTAGTTCGCTTCGTTTTCAGAGCATTGTGCCCAAAAAAACACGAATACGCCGTGCATGAGTTAAGCGGATGTTGCAAACCTGTGTTTCAATATGCGCGCATCCTGAATTTTATAATACACGTTTGAAAACTTCATAATTACGGCACGAAGGCAAAATTGCTCGTGGTTTAGTTCAAATTCTGGCATAGTCGTGATTCTCAACAAGTGCGGCTGCAGGAATAAGATGCAGAGTGGCTGGAGCTTGTATTTTCTGTTGGCCGTGGCTTTGATATTGATGGTAATTTTGCCCAAATTCCTCCATGGTTGCAGCGTAAGGTGCACTTCACGAGCGCTGATTACATATTTTCATTTCACCTCTGAGGCGCTTCAGGGAGAACATGTTTTAGAAAACCTTAACAAACTGGATGAAAGGTCGGCGCTTCTTTGTCTGGGAAACTCTTGTTTTTCACTCTCCTTTTAACCTTATTTAAATACGCTCTTCGTTTGTGTCTGTTATTGTCTTCAGGCGCAACAAAGATGTGTTTTAAATATCGAAATCTTTTTAATTTTTAACAAACTTTTTTGCCCTTTTGAGCTTCATTTATTTCCAATTGCAGATTATTGAAAATTTTTGTTGATAAAAGTGACTTTTATTTAGCACAACATGAAAGTACCCAGGATCAATTTTCATTATGAAAATTTAAAAAAAAAAAAAAAAAAAAAAAAAAAAAAAAATGGAGCAGTTATAGCGAAAATGTGTATTTGAATATGAAGAAAATTTGTTTAAGATATTATTTTAATTTTTGCATCTCTAATCAAACTATTTAGCTTGGCTGTGATTGCAGCGGAAGGAACCTGAGAAAAATACAACGACCTATTAAAGCATTAAAAAATAGTATGATTGAATTAAAAGATGTAAAGGAAAAATCTAATTATTTTTGCTTTTTATAATAAAATGCAGACAGACGAACGTTTATCATAAAATGCTGCGGACGAAGCTCTTGCTCAAGTCCCATTCAGAAGAATAAAAACGTGACCAAAATAAGCGCCACGGCAGAAACTGGACGATTTACAAAGGTTAAATATAAATTAAATAAACAATTCCTATTTATTGCAATTTATTTAAGGGGAAAATTTCCACGGCACCGAGTGTTGCTTCAGTCGAAAAAGCTGAAAAATTAACCACTGCGATTACTGAAGAAACCAAAACTACTGAAACTGAATCACCTGATTTGACCACATCTCAAGAAATAAATTCTGACACTGCGGGTAGCGTTGGAACGACAATTTTTTTGAGTGAATCTACGAAGGAATCAACATTTGTTGAATCTTCACCCCCTACTGTCCCAACAACTTCTACGCCGACGAGTGCAAGTGAAACTACTTCAACCTCAACTACAACCTCAACTTCAACAACCACCGAAGCACCCACGACTACTTTAACCACAACAAATCTACCAGGCGTATGTAAAAATAACGCACCAGATAGTTAGGCAGGAATTTTTATTTTTTATTTATAAAGAAATAATGCTGATATATTTTCTTTTTAATGGTGCGTTTATCTTTAGGCACTTTACAGCTGTGAAAATATGTTCTGCAAAAAAAATGTAAGATTTAATCAAATTTTTAATGATTTTGATTTATGTGTCATTTTTTCAACTCTCATTTCCTAATGACAGATCTCGTTGCTTTCACGTGACAATGGCGTCGTCACAGGTACAACGAAACCTCCTAAAATGGAATTTTTTTTAATCAACAATATAATTTAAAGATGCTCAAAGATATGGTTACTGGAAAGAGGCGTGCGGGGTGCTTTACTTATTTGGAAAGAGCGTGGTAAAAGAAAAAGGACATATTATTATAAGATTATCTAATTTTAATAATATAGAATTATTCGCAATACATAATTATGTATTATTATTGCAGGATGAAATATTGTCATAATCGAGGTTAAAATTTTCGCGTTTCGGTTGGAAATTCTGCAATATTACCAGACCAATAATAATATGTTTTCAATTTTTGCCGTTCGTAAATTTATTTTTAGAAAGAGTAATTTAAAATAATTGTTTTTACTTTTTTAAGAGAGAAAACGTTTAATTCGTGATGGGGAAAAAATTGCTACTTTTTCCATCTTAAATAAAGAAAAATCATTTTAAATATTTTTTTTTTAAATGAAGTATATGATCACTTAAAAAAAAAAATGCTTGACATTTTCACCAAATGTTCAGTAAAAATAAAGAATTGGCCAAATAAAAAATTATCAATTTTGTATATTAAATAGAATCTTTGTTATTTACAAGCAAAATTATATATTTCTTCACGTCTCAGAGAGTAAAATTACGAGTTTGGCAAAAAAATTAACTCCCAAAATATGAAAACATGAATTGGTTTAACGTAAATTTAGTTTCATTCGCCGCGGGTTGTACATCAATTTCGACTTAACTGGGGCAAAATTTGCTTTGTTTTTTAGATCGACTGGGAGACGAATTGGCAAAGGTGTTGCAGCCTCGGAATGGTTCCTATCGCGATCGACACGGATGAGAAACTCGCGTGTCTGAATAAACTAGTCGGTGCGGGTTTCGCATTTTTAGTGGAGCTAAAAAAAGGTGATTTAATATTTGTACAGGGAGTTGGGAATACCCGGCCAACTACTGGACGTCCGGCCGGCGACTGTGGCCCAACGACACTTTCCACTTCTGCCTGCCGCAACCCGTGTCCACCCTGAATTCCTCTTGGGCCTCAGGTCAGCCGGACAACGTCAACAAAAGCGAGGACTGCGTCCACCTGTACGTCAACAAGACCGGCACTTCCATGCAACTGACCGACGAAAATTGCAACAATTCCTACATTTTCGCGTGCCAGGTGAAATTTAAATCCAAATTAATTTAAAATTTAATGAAAAAAATCAGGGAGCACCAACGCCGGCGCCTCCTTGCTCTGCTCCAACATGTCCCGTATTTGATTGTTCGAAAGACGTAAAAAAAATTCATTTGAAATTGGAAAAAATTTTGCTCACCGTTATTTTTGCAGGCATCTCTATTTACTCTCTTGGCAGATAAAAAATCTCAATATTTGACAAGTGCGTTTTTTTCCAAATTTTTATATTCCTTTTTTTACTTTTGTATTTTTAGACCCGGCGGCGTTTGGCCTGTGGTTCACCGTCAACGAGAGGACCTACTTGTTCAGCACTTCAGCCGAGTCAGTAAGGAATGATTATTTCATACAATTCTCGCTGCCTATATTTTTTCATTTAAATTATTCGAATTAAAATCTAAGGAATTAAAAAAAAAATTCTTCAATTTCATGATTTTCGATAGGTTTTATCAAAAAATGGCAATTATTGAAAATGAATATACAATTAGATTCGTGGAATTTTTCTTCTAAATTTGATTCTCAATAATTTATTGATCAAGAGATCAATGATTTGTGCTATTTCTGCTGCAAATATATTTAAACCATTTTTACATAATTAAACGATGAGGAAACCATTACAGCAAATTTGAATAAATTTGTGTTTCTCGCAGTGGTTGGTGGCGAGCAAAGAGTGTTGCAAACTGGGAATGACGCTGTTGAGCATCGAAAACGACTATGAGTACGCAAATCTGCAGGCGGCCATCAATTGTAATTGAAATTTAATTCATCTCAAATATAAAATTAAAAATTCAGCAAACAAATCGATCCCGGCCGGTGCTCACTGGACGTCGGCCTCGGACGAGGGTTGCGAAAGGTCGTTTGGCTGGTGCTCGGTCAATAAATTGCTTTACAAAGCTGTTTGGGCGCAAAACAAGCCGGACGACCGCTGGGCGACGAAAAACTGCGCCACCGTCCACGTGGACAAGGACAAGGCGGAGCTTTTCGACGAAGACTGCTCCTCTTCGTTCAAGTACATTTGCGAAGTACATATCTCTTCATTGTTTGAATATTATTTTGATATGACTTTATTTTCTTTTTGAATAAATAGGCTCGAGACACTTCAAAATCGACAACTTCGGGCAACGCCATCAAGAATGAGTGCGCCGCCGTTTACAACGTGTCCGAGGGTAACAAATTAAAATATGTAAAAAATAAAACGTCGTCGGAGAATATTTGAAGACGAAAATAAATATATTTAAATAACATTGTTTTTAATTAAATGCCATTTTTGAAAATTTTCTCCTTTAAAGTTGAGATCGGTGGAATTTTCAACTACACCAAACTCGATACCCGAATCAAGGTAGTGAGATTTTTCTTATTTTTATCAATTATTTTCATTTGCAAATCCCGATTTTAAAGTGTTTCATCAACTGTGCTGGAAAAAACGGAGGATTTGTAAAAATAAATTTTTATTTAAGATCTATTATTGTATACAAGTTTGGGGCAAATTTTTGTTTTATAGATGGTGAATGGAAAGTTGGTGACGGAAGGATTCATAAAAATGGCCGAAATGACCTCCACAAATAATGCCAATCTGCAGGAAAACCTGGTCGCTGTTGACGAGTGCGCCAACATCAGTGAGTTAATTTAATCTTCACCGAATTTAAAGAAAGTTTTTGAATAAATTAATAGAGGGCAAGGACGAGTGCGACACGGCGGCCCTGGTGTACCAGTGCGGCCAGCAAAAGGCCCCCAATCTGGTCGCGAACGTGATCGCAGCGGTCGAATTCAACACGTCAGCTGTACGTTGCAATTTCAAGTCAAGTTAATTTTTAATTACAGTGGTCCTGTATTTTTTTTATTTGGTCATTGAAAATTACGCTTCGTGTGCATTTTTGTAAGATAAATGCTAATCAAAAATATTTTCAAATCATTTCAGCCGAATTAATTTAAAAAAATAATAATTCGTTTCGATGAATCAATTTTATTCCGAAAAATAAAAATTTTTGTCATTAAACGCATAATTCTTGAATTGATTTAAATATTTTCAATCAATCAAGTATTTATTAAATATAAAAATGTGTACAAGATACAAAAATGGCAATACAAGTACATAATTTATACACTAAACTATTATGGTTGATCGATTTAAATATTTTCCATACAATGAGATTTAATTTTATTCTTTCCTTTGTCTGTCCAAATAACATCGCAATAAATTAATTAACTGCTTCTCGTGTGTCCGATGTTGAAATTTAAAAATGAAATTTGGGACTGGGCAGGAGGACGTGCCGCTGCCACCGACGGAAGCAAAGTGCCCGTCAGGACACCCGTGCGTGATTGACGTGAGTGTTCCAATTTTTTTTTTTTTTTTAAATTTTCACTCGCGCTTCCTTTTTATATAAATCGCCATTTTTATCATGTGCAGCCGGCAAAACGGAATGCTTACGAACAAAATATACGTGAGAAATCGTCACATTGGCTAATTGAAACTTATTTTGATAATAATATATAAAGCGTTGGCCGCGGTTGCGTACCACAGGAATGCGTGCGGTGGAAAAAATTACATTTCAATTGGTGGCTGGGTATTGAGAATTTTTTAATGTTTTTTTTTCTTAACAACGAAAATTTGGGAAGAGCTCATTTGCAAGTGCAACGACCGCATGTTGCGAATTTGGTTTTCGCCTTGTTTCAATCGAGACAATCGAGGAGTTTAATTGTATCAACAGTATGTTCACTGGTGAGTATTTTCCTTCATATATATATATTTGCTGAAAATTTGCAATTTCTTATGAAGGAGACATGCCGATGTGGACGTCCGGGAGTGGCTTGGCCAACATGAACGCGCCAAAGTGGTGCGGCTCCGACTCGTCGATCAACGTCTCGGCTTTCAAGTGGAATTTGGCTTCGGGTGGTGTCCTGTCCACGGACCCTAACAATTACCTCGTAAATTTATTCATCGCCGCCAATCCAGCTGATACACGATTTCAAAACGTGGGCAACAACGTCAACTGGGTTTTCCCGCTGTGCGAGGACTTATAAATTTTCCTTTGTGTGAAAAATCTTTTTTCGTAAAATTAAAAAAAAAACTCTTCTTTATATAAAATTACATAGAACTGTGAAAGAATAAATGCAAATCGAGAACTTGTGAACCCCAAATTATTTATACATTTAGAAAAATTAAATGTATATTTTTTTTCGTGGTAATTTTTCTATTTCTTCTACAAACATGAGAGCAACGAACAATCAATAGTAAATTTAATAATAAGCTTTCAAACGCTTTCCAAGTTTGCTTAAATTATACAATTTTTGGTAAAATTTAAATTGTTTGAAGAACGGTAAATTTTTTTGTCATTTTTTTTTATTGGGTTTTTAGCTCTAGCTCTTGTGGAAAACATTTTCTAGAGAAAATTGTTTTGCTGAAAACTTGTAGAAAATTTAATTCAGCACACTTTTTGTATTAAATACCATTTTCTTCTAAATTCATTGCGCATAAAGTTATTAAAGCGGAAAGGTTAAAAAAATGAGTTTTCTGCTCAAAGTTAGCCTTCAAAAATGGAACGCGAAGGCTCAAAATCGCCTGAGGTGTTTCAGGACGAATCGTGCAAATCTGCAGAAACCCTTCTTTCGAGATACTTTAATTCTAGAGAAGGATTTGCGTCGACGATATGCAACCTGCTAAGCTTTGACGTCGTGCCGGTTGCATACTTATCCTACCAGCAGGCGTTTTTCCAGTGGTTTCTGAAGTTGGCCGGTTGCGCCATGCAGATGGCAGCACCAATCAAAGGCGCGATCGTGATTAGTGAGCCACGCCCCCTTCTAGAACTGACACATGTAGAGAGCGAATTTACTTTATTTTCCGGTTGTTTTTCCACCGTTTCAGACTTTTCAGAATCGATAGAGCTTGAGAAAGGCAAAGCCATTTTCAGAATTTGGATTTGATTCGCTAATTTGTCGGGTGAAATTACAGAAGTAGAAGTCGCGACGACAAAATGAACGTCGGCGGTGGAGTGGTGAGTTGTTTTGATCCTGTCAAGATTTCCAAAGATTCAATATTTTGAATTTTTGTTTCATAATTTACTTTTTTATGCTTACGATTATGTATCTTCTTTCAACAGGGGGCTGAAGGCCTAATGGCTGGCGCTGGACTCCTTTCACGACCTGCAGATGAATTCGGCAACGACGTAAATTAAAATGAGAAGTTTTAATTTCAAATTTGTCACTAACATATTGAATGAAATTTCAGCCCTCTATCGAAACTATGTGGGCGATCAAAGCCTTTGAACACGCCGAGGTTTACTTCAACGTAAGAATAAATTTTAGACTTTAAATGTTTGAATAAGTTTTGAATTTTAAAAATTATTCAGCTGCTCTGCTCGGTGGATACAAAACATCTGCGCCTAACTCCTTTTGACGATGAAATCTACAAAATGTTCCGCGAAGAATTTCCAGATCTGAAGGTGAATCACTTGACTGAAGACGTGCTGAAAAATAATAATGCCAAGGAGGTGGGACGAGTTGCTCTTTCATTTTTTAAATAAACGTAAAATTTGTTTTTTTCCTTGTAGATTTGGAGGAATTTCTGTGCAAAATTCCAGTGGTTTGAGGACTTCAGCTACGGAACTCTGCTGAGGTTGGACTGTTCGGACGACTACTCGGAGGAAAACAGCATTCTCGTAACACGGATACAGTTTTTGGCCATCGAACTCGCGCGGAACCGAGAAGGAAACAACACTTGCATCAGATCCAAATTCAAGCCGCACCAACACAAACCAGAAAAATAAAGTTGACACAAAATTATTTTATATTTCACCCGATTTCACCACTTATATAATTTTCTAATGATTTTCATTCAATCAATAAACTTAGAATTTAAATCAGTTCAAGTTTATTTCCTTGGCTAGAATACAAATAAATTCAAATCTCAATCACTCGTCTTTCTCAACTCTTTCGTCAAGTCTATTTGTTTTTGAAGGACGTACAAATTCTCCGTCTTCCTCCTTTGCTGTCGCTCGATGTCCCTGAGAACACCTTCGTGGAGCAGTTCCCTGTCCATGTTCTGTTTGTAATGAACGTAAAACACAATTCCTCCACTGATGGCGATGGACAGGGCCAAGGTTGCTTTTGCTGCTATCGACATTATTCTTTCTGCCTGAAATAAAATTGAAAGGCTTTTCAATAAATCAATATGAAAATTTTAATCATACCTCGTTGTTTTAGTTAAATAATAGGTTAACCAAGGTATCGGAGAATATTGGCAAAATTATAATCCATTTTCGAGAAGAACAATCAAAGGGGTGTGTGCGGGGCACGCTTGTTTTTGTTTACCTCGGCCAGCTGATTTTGAAAATTCGAATTTGCGAATCGCGATCGAGCGATGGCCGTCGCTTGATGCGCTATGACACGGACCGGGCCACGATTTCGACGTTTTGCTGCAAATTTCCACCGGCCATGAATGAAGGCAACAACCCTACGTGTCCGCCAGGGACGGCCACCTTGCTGGAAGAGCTGGACAGTGAGTATCACTTCGAAATGCGATCCGCCGAGGCGAAAAGTCGAGGGCGCATCGCAGGTGCGCGGCGTCCCCGAGCAGCGAGGCTTGGCTTGGGATGCTATCCGGCTTTTGAACAATAATTTTTATTTTCATCACCCTATTTTATTACATAATCTTAAATGGCCTTATTTAATTTGGTTTTAATATGATAATGAAAATAAAAATTAATTTTTAAATTAATTTGTTTTTCTTATTTTCAGAAAAATTGATGGTGTTGCTCAGGGACGGCAGGACGTTGATCGGCTACCTCAGGTCAGTGGACCAGTTTGCAAATCTGGTGCTGCATCGGACCATCGAGAGGATTCACGTGGGCAAAGAGTACGGAGACATAGACCGAGGCGTGTTCATCGTCCGAGGAGAGAATGTGGTTCTGCTCGGTGAAATTGTGAGCTTCTGCTTCTGCAACACCCTTATTTTTATTCAACCGTTCATATTGTCTTTAATTTTTGCTCAGGATCCGGACAAGGAGGCGCAGTTGCCCCTGAAAGAGGTGTCCGTGGAGGACATCCTGGCCGCACAACGACGAGAACAAGAGGCCAAAGTCCTCAAGGAGAAAATCGTCTCGACTGCCCTGAAGGACCGCGGACTCAACATGTCCTCCGAGTTAACCACGGACGAGTTTTGAATACTTTTTTTTTTCTTTTGATTAAACCGTTTCTAGATCTTGCGTCTGTAGAGATGCGCTAATCAAAATTCATGTTTTGGATTAAATTGTTGAAGAATTGCATCGCAAATTTAAATTTTTATCACTTGTTCTTTTACTTTTTTTAATAATTTCAGTTGTAACGGGGAAGAGTTTATAATTAAAAATGGCAAGCAAGGCCAGATTAATATTTATGCTGGAATAATGTTTTTTTATTCTAATTATCACTATAATGAAGATCGATTTATAAAGTACAAAAGGTCTAACAGACAACGAAGGAGAGTGTTTGTAAATGTTACAATAGTTTTTTTATTTTAATTTCAAGAGGATGGAAGCTCCTCTGTCGTGTAAGAGTTTCTCTATGTAAAATAGGGACATTTTATATTGTCAACAAGAGTGCATTGAGACGATGGGCGTCACAAAGAGGTTTCTCGGATAATGCTCGAGCCAAGAGTGGACGAATACGAAGACTCGAGATTGCTCTTCTTGGCCGAGTCGCTTGACAGGGAGATGGAGTGGTCGGCAAACATGCTGTCCTCGATGCTCCGCTTCCTCGAGCCGGAGCTCGAACTGGACTCGTTGCTCATCGAGGTGAGGTACGAGGCCGAGGTGGAGGCCGAGGGGTCGTTGCCGTCCAGGCAGTACAACAGCGAGTTGCTCAGCTTCTCGGGACTGGCGTTGCACGAGAGGCTGACGGGGCTGGCGGTCAGCACGCTCCTGCTCTTCAGGTAGTCCTTGAAGGTGGACGAGAGGGACGTCTCGGCCTCCTCGTTGTGCTCCTGCAGCAGACTGGAGGGCGTGTCTTTCCAGGGCGTGGACAACGGCGACAGATTCGAACTCGAAAGCACCAAAACGGGCTTCCTGCTTCGAGGCGTCATCATTGCATCCTGAAGAGAAAAAAGTTTTAATGTAAATCAATTGATTGAATCATAATTTGATTCGTGCAGTAATCAAAATAAATACATACAGGTCTGATTGAGTTTCTAATAAATAACAAGGCTAAACTAAAAAAAACCTTCTAAAATTTTAATTTTTTTTAACTATGATTAAAGTGACTAAAATCATCTACATCCAATTTAAAATACAGCTCAACCAAACCTGTGCAAAATAATAAATAATCAAATTAATCAAAAATTAATAATAAAAAGGCTGAAATAATTTCTGCAGCCAAACTACCAAACCAGTGCAGCTGTTAACAAGAAAGCAGGTGTCGCCGCATTCCACCGTGTGTGCCGAGGTCGGTGGGCAAAGGCTTACCTGCATACACCTGGGCATTCTCTGCGCCGACCTGGTGATGGGCGAGACTGACTTGTTAAACGCTTTTCGCAGGGAGGGCGTGTTAAAGATAGGAGAAGACGAGAGGAGATTAGTGGCCTGCGCGAGGGCAGGGGTGCTCGTCAGGGCCAAGCTGCCGAAGGGGTTAGTGCCCTCCTGCGAGGAGGCCGCGTGGTCAACCGTGTCGGGTTCGGTTTGGGGGTTAGTGGGGGAGGAGGCGTCAAGCTCGCTCACTCTCAGGCTCTCTTCCTTGATTTGGACGCGCCGCTTTGGGGCCTCGCGAGCCGCGTTCATTTCGACTGTTGATTTACTCGGGGTGGGCGCCGCAGCCTTTGCTTCCTGACTCGAAACCTGGACAGGATTTTGCTATTAAATCAAGAATGGTTTGCTTTTTTTAATTAATGCCTTTAAAAGGTCGTCCGTCGAGGAGTTCTTGTCCTGATTTTTCTGCCTTTTCAGACCTTTGGTGAAAATGTGTTTCTGAAAATTTGTATTTTAATAATCTCGATCATATTTGAAATAAAAAGGCACTTACCTTAATGGAGTCTCCCAAACTGCGACTATTGACCTGCTTTTTAACCAGGGGAGTGCCGTGGCCGTTTTCCTTATTGAACTGCTTCACCAAGCGCCGCTTTTGGGCCGACTCGGGGAGTGACTGGATGTGTGCGTAGAGTTGGGCAAGAGCTGCCTCTGTGGGGTTGCTCGAGTTTGCTTGAGCTGTGAGTTGGCGGTCAACAAAGCTGAACACGGTGTTTACAACCTCGTGGTCTTCTGCGACCTTTGCCTGGACAAACATCAACATTCAATTGTTATTAAGAATAACAGGAAAAATTTGAAAACATACTTTGTGGTTTTCTTTCTCGGCCCAGTAGGCTCTGATGTCAGTTGCCAACTTCGGTGGGACTTTGAACATGGCTTTACCTTGTTTGATCATGAAAGACACAACCCTGGACATGAGCTGCGAGTTTGTGTGAAACTCCTCAGGTGTAAGCTAATGAAATATATTTTAACATTAGGTAATTTTTTTTCCCGAATAAAATTTATTTACCTTTCTCGGACACAAAAGGTGAGGCGTGAAAAGGGTGGACAGGTTGTCCGCTGACATTTTGTTCTTGTCCTCGAGACTGGCAACCAAATTAAGCATCATTATCAGATCTGAAACCAAAGCCTTGTTTTCTGTGGGCAACAGCATGAGCAGCAGTTGCAGGGCTCGAAGAAGTCTGATCGGTTCGTCACCGTCGCTCATATCACTAGAGCACATTTCTGAAAAATGTCAAAATTAATTTCATCTCTTTGTAATTTAAAATTGCTAATTGCCTGCAACTTGGCAGTAGGCTTGGTAGTGGGCGTCTGTCAACAGAGGCTCGGGAAGATCAGCGAGGAAGTTTTTAAGCACGGAAGCGCAGTCGTGGACGGAATACTTTCCCTCCTCAAGATTCAGGGGCAGCCCCTGGTTGAGCAAGCCTTTCAGTTCCTGCTGCCGAGTCATTTTGCCGCTGCGCCGGAAAATTCCCTCTTGGATTATGTCTGCAATGAGCTAGGATTTTGATACAAATGCTCAATTTTGATGATGGTTAATTACTCGGCTCGGATTTCAGAAACTCGATTAGCTGGTAAACCTGGCAGATCCCCTCTTGAGTCAGAGGAGCTCCTTCCATGACCCCTTTTGTCGTCGACTGCTTCCGGCCTTTTGTGAACGTCCCCAGACCCCATTTCACCGCTTTCGGCTTTGCACTTTTTTCACACGCCGTGTCGCAGCTGCAAAAAGTCGACAATGTAGGTGAAAAGTGATGACATGTTGATGTTAATAAAAATCCATGGTTGAGGATTGAAAAAAAAATTGACTCACTCGTCGGCATTCAAATCGAGGACGAAGGACAGGTGCATCCTGACCAGGGTCTGGTACTGCTCAGGGTCGTCCCGCCGAAGTTTTTCGGCCAACTCCAGGTCGCTCATTTGCAGCAAATCCACGGGCTGAGCCATGATTGCAAAATTTATACCTGCACCCGGGCGGCGGCGAAAGACTTTTGCGATCAAACTTCTCTTCCCATGACTCGAAGCGGCCGCTTTTTTCGGTTAGGAACGCTGTGCGATTCCTAAGGGTGTCGGCGGATCGAATTGAGAGCGGCGACGAGACCTGGATAATCCATAAATTGCAATAAAAACAGGTACATAAACAAGAACCACCCTGCTGCAGAGCAAAACGTTAACTTTTTTGAACAGATCAGCAGCAGACGGGCGGCAACGAATGGCGGCGTCTGATTGGCCGAGAGCAAAGCAAACCGCGTTCCTATTGGCTGGAACTATTGTATGATGACAGACTGGAAGGACCTCTAGCGGCGAAAAATAAAGACAACCGGTGTTTTTGCTGAATTCCAAGTCCAAAACCATGTCCTCCAGGTAAATTTGAACATTTTGAACCGAAAATTATTAAATAATTAGCTGCCACACTTGAACTGGTCCAGACTTTATCTTTATATTAATTAGCTCGATCAATTATGGGCTTAATCGGTAACCTGGGGCTTACTTAGCCTCTAAACGGCTTATGTAATTATGTAAAATGTAAACGCCACACACACAAGCCTGCCGGTTCCTTTTAGGAGCTCTTTAATTTTTGCAGTTGAAGTTTTTTGTAGTTTTTGTGAATCACATCTGAAAATTAAATCAAATTACATCATTAAATATTAAAAAAATTTCGATTGTTGAATCATCCATTTGATTCCAATTCGAAAATTCCCATTGTTGCCAAAATACATTTTCAAATCCGTTCTGATTTTTCTGTTGAATTTCAAGCTTAATTCTTCGCCATGGACGAATTTTTCCGCATCGTACTTTTCCTTTTTATTTGCATTGGGGTGATAATCTGGCGCCCAGACGACATTATCTACATGTTGAAACACTTGGCAGAGTTAGCACTCATAGCCCTTGTCGTTTACCTTCTGTTTCTGAATGCTTCGTCCCCGGAACAAAAATCCTGGCAAGAAATCCTTGACGAGCACAAGGACGTGATGAGGTCATCATACTGCCACCACGTCCACCACCTCACAGACTTGTGCCTCGATAGGAGTCTGGTGGGGATCGACGTCATCGACGAGAAGCGGCAGGCCGAGGTGGCGCGCCTCGCCAGGGTGGCCGCCGAGTTGGAGGAGGCCTTACTGCAGTTCCAGCGAAAGAGCAACGAGTTGGCCGAGCAGACCCAGCAGCACGACTCGCTCAAGCACCTGAGCCACCTGGAGGGCGACGAGGAGCGCGCCCGCGACGCCGCCAAACCCGACCCTGAGCGGACAAACTTCGATGAGCAGATCGACGCCACCTTGCTCGAGGTTTGGCTTTTATTATTTCAAATTTAATCAAACTTCCAATTTAAAAATTTTAACATTCTAAACCCAAAATTTATTGATATTTCATTCAAAATCTCTAGCTTGATATTTGAGCAGTTTCATTTTTGGCTTATAAATTAAAATAAAACAATTATTGTGCAGCTGGAGACGCTGAAGGCGCATCTGGCGCTTGGTCTGGCGCGCTTCGAGGTGGAGAACGCGTGGCTGAGCGGCGTGCAAGAGGCCTTCGAGCAGCAACTCGCAGACGACGAACTGCGCCTCAGCGAGGCCCACGGCCGCCTGGCCGCCCTGCAGGACATGGCCAGCGACCAACTCGCCCTGGGCGACGACCCCGACTTTGAGCAAATGGTCCTTATGCTTCTCTAAAAATGTCGCACTTTCTCCTAAACTCTTTTTCTGAAAAAAAGGTGGAGCAGCAGGTGCTGAGCGTGCGGCAGTTGGAGGCCAGGGTGCGGCAGCTGCGCGAGCAGAAGGCGGCCACGGACGTTAAGGTCGCCACCCTGAGCGGCAACTGCGAGAACATGCGGCGCCAACTGGAGCGCAACTGCGAGAAGATGCGGCGCCAACTGGAGCACCTGAGGCAGGGCGGCGCCTCGGCCAGGGCCAACAAGTGATTGATGCGGCCGAGAATTAATGACAAATAAAAACGTTTCTTTGTTCTTTGCATTTGAATGAAATAGATAGAGTATTTATTGAACACAACTAGGTGTACAACGGGTGTCTAAAGCTAATTTGTCTTCCTAAAATTAATTTTACAATTAAGCTTGTTTCGATAATTATTACAAAGTACAAAATTAGTTAATTTTGATTTTTGCAGCCTCTCTTAGGCTTAGTTTTCGTTCATTACATTCAAGAATATGATATTGTGAACATTTCTTACCGCAGTGCTTGCATTCACAATCTATTGTCGCTTGAGAATGAAAATTTTTATTCTTACAAAATAAATAGTGGTACCCGTGACAGGCAAATCTCGTAAACACTTGGCGATCACTGAACATTGCACATTGCCAATTTTTATTCTTCATAGTTTCTGTCTCGTAGAACTCATCACATATCTCAAGTTTGTTTAAATATTTAGACACACAAAATTTCTGGAATGCTTCAGTTTCAGTTAGAGAATATTTTACCTGTAAGTCCGATACAAAGAGATCAGTGTCAACTAATTCATACACAAATCTAGATCTAATATACTTGGACAGTCCTAAAACTCTTTTTAAATATCTTGTTTTGACTTTTTCAAGATTTTCAAAATCAGTCTTTGTTAGGAAAGGCCATATTTCTTCAATGCCGTAGGACGCAATTGGGGAAATTTTTAGATCAAATAGCTTGTGTGCTGTTTCAATGGATAATTGTTTTAGTTCTCGTATATTATAAGTGGCCAGCAATGCAGCTCTTGTTCTTTTTTCAATGTGCTTTCCAAAAGAGATTCCTGATGGTTGAAAAGTAACTCCTAAATATGTAAACTCAGCAACTCTCTCTATTTCAATTCCACCTAAATCTAGGCGGTCACTTAATGCATATTTTCCTAGACCCTTATTTCTAAATTTCATGAATTTGCACTTTTCCCAGTTAAGTTTCAAACTGCGTTTTAACAAAAATTCTTTCATTCTGGCTAAAGCAATTTTCAAGTCACTTAATTTTTCTGAGGTTAAAACAATATCATCTGCATAATAAATGGCTTTCACGTTTGGCAAATCTCGTAGAATATTATTTATATCAGCTAAAGAGTAATTGAACAGAAATGGGGACGTGCATCCCCCCTGTCTTACCCCATTTGATTGTGTAATAAGTTTTGATACTGTTACTCCATCTACTATTCTCAAGAAATTTAAGTCTAAGTTGTGAGCTAAATAATTTAACTCCGTGAACGTTAGCTTCTTGCTTTCTATTAACTTCTTAAAAATAAACGCCCTATCTATTGAGTCAAAAGCTTTACTTACATCCAAAAATAAGGCATATAAGGGTGATTTCTTCTTATAAACTGTCTCTTGAATGTTATTAACTAAGGACTTAATTGCCTGTAAAGTGGATTTTCCTTTCACAAAACCATATTGATTGCCTGGAATCTCGTGAATCAAAGATGAGTAGATACGTGCATGCAGTACACGATCTAACAGATTGTAAAAAGCCGAACTAATACATATTCCTCTATATGAATTTGTATTTTCCGCGTCCCCTTTTCCCTTATACAAGAGTTTTAGATTTGACTGCCTCCATTCCTCTGGACATGTTCCTAGCTCCAAGCATTTGGTGAAAAATTGCGTTATTTCGGGGAGTAAGGATTCAACAAGTAGTTTAATATTTTCATTCTTCACTTTGTCAGGTCCAGGGGATTTCCCGTTTTTCATTTTCTTTAATGCTAACAAAACTTCTTCTTCCATAATAGGTGAAAAATTTATATCATTTCTGTAATCTACTATCATCTCTTTCAGATTTAACGATTCATTTTCACTCAATTTTTTCTCGTTGAAAATTTTTTCAAAATTGCACTCCCATTCATCCATCATTATATTGTTTGTATTGTAAAAACTTTTGCTCAACTTGAGAATTTTATAGCACTTATTCTGCTCCGCCTCTTTTAAAATGTCCAACTCCTTCATTTGCACAAAAGCGTTCTTCTTCATTTCACACACATTTTTGTAATTTCTTTTTATTGCGGTATAGTGCGGTAATAGAATCTTGATTATACTAGTTACATTTAAACTTTCAGCCACTTCCAAGCACTCTCTCCATTCGTTCAATTTCTGTTTTAATTCGTAGCATTCAGAATCAAACCACGGTTGACTAATCCGTTCAGTTTGCCTACGAGGAATGTCGGCCTCTTTCATAATATTTATCATATTTTTATAAAACTCTTCAACGTCCCCCTTTTCCAGATTTGTTCTTAGAATATTTTTATATTTAGTCTCAATAAGCTCTTTAAGTATGTTTTCATCTAATTTAAAATTTTTCTTATTCAAAGACATGTCCCCATTTCTGTTCTTTTGTTTTGTGAAATTAAATTCTATTGAAATAAAATTATGTTTTCTTATGGTTGGGCAAATTTTAAAATTTTCGGTGTAAATTTTTGGCCCTTTGAAGATTAAATCAACCACACTATGACCATTACTACAGTCGTAGGTACTTTTATATGGATATTCATTTACTATTGTCAGACTGTTTTCCTCAGCAAAATCAAGCAGCGAGTCAATTTTTCTGTTTTTAGTATCCAGTCGGCAATTAAAGTCTCCAGCCAAAATGAAATTTTCAAAATTTTCAACATATTTAAGGATTGAGAGAAGTTCATTAGTCACTGTTGTAGAACGTATCTTCGGATTTAAATAGCATGTTACTACTGTAATGTCATCAAAATTTAGAATTATGAAGTTTTCCAAATATTTCACATTTAGTAAATTTCCTAACCTAGAATTAAAATACACGGAAATTCCCCTCATCGGTCGCCCTGCCTCCTTTTGTGAAGCTAAAACTTGCCTTGAATAAAAACCAGGAATGTGAAGTGGTTTCTTTAAAAATGTTTCCGTGAAAAGAAGAATATCATAATTTTGCAGTTCTGTTGCAATCGGAGATTCATATGCTTTCGTAAGCCCTTCACAATTCCAAAGCCCTAATTTTAAGTTACTCACGTCGCTGTTTCGACAAGGGAAATCTATAAAGAAAGTTTCTCACGAGCACCACAGTTGCGCTTGCTTCTCTCCCTGGGTGCAACAGTCTGCGAATTAGGGGCATCATTTAGCTGCTCTTCGTCATCCGGCTTCCCTCCAGTCTCTTCTTCTTCCTCTCCGGCCTCCTTTGGGTTGAACAAATTCCCACAGTTTCCCCAGCGTTTGGAGACATACTTGTTGTACAGATGAACAGTGACAGGGACATCTCGAAGTTCTTCGTACAGAGTGTCCAAGACCCAGAGTCGATGCAGCCTGTCCATGCCACTGCACATGTAGGTCATTGCAATCTCATCAATCTCTTCCTCTCGAATGACTCTTGAATGAAATGGAATTTTTTTTAATTCAACCCTTTCCATTATCTGAATTGATTTCCATTTTGGAAAGTGTTGCTCAGAACTAAATCGACGCCGCTTAATAAATTTCGTTCTGAATTTTGAGTTTTTTCAATTTCAGTGCTTCATTGATTTTGTTGCTGACGGCTTATTTTTTATTAATGTTTTCACAGTCCTAATGTAAATAGATCAATTTATAATTATATAAAACAGAACATAAAAAAATGAGTTTTCCATTTTTATTAAAAATTATAAAATTTAGTATTTATTAAGTTGGAAATTTTAGTGAAAATTAATTATTTTCCTCAAAAATTGAAAACAAAGAATATTACAATACAAAAAAATTTAAAGCAGTATTGATACGAACCAGATTTAAGATGTAAATTTTAATTTGTCTTCAGTAATATTTTTGAAACGAAGTGCAAAGCTGTTTATTTCTTTCTAATTAAATTAAACTTTTGAATTTGGGCTTTTATTTGATGGCCATTTTGAGCTCGTAAGTGTTTTAAGAATATTTATTTCACTGAATCTTAATTAAGAAAAATACGGACAAGACGAGATTGACGAAGGAGAGCGGCGGCGTTTGTTGCGGCGCGCGGCTGTCAGGGTAGTCGCCGGATTCAGACGCGTCTCCTGATAAAGGGGTTGAAAGGGTGCAGGTGAGCGATTAATTTCAATGTGTGTTTTGCGCTAGTGATTAACATTTAGTTTTACCGCTGCCGACGGTGGTCGTGGTCGCTTTCGTCGTTTTCGCCGCCGGGTTCGTCTTTTTTCCTTTCACGGTCGCTGACAAAAAAAGTTCATTTAAAATTTATAAATTTGTAAAATGTATCAAATTTAATCTATTGCCTGCAAATGATTCTTACTTTTAGTGACTTTACCTTTTTGCGCGGCCGCTGTTAAAATCTATAAGAGTTATTTTGCGCTCATTGTCAAGTAAATTTTCATTCTCAATTAATATCTCACCATGGCTGCAAGAAAAGCAATGAAAATTTGCTGCCCTGTCGTCGCTCTCATGATTTTCGCACGTCCGTTCTCGGCAGACGAATGGAAAAACGCGACAGGGACCACAATTGCAAAATCGATGCGCAAACAGAACATTTAGCTGATCAAACATAAAAAATAAAAGTCAAGAGCTTTTGACACTCAACGCCGCCGTCATGCCATTCCTCAATCAACAAAAAAAAAGATTTATTGTCAACGATTGTCATGCAGTGTCATGTTCAGAATGACGAAGGACTTAGTATTTTAATTGGCCTACTTTATATGGAAGGTAATTTTCGTTTGTTTTTAACTAATAAATTAATATTTTATTGATACGGATTTTCCTTTTCAGTGATAATTAATGTCACTTTTATTGGATTTTATTTGAGAGATAAATTAAAATGATAATAAATTGGACGATTATTTAATATTAAATATTTACTATAAACAATATATGAAAAATTTTAACAATCAATTTTTTCAAACTGACCCCCGTGATTACCCTGCAAGAACTGACTCGTGACTCTTGTGAGAAACGCGTCTTTGAAACATCATCTTGCAAAACATAACAGCGTGCATATAAGAGTTTTTTTTTTCAATATAAAAGTGCATTAAATCATAAGAATAAAAATGTTTACACAGAAAAATTGAATATTTTAAATCTCATAAGTCTGTCTCACTTGAAATATAATATTTTCTATTGAAAAATTAATTATTTCAAATTCACAAAAAATAATGGAAATATTTTATTAAAAAATCAAGGCAGGAAGAAAAAAGTTGAAAAATTCTTTTAAAATTGAATTTTAATTTTTTAATTATTTATGGCTAAGTAATAATTAATTCGGAATTAACTCATGTTTAAATAAATCAAAATATCAAAATAAATGAATTTTTTGACAAAAAATCAATCATAACACCAATTTTTTTTTTTAATTTAAGTGACTAGAAAATGTTGAATTAGATTTTAATTTTGATCATCTCGCAAACTGTTTATCACATTTTGCCTTTACAAAAATGCATCGCTCCAAGAAGAGCGAGAGTTGCTGGATCAGCGATATTTTTGTCTAGTATTGAAATGAAATTATAAACGAGATTATTTTTTTGTATTTAATACATTTTTAGTATCAAATGATATTTTATTATTTAATTTTTATCAAAGATCATTCATAAAATTATTAACTATGTTCCATTAACTTATTATCATTCACCTTTTTTATAATTTCAACCTTTTATCATAATAATTAAAATTTTTATTAATTATTGAAATAATTTTTAAGGCATAAAATTAATTTGTTTGAACTTGTTAAATTTTAGCATTATAAATTTCAATATTGGCAAAATTATTTAATTTCCCCAGTCTCTGTTTTTAGGAATCGCTTGATCGCAAAAATTCCATCATATTCAGTCAACTCAGTCAAGTTTTTCTTAGCACATTTCCATAAAAAGTATACTTACCATTACTATGTACTTGTTCTTTTTCAAAGAATTATAAATTAAATAGAAATCTGATTGTCAAAAGGGTCATATCACGTAGCTTAGCATATAAATACGCATAATCAGAAATCAGAACCATACATTATGGCTTTATATATATAAAGCCATAATGCAACCTGGACATTTCATTTTATTTTTAATCGCAGATATTATTTGATAAAATTTTGTAATTTTCCACATTTCAATAAAAAATTTTAAGAAGTCCAGGTTTCATACTACTTACGCGGAGATTTTTAACATTTATGTAGTTCAGTGATTTGGATTATCAAATTTTGCGCCTGTCACTCGACAGAATCTAATTTTTTCGGTGACTTCGCCAAATTATAACGCAAATCCGATTTAGGAAATTTTGTTTGAAATGCTAAATCAAAATAAGCCAAAGTTTTCTTTGGGCGACAGACTTGCCATTTAGAGAAAACATAGCCCTTAAACCCTTCTAACTGTCAGCGAAATCGCAGTTTTTTTAAAACAGGACTTTTAATTTTTCGCTTCACATAGATTAATTTTCAATTAAATTTTTTTTAAATTTGCTATAAATCACCACAAACTTTAAAAAATAAATTTTTCCTTCTGGGTGACAGACTTCTAACTTATAAATTACAAGTTCTCACAAAGCACGTAGTTAATCCGGCCAAAGTTTGATAAGTTTAAAGCTGGACTTCTATTTTTTATTGCCGTTGGAAGTTTAATTATCCAAATTTACTTCAGGTAAATTTTGACGGTTTCCTGGATTTTATAGAACCAAAATAGGTAAAGAAACGAAAATTGGTACTAAGGGTAAACTCGGCAAGCTGAATCAATTGGTGAGGTCAAATTTGACCTAACCTTTCATTTTCATAAAATTTGTGTCAAAAAGTCTATTTTATACTTAACGGAATAAAATTTAGACACCAGAATCGTGTTCCTCGCAAAATTTTAGGCTAGAAGACATTTTGTTTCGTTAAAAAAGTCAAAAAATTAAAAAGTTTAAAAATTAACATGGATATCCCATAAGAGAAATTTTTCGTTTGCGGTTGTAGCTATTTTTCAGTAACAATGCGTTGCAACAATGGGATGCCCATAGCACCAACAAAACTTCCACAGCTGAACTTCATTCTCCCGCTGAGAAAACTCAAATATCTCCATCCGTTCAAAAATGGCAGCAAATTAAAATGTGTCGTTGAATTTTGGGCCACCCTGTACTTTTTTAAATTATGATTAAAAAGATATCATGAAATAAATTAAATTATAAAATTTTTACCCAATGTTTTTTCTTTCCCTTTAAACATTTATTTTTCAAGTTGAAAGAGAGATAAAATGAAGCAGAGTAATAATTAGTTTTTGTTCATATAATTAAGTAAATATAATTTTTTTTCTTTAAATCCATTTCTTTAAAAGTCATAATTAAAATTAAACAGAACGAATATAATTTAAATTAACTTCCATAATGCGTAACATGCCAATTTATTTACTATAAAAAAACTGCTCAATTTCAAAACTTTTTGTCAAGCTTGCCAAAAGGCAGTTTTGTCACTTTGAAGCTTTTGTCAAGCTACCTGCAATCAGTAAAACATGTGACCCGTTTATCTGATGTGTCCTGCCGGGTCAAGAAGACCATCCTTGGCCAGGTTCGCAAATTAGAAGAGACAAGAAAAGTGCTCTATGGGTTATTAATAAAGGTACTGACTTATTAAATTATTAATATGGTTATAAAGTTACTCATTTATTTTTCAATTAGTCTTTGATGAATAAATAGATATGCAAAGATTTGTGAGTAATTGATTAAACTCCTTTTACGCACAATCCAGTTTTAAACCAGAACCGTGATAATGCAACGCAAAAACTTTTAAGTTTAATTCTTTTGATAATAATAATTCAATAAATTGCTTTTGAGCATAGAAAAATATAGAAAAAATGTTTTGAAGATCCAATCTAAAAACTGATCTTGTCGACCAAATGTGTGTCGTGCTCTTCCAAGTGTTGAGTCTTTTCCATGGCGCCGGCCTCGCACTCGACCCCGCAGAACCAGGTCACGTCAGGGTACTCGTCATCGTCCTGGCAAGCGCTGCACATGACCAGATCGGCCGCGTCGTCAAATTTGCCTCAGAAGCGACAGTGCTTGACCGGCAGCAGCAGGTCCTCCTCCCAGCTCCTGATCCTGCCCTTCTTGATCCTCCACAGGTAAGGGTGAAACAGATTTCCAGGAAATTCCTTCATGACCTGCGTCGGGGTCGAAGTTCGGTCCTGACGATTCAGGCCGAGGCACAGGGCGACGACCGCATTCCTCAACCTGGACAGGTCCTTCTGAATAAAATGCTTGATGATGACTTTTGAGTCCTCAGGGTAGTTGGGGGGTGGGGTGAAGTTCTGCGGCACCTGCGCAACCTTGCACATCTCGTAAAGCAGGTGGACGACGACACCGAGCCTTTGCCAAACGGTGGCGTCCAGTTTGCTCTTCTTGTTTGGAACTTGCTTTTCTCCCATCAACTCCGCATAGGCCGGGTCCAGGGTCGCGTGGAGGCGCGCGAGCAGGTCATCTCGCTGGGCTTCGTGCTTGGCCGATTTCGACTCGTTCAAGCACACCAGATCGACCATGCAGAAAATTGCCAGCAACAGACTTTTGAGCTGCAACTGTGGATCTGGCGCGAATCTGGCGGCAGCCTCAGTCAGCGCAAAACTCATCATGTCGATCCAGGTGGCGCCTCGACCTGTCCAAGTGGAAAAGGTTTGGTGCAGAGTGGGGTGCTTGGAGGCGGCTTTTTCAGCCTCAACGTCCAAGAGCTTGCTGCTCAATTTCAAGATGGGAGCGCAGGTGTTTCCAAACTTTCTGGCCAAGATTTTGCAGATTTTTTCCAGCAAAGTATTCCTCTGGGCAAGGAGGGACGTGACGTAGTCTCCGGACAGGTTTCTGTTGGTGACAGAAAATTCTAGCACCGACCTCCAAGCGTCGAGATCTTTGTTGAGGAGAGAAAGCAGCTCCTCCAGGAAGAACTCGGACAGTTGAGAGGGTTTCTGACGGAAGCAGGTCACAAATGGTGGCAGGATGAAATAGACAAAGGCCCAGTCTGGGTACTTGGGCTCCGAATAGACCATCTGCTTTGCCAGTTGAAACACTTGTTCCTATTTAAAGAAGGGGAAAATAAATTATTATTCGCAAAATGCTCAGATTTTTACCTCAATTGGGTTTTGCAGTCGAGCCTGCTGGTCAAGCATTTGGACATACCCAGTGGGGATGAAGCTGTGTCCATCCCACTCCTTCAAATGCTCGGCTGCCGCATTTTGAAAAAGGTTTTCTCCCAACTTTTCAATGTTCAAAATGGCCTTCTGTTTAAGCTCAGGGGTGCATTCCATCTGGGTTTTCAAGTAGTCAAGTTTATCTTCTGTGACCATAATCCTTGCTTCAACATGATTCAGCAATATTAGTTGCTCCTCAGTCAACAAAGTCAGGATGCAACTACTATCCAGACCGGTGGATTCCAGAATCCAGCAGATCATCTTCGTGTTTTCTTGCAAATTAGTCAGGTATGCTTTGAATCGGTCACTGTCTTCTATTTCATCTTTGCAGTCAATATTAAGTTGGTATAGAGTTGCAATTCTGTGCCATTTTGTTGCAGCTTTGTCCAAGTCACTGATGACGATCGGCAATTTCTCTAGAAAAGGGAATTTCTTGCTCTCGTTTATTTTCTTCTTGACATCCTCGATTTTGGTCTTGAGGTCACCGAAGCAATTCCTGGGCGCCTCAGCAACCCAGTACTTGAGAGAGTAAACGAAGTCAAAGTTTTCGTTCTCCGAGTCCAGGGAATAGTTTCCAGGGTCCATGTAAATTCCTCTTTTTCCCAATTCACTTCCAGGAAAGATAGCAACTTTCAACATATTATAGACCATTGTGTAGTGCTTGTTCTCCAAGATGACCTTGAGGGCGGCCACGCAAGGTGCAACCACGTCCTCCATAATCAGTTTGGTCAGTTGCTCGTCTTTCCGCGGATAAATTTTGATTTGCTGGCCGAGGAGCAAAAACCCGTAGTTGAGCCTTTTGTGCAAATCTCTGGTGAACACCAGCAGGTCTCGGACAACCGGTGCTACCTTCTCAGGGATGGGCAGGTACCTGAGAAGGGCTGTGCGGATCCTTTCAATGTTGAGGACGGCAAAGAGGGCGGTCATGAGCCACTGGTTGAACAGGACAGGGTTGCAGTGGAGCTGCCACAGAACTCCCGGGTTGAGCAGAAATTCTTCAGGTTTCCAATCTTCCTTTGGAGGGTTCTTAGTCCTGTGGGCAGCAACCTCTTCGATAGAGTAATTGGCGACAAAATAAGTGCAGTCGACCAACAAGGGTTTGTCTCTTTTCTGGACAGCCTCGTCCAGCACATTCCAAAAGGAAAGTCCTGCGTTTTCCATTAGGAAGACCAGGCGGATTGCCCTGGTGAGGTCGAACAGCCGACCTTCCTCGTCCTTGCTGGCCTCTGCGGAGAACCAGAGACTGCAGTCGTAGAATTCCGTGTCCAGCAGCTCAGGTGTCGCCATTGCAGGGCTGCGCACAGGGGCTTGTGCAGTTCATCGATGAAAAAAAATTTGTCGAGGAAGTAAGATGCGGCATGGTAACTGTGCTCCTTCCGTGGCAGCTCTGGCACGATTGGGGTCGCTTTTGTCCCACGGAAAGTCCGGCAGATGGACGAGATACTTTTCAAACGGTTCCATCTTGCAGGCTGCAAATGATATTAACAGATTTTTACAAACACATTCTCCTCTTCAGAATATAATTTTATTTTTGCACTCACAACAGTAGATATTTGGTTCAAATTTCTTGATTGTATGATTTTTGTCATCGTTTGTTTTGACACCAATTCCGAGTTGGCCTTCAGCAGCGGCATTTCGTTCCTCATCCCTTTCGTCCACCGTCTTGATATCCACTTTGGAATGAAATCTGCAGAATGTGGGCTGAAAATTGGAGATCGGACGAGCATGAAATTAGTAATAAATTTAGCAAAATATCATTAATAAGGGATAATTCTCATTAAATCAAAGCCAAACTTAAAAACATTGAAAAAAATAAGTGACATCAGCGTTCAGGAAAAACGATAAAATGCTTTTTTCTTTCCACTTTTGAGATCATTTAATTGGATTCATTTAATTGTTTTTAATTTTTCTTAAATATATTTAAATATATAAGTGGAAATTTTTTCAGCAGCAAATTTCAATAAAACCGGATTATAACTTCATTTTTTATTTTTTATTTGTATGAAAAGAAAGCCTTAATTGTTTGAATAATAATATGAAGAGATGCAACTTACAAGTAATAATTGATCCGGTACGTGAGATCGAGAGTTTTTTTTTGCGTTCATCTCAGCTTCGACCTGTGACCGTGAACTCTCAAGATCAGCTTAAAACGTCGCAATTGTTGACCCAAGATCCCAAGACAAGCATTGTTTGTTTACTTGTTTTGTTTTGAAAAGAACAGCTGTTACTTTCAGGTAGGTGGTGGGAGTTTATTTTACCCGCGCTCTTATTGGACGAGCGTGTCACGTGACTGGAAGCGCGCCAAAACTCTGCACGTGGGCCTATGCCTTACACACATCTCGAGTGGGAAGAAGTGGTGTGGACACTATTTTGACATTTATTTTTCCCATCAAATTGGCGGAGCTTTAATATTTTTTTTTTTTTTTTTTTTTTTTAATTGAAAATTAAATTCAGTCCCAATGCATACTTGTGTGTTGTACGAAAACACGTTTAATAAAAGAATTATTTATTATTTGAAATAATTTGACAAAGGAAGTCCTGCCTTCAGGTAAGACGCAGAACAGCTGCAAAAGGCCCCGGAACGCAACTATCATAATAATACAGGGCTCTTTTGCGAGCCATAAAAAAATAATAAATAATTAAAAATCTACTCAACGAAGATTGACGCAAGCAGTACAAATAATATGTTAAATTCGATCGTTAATAATGCGCATCATTGTTGACAACGAATAGTTTCACAATTTGATTCACAAAATACAAAGATTTGTGAGAAATTTATTCAACTATATATTTTTATACGCAATCGAGTCAGCGATGAAAATTTCATATCACATTATATTTTCAATTTTCACAAAAAAGTGATTAATAACTTTCACAGTTTTTTTTTATTACTTGTCATTTTTCGCAATAATTGTTAAATGAGAAATGTTTTCAAAAGTTTTTAAATAACATTCTAAAAGCAAAAGTTTATTTTGAGTTTATAAGTGGCTCACTTTGGGTGCGATTTAATTTATTTTAATGTTTTTATCACGCTTTGTTCTACGACTTGATAAAGTTTGTCGTCGTATTTTGTGATAAGAGTGCGTCCTTAATTCAAATTTAGCCTTTTATAATCTCGAATTTGATTTGTGACGTGGAAAAGCCGACGGAAGTGCGCGGCCTTTTAGAGCGAGCATAATTTTTCTTCTCGACTCACTTTGAGCTGAATATGCGTCAAGATGCAGGACGCAGAGATGATTTACGATGACGTCACGCCCGGTCCGTCCAAGGCCGAGGACGAAGGCGAGAAGGTCACGACGATCAGGTTGCCCACGAGGGTCGTCAAGAAAAAGGAGCAGGGGTGTTCGACCCCAGCGGTGGCCATCGCCCTCAGCATCGTCTTCACCATTTTCAGCTTCGGCCTCCTCAACTACTTCCTCCTCTCAACCAATGTAAGCGGGTGGAATTTTAAAATTGGGCAAAAAGTAGGCTTTAATTTAGCTGTGACCAATTAAACGAGATTTTTTTTCGCTCTCTTTGATGTTCAGTATTTTTTCTTTTGTGTGTCTAAATTTTGTTTTATTATGAGTAGGAATTTTTACTTTTAACGCGGAATTAAAATGCAAAAATAAAAAAATGTCCAGATTGAATAAAAATTTAATGCATTTATATAAAAAGAAGCGGAATATATAATTTTTCAGATGTGCAATGTACACGAGATTTCTGCAATGCAAAAGCAGATTTTAGATTGGAGCAGCCAGGTGAGGAAACCTACAATATTATTTTGATATAATTCAACATTAATTAAAATTGACGATGAATCCAGATTATCCAGAATCAAGCGCTTCACGCGGAATATCGGAAGCAAATCGATTCAGCAAATGAGCGCCTGAAACAGGTTTGTACCAATTTAGTTGCAAATTGTGTTTATTGATCTATCACAAAGGCAATTGCTGCCCATAACGGGATTATATATTCAAAATTCAGTTTAAATTTGCAAAATTAATTGAAATTAATTTTGGAAAAACAGTTCTTGACGAGAAAAAAATTTGATGAAAGGTTTTATTTTATGGTATAAAAGAGATGCAAACATTGCCCATAATTTTTAACTTGTAGGAAACATTTTAAAATTTACTCCTATTTTCTATGTGGACGAGCAGCTGGAACGAGTGGTCAATTTTTTTGGGCTGAATGTAAGAATTATTTGTTAAATTTGTAAATATCTTTCAATTGATTGAATTTCCGGAATTTCCTACTCAGATTTCCCAATTCATATCTCCAGTCAACTGCAGCCTCGCACGTCAGTATAATTTAATTTGAAGCAAATGAAGCGCAAAATAAAACTTGACTTTCCAACAAAAATTAAACAAATTCCAGGTTCCCAGTTAACAAATTTAAAGGAATTGTCCAACGGCAAGAAATATTTCTTTTCCGACTCAAGTAAAGTGAGTCATTTCCTTAGTTATTGAAACAAGTTTGAATTTTTCTCTGAAATTGATCATTTTCGGAAGGTGAATTGGACTTCGGCCAACAAGAAGTGCAAGGGGATGGGTCTTCACCTGGCCACCCTCACGGACAAAGCCGATCTGGACACGATCCACGCAGAAGCAATTAAAACTATTAAAAGGCAGAATGGTAAGAAAGTATAAAGATCCGTATTTCGAGACTTGATCTTGTGAGAATAAATCTGATTTCAGAATTTTGGTGGTTGTCTGCAAAGAATTATGGAATCGGAGACAGGTTGAACTTCCATTGGCACGACGGCTCAGAGCTGCAGGAAAGCAGCACCCTGTGGAGGGATGAGGCGGATAAACTCAAGGGCTGCGTCTATTTCTGGTCTGGAAACGAAAAAAAATTGAACGGCTTGAATTGCAATGAAAATCGGTATTTCATCTGCGAGCTGCCAAAAGATTGTTACTGAAAGAAGTCACATAAAAAAGCCATACACTTTTGATAGAAGGGAAAATAATTTTTGCTATAATATTCTTATTAATAGTTTATGAAATTTCTTTTATTACTAGGAACTAGCCTGTTAAAAATGTTTTAAAATAAACTGATAAAATTCAAGTACGACACTTTTATAAATTATTAAATTCAGGAATGGTTAGAAAACCCTGTGTTGAATTTTATAGAATATAAAAAAAAAACGATAAAAAAAAAACGCTTTTTCTGGAAAAAAGTCATGAATTTATTATTTTCATGTAAAAACAACATTTATTTTTTTCTGGATTTTATATAGCATTCTTTAAGTTATTTAAGTGATTTTATGTACCATAACAAATGAGAATAATTATGTAAAAATCATCTATGATGTAATTATTTATTACATAATTCTCTTTTACATTTGGGAATAAAAATATTTTATACTTTTTTAAGTGTATTGGCAAGGTAAATATAATTGTTTTCTAAAACTTCATGTGTGGGCTATACATTACGATTTTATTACTTTCCAAATTTTACATCAACACCACAATGAGCAACATCGTTTTTTGCACACATTTTTTCCGCTTTTTATTAAATTATTTCACAAAAACAACATTATTTTTGACGATTGCGCCAGCGAGACACTCTGATTTAAAAGAAAAAAAAATTGATGTGATTATTACCATGCGACGCTTCCAGGTGCGCGAGACACACATAATAATTATATATAATATTTAAATTGTTATACACTCAGCCGCTCCAAGCTATACATTTAATTAGACATGTTTATTAATACAAATATCTAAATTATAATCAAAACGATGTGCGAGATCAAACGACGATTGATAACAACGACAGCTTTTGGTGTACAAATCGACCTCTAAAATTGCAAAACGGAAAAGTTGCAATAAGAGCCGGTAGGAAAATTTCAAAAACTTAAAAAAAGAGCAACCAAGGAGAAGGAAAACTGACTATTTTAAAAGGATTATTGATTCAAATAAAAAGGCGAATTATGCAATCTTCACAACGTTGATGAGAAGCCAGTTGCATAAATACGAAATATTGCCGAAATTATTTTAGAAAAATAAATTAGAGAAGAAACTGTTTTTATAGTTCAAGAATCGAAAGCATTTTGCCCTAAGAAACCAGTAAAAGTTTCACATTTTCTGAGATTTCCTAAGGTTTTCCCTTGCCGCTACCCTTTCAAGGTAAAAAAGAACCTTTGAAAAGTGGCGTATTTTTTTTTTTAATTTTTGTAGTAATTTTTCTAATCCTTGTACAGACATATATGAGACCAACGCCATTTGGTATGAAAATTTCACTGGCTTTCAAAAACTTACCAAGGTTAATAAAATGTGGCTATTTTAGGCACCAAAATTGTTAACTATTTGAAAAAAGGTAAAAAATTTTTCATTTTTTTATTGGTTTTTAGCTTTTGTGGAAAACATTTGAGAGAAAAATGTTTGAAACAAAACTTGTAGGAAATTTACTTTTGCACATTTTTTGTACACAACATTTTCTTCTAAATCCAAATCAGCGAAAGTTATAATTAAGGAAAAGTTGAAAATTGAGGTTTTCTGCTCAATCTTAACTTAACCTTATGGGTGAAAATCAAACATGTGCCTAGAGGGCTCAAAATCACCATAGGATGAATCGTGCCAATTAAAAGACATTTCCTCTCAGCCGTACAAATTTGAGGAGCCTCGACTGAATTATTTATTGTAATTGTAGCCAAATTATTCTACATTTCAATTTATGTTTCTCAAATTTGAACGGCTGAGAGGAATTATCTATAAATTGGCACGATTCATTCCATATTTAAGGGCAACACCTCAGGTGATTTAGAGCTTTCTACGTCCGAGTTTAATTTTCACCCATAAGGTTAACATTGAGCAGAAAACTTCATTTTAAACTTTTCCACATTTATAACTTTTGCCGATTTAGATTTAGAAGAAAATGTTGATTACAAAAAATGTGCACAAGTAAATTCCCAACAAGTTTTGTTTGAAACATTTTTCTAAAAAATGTTTTCAACAAGAGCTAGAGCTAAAAAGCCAATAAAAAAATGACAAATTTTTTACCTTTGTTCAAATAATCAAACATTTTGACGCCAAAAAAAATAGCCACCTTTTAATAAACGTGGTACGTTTTTGAAAGCTAATGAAATTTCATATGGAATGGCGTTGGTTTCATGTCGGTACAAGGAATAGAGAAATTACTAAAAAATTTCAAAAATGCGCCACCTTTCAAAGGTACTTTTTAACCCACAAGGTTAGCAACAGGGAAAAACCTTTGGAAATCTCAGAAAATGTATCTCAATGCACCCCCATTTCTGGGTTAAAACCTTTCTTTTCTGGATCTTCATTAAATAATTGTTAAAAATTGGAAAATAAAGAAGAATATTGAAGATGAATAAAATTTCCCGTTTGCCCAGCTCAGTACTGCCATCTTTTGCCTTCAAAAAAGTCTTAAAACAAGTGGAAGTGACAATTAAATATAGAGAGGAAAACTAGTTTTCGTAGCTCAATAAGTTGGTGTGCGTTTGCAGCGGAGCCTCTGCGCGAACGAAAACTCGAGAGTGCCGGAGGAAAAGGGGTTCACCGAACTCATTCTTTTCTTAAAGTTTGTTCAGATCTCGGTCATTTGGGCGGCGCACAGGGGCGAGGGGAAGAGGCGCGCGTCGTGCGCGTTGGAGCGTCCGTAGATGCGCTGCAGCGCCTGCAGACTGTTGCTGGAGACGGTGCGCTCGAGGATCTCGCCCCAGTACTTCTCGCTGATGCCCTCCGAGTCGCCGCCCGCCCTCAGGGTGCACGCCCCCGCCACCGCCGGCAGCTGCGCCAGGCTCGAGCAGCAGTGCGTGCGTCGCGCCGGCGTCGCCGGCGCCCGACGACACAGCAGCTGCGCAAAAAACAATAAATGGTTTCATTAAATTGAACAGAATTTTACTAAAAACTGGAACAAAATTTTTGGTTTTTGGCATGGTCTGAAAATAAATTAAATTTCACCAATTTTGAATTCAAATTCAATATTTAAAGCAATGAAACAGATTTTGTTCAATTTTACTCATTGGAATTCCATCAATTATAGATAACTTTTATTTTCTGATATTTTGAAGTAAAATTTGTACTAATTAAATACTTGTTTGAATGTTAAATCTCCACGCACTGCAATGTCAAATTAACTAATTTTTTTGAAAAGACAATCAGCAGATCGCCCTGATTAAAATAAACTGCAGGGCGCAAATGTTCCCGGCTGCAGCATTTGAGTGATTGCTCGGAGTTGTTAGCCTTAATTAAGCACAATAAAAAGTCCTTTAAGTTGCACATCGAGAGACGCATAAACTGTGCGCCTGATTAAACTTCGCAAATGTCCGCAGACGGGTCGGAATTTGGCGCAGTTGCGTGTTCGGCCTCAATGAAAAGGAGAAAAACGGAGAGGAATTTGTCTTGGGGCCACAAAGATATACCTTTGTGAGCAGCAGCTCCTTGCTGATGCGCCGGAAGTTGCTGTTGAGCAGCCAGTAGAGAAATGGATTCCAGAAACTGTTGCTCAGGGCGACCCACGTCACCAGGAAGTCCATGAACGGCGGCACCTGAAACCAACAATGCACATTTTTACCCTGAATTTCAATAAATTTGGAAAAAAATTGTCTGTTAAATAAGCCAAAGAGATTAAAATGAAAGATTCCATAATTAAAGAAAAAATTATTTTGAAGAAACTTAAAAAAGCAATCAAAATTTTCTTACAATTCAAGTTTTTTTACAATTTCTGTTAATTCTTATTTTTGTCTTTAAAAGCTTTTCCATTAAATTGCATTTAATGAAATATATTTTGCACAGAATATAATGTTTTCAAATTGAATTTTGTGTCTGTATAGGGGGATTGAAGAATATTATTATTCTCTTTTGTACCAAACTCTATCTTGAACAGAATTGATAATTTTATTGTATCCAACTGGAGCCTTTAACGAAAAGAAGTATTAGTTTTATCGTTTCGGCACAAGTACTTTCCACTAATTGCCGCTCTGTGGCAAAAAGTTGGTCTCGCAAATATTAAAACGCCGCGTATTGCGTTCGGCGAGATCCCTCTTCGGCCTTTTTCCTCTCATTATATTTTACAAGTGCTTATTAAATAATAAAAAGACCATCGCACTGCGGACGAGAACGAAAAGAACTAAAAGAAGAGCGGCCAATTTACAGAGAAAGAAAGTTGGTGAGGAAAACTTTCGCCTCAAAATGTGGTTTGCGAGTGGAAAAGTTTTCCGATTGGCCTGATTAAATCGCACGCACCGAGATAATCGGATAATTTAGCTGTGAGTGTTTTGGACTAAACAGAGCGAGCGAAGAGGCTCCGAAATTATTATCGACGTTTCGCACGTCGCAGCGAGCAAGAGCGAGTTTATCAAGATGATTTTTCCACTTTCGCCACTTTAAGCGCCAGCACAGAAATTTGATTACAAAAGGAAAAAAAACGGCGATTTTTCTTTGGTAAAGCAAGATCCGTCCGAGTCAATTTTTGTAATACGATTTTTGATGTTCCACTTGGATGGCAAATCGAATGAGTTGCCGCAGAGTTGCAGAAAATAAGAAGATTCTATTTGATTCATTTTCACAATTTCAGATATTCCGAGCCCAAAATAAAACTGCAATAATTGCAAAATTTTCAACATTTTTGAGCTAAGATTCTTTTAATCTTCTTTGCAAACGATTTAAAGATTTATAAAAATGAATTTAATCTTTGTTAATTTCAATTATCAAAAGCGGAAAATTGTCAGGAAAAAATTTGTAAATAAAAAAGTATTTTTTTTTTACAGATACAAGAACATTCAAAGCAGCGGAATTGAGTTCTATGAATGTGATTAAAGTTTAATTATACAAGTATCAATTTTTTGAAAAAGACAAATCTTTGATTTTCAAATAAATATGGTTTTAATTATGTGAAAACGAGAATTACAATTAAATCAACTTTTTTAAGGAAAGTTTAATTAAATCACAAATTTGTTTTCTCTTATTTGTAATTCCAAATCCATAACTCGTCCATCCACTTTCCTGGTGAAGTCTCAAGCAGAAACTGCCAAAGAAATTTAAAATTTCAATACATTATTTACTTAACAAATTTCTCTTCAAGATATTTCCTTATCTAACGGAATAAATTGTTAATTCTGCTGAATAAGCTCAAAATTTAAGACCAGCAACAAATTAAGGCACGTCCGCTTTAAATCGGAGTGCTCAAGCCATTTATCTTATTGAACTTTGCATGCACAGAAAAGGGTTCTCAGAGGCAAAAAATCCCGCCGAGAAATGAAGAGCAAAAGTTTTGCAATTTCTTTTGCAGCCTTTTATTAACAGGATCCGTGTCTCGTGCTGGCGGCGGGGCCGCGAAAATTCAATCTGGCGAGATTGAAAAGGGTCGAAAGGAGTCTTATTTGCTCTGTCACTTGAGCAGCTAATAATCCGTCAAGAGCTCGGCGCGCGGTAATAATGCGATTTGACTCGCTTTATTTAGGAGCTACTTTTTGATCCATCTCTTCGGCTCGAGCAGGTGCTCAATCGAGTTATCTTCTTCTTTCTGCCCACACAAATGGAACCAATCTCTGCACTCGCCACACCTGCAGGTGCTCCTTTCATCCTGCCAGAGAGGAAATTAAATTTCCCAAAGAATCGATATCTATTTCACATTTTTTCTCCACAATTAGGCGGGCCAAGAATTAAGAAACTTTTAATTCTGATAACGTCAAATAAAAAATAAAAGCATATCCAGTAAATTTTAAGTTTGGTTTAATTTATCAAATTCCATTGACCGAAGAAGTAAATTGAAAAGGATTAATTTATTCTATTTTTAGCTCAATTGTGTTTTTAATTGCGAAATTCTTTAAAAGGTTCAAATTTTTCTTCATAATAAAATATTTAAAGATGAAATGCGCAAGAAGAAAGAAAATGAAATAACAGCTCAGTGGTTTTAAATCTGCAGATTTCCAAGCCATTTTTGATGATAACATTTCGCTCGAGGCCTGCCTTAATAAAAAGAATAAGCTCGAGCTTTATTATTTGCAAGACGGAAAAAGAAAAGAATTCCGCAAACACGGCATGATTCGTTTCAGCAGAAACAAAAATAAAATCCGCATTCGTCTTCTCATTGGCAAAATAAATAAAGTCATGCCATGCGGAACGCATTAGGCGACATGTTATTTATGGTGACGGCGCTGCTTCTCGTTTTGATCGATTCTTTCCATCGCACTGCTCTTTCGACGACACCGCGACGCACCTCCAAATTACACGGCAAAAAGATGAGGCGATAAATCTCGATTAGCGCAGACTCGGCGCCGATAAAAATATAATTCAAAGGGTGCGATAAATTTTCGGCACATCTGCGCGTTTCTCCAAAATTTGGAAATTTAAAAGAGATTTGTGAGGAATTCCTGGCAAATCTAACCAATAATTCAAACGAAGGGAAATTAATCAAATTCATCTGAAAAAGTCCCATTTCGTTGGAGAAGAAATACTTTTTTCTGAAGAGCGAATTAAATATTTTGACACTCGGAACAGACAAATTTTCAGTCATTTACTGTTTTTTTAAGTGGACTTTCATTAAAAATTTGTATGAAAATAAAATACTGGTGATTCACATTTCCCCACCTTTAGCAGTCGAGCATCCAGGAAGTTTTTATTATTTAAATTCAATGAGGAACAAATTCCATAAGTTTCAATTTTGTTAATTCCCTGCGTCAATAGGGCGTAAATTTTCACATCAGTCATGAAAAGAATTAAAAAAAGGCTCATTTTATCCTTTAAAAATCCCAAAATGACAATTTTAAGTTTTGTGTTCCTGAAAAAAGTATTTTTTGGTTCGAGTTACGAACGAAAAGTGCCTCCCGAACCACAAACTCCAATTTGAAAGAACCGACTCGTTTTATTTACTTCCTGAAACCATATTATTTGTAATAAATTCGAGGTAAATTTTTTCCACTCCAGTTCTCTTGAATGCACGTTACGTTTTTTTTTTATTTGGAGTGTTTTTTTAAAAGCAATTTTCCCGAGTGGAAATTGAGGTCAATGATTTTTTGAAACAAAAAATGGAGAAGCGAGTTTGGCCAATTAAAGCGTTAATTGGAGTCGGTGGAAGGGAGGAAAAGATGGTCTCTCACCTTGCTTCCGGTGCACGCGGCGACGACTTCCTGTATTGACCAGGGGGTCACCATCACGATGAAGCTGAGGGACATGGCGGCCATTGTGCGCGAGGCGGCCGTGCTGAGACGCCGCTCCTGGGCCACCATCTGCCAAGCAAAAAGAAGACACGTTTCAAAACCTGCGCTAATTGGCCCGACGAGCAAGTTTGCTTTGGGCCGCGCAAATGTTCGTCTCCCAATTTCCGGCCGTTGACAGGCGTCGATTGAAAATCACTTCTCACAAGAAGCAAGTTCAAAAAACGTCTGAATAAAAAATCGAAGGTTTAACGAAGACATTAAATTTATTTATTTGTTTTGGTGAATCAAAAATTAAATTCCTTCAATTGATAAGCATTAAATTTGTCCGGATATAAAAGATGTAATTTTTTTTATTCAATTAAAAACTTGAACGTGGCAAAAAGTCTTTTTCAACGATTTATTTATTTCAACTTTTAATGGAATCCTCACTGAATCAATTAATCCTTTTGATAATGAATTCCATTTTCGTTTCCACTAAAGTTCTGCCTGTTTTAATTATTTATTTGTGGCAAAATTACGCGCGCTGTTTGGCGGATTTAAAACGAACGCCACCTCATTTGCGATGCTGGCCCTAATCCCGTTTGTTGGCTCATGCAGATCGCACAACACATGCTAATGCCTGCTTAAGCAACAACAACACGGCTAAACCCTGCGTCTTTTGCGGCACTAATTTCACCCCCGAGTTTTTCAAATTAGTTTTTCTGGAAATAATTTCAACAATTTGGAAGTAAGTTTTAACTTTTTGTATCTTTTTCAATTCCTTTTCAGTGTCATTTTGCTTGTCAATGAGAAAAATGTGATACCCTTTTTTCTAACTTTTTCCAATTTACAACAGCAGCCTTGTAGTTTAAAAGTTATGCCACCCGCGCGACACGAGGACGGCGCCGGTTGCCTAACTTAGAAAGCTTTCCGCTGGCGATGAAATTGGATAAACTTTTCTGCCGGGCCCACTTTAAAAGGGCGAACAACGTTCATTTGAAATGAAAGAGCGGCGGCTGGTTTTATTAAAAACACTGCCATCTCGATGGAGCTTTCGATTTGATATTCAGAAAAGCAGGTTTTCCGTATTTCGCGCGAGTGAATAAATTTCCAAACAAAAAACAACACTTTGCCAGCTATGAACGCACTTTTGGCAAATCCGATCGATCTTTTGACTTGCTGATTTAATTTCAGGCGTGAACGTGCCGAGCTTTTAAAACGCGTTGGAAAAGTTGAGCAGCTTTTCTGGTCGGACTCGAGAGAGCTCAAAAGATTCTTCCTTTCTCTCTTTCTTTCTTTCGTCGGCCAAGACAATTGCAGTGACACGCGAATTTGTAACTGTCTGCGCCAGAGTCTGCCACTTAATTGCGGCCGATCCATCCGAGACTCGAATTTACGCCAAACTCAGCTCGCTGCTTTTTTATTTCATCCTCGCGGAGCGGCAAAGAAAATAAAAATGGAAAAGCTTGGATTCTCATTTCTGACATAAAACACAGGAGATTCAACTGAAAAATCTATAAATGGAAAGTTAATTGAACAAACAGTTCAAAAGAGTGGGATTAAAATATTATTATCTTTTTTGCAACTTTTCAGTTTAGAATCGATTTCTTTTAGAAAACCTTTAAATTAATTCAAGCAGTATAGTTAGAGATTTACGCTAAAATCAATTTACTTTGGTAACAATGAAGAGAAAAAAATTACACTTCAACCTTCAGTTAATTGATTACTCTTAATCTCTTTGCTAATTAACTTTTCTTGTGATACTTAATTAAAAAAAAAAAAGTTAGGACTTCCTTTAGGTGTATAAAATTTTCAAATTTATTCATTTCCAAATCAATTTTTTGGAGAATTTTTTTGTAAATTTCAAGGAAAATCTTACAGCTATTGAAAATTTTATTGAAACAAAGAGAATTGTAAAACGCTTGCATTTGAAAAAAAAACTTATATTTATTAAAAATTAACATCCTATAAAATCCTTCATTATGAACCAAATTTTTAATGATCAACTTTTAAAAGTAAAATAAAAACTGCTTGAATTTCGAAAAGTCCGTGTAATTAATTAAAAATATTCTGCTTCCAACTTTGAAAGTTGAGAAACTTGCGTTCTTGACCAAGCAACTTGTTGTTTGCCTTGGACTTTCGACAAAGAACTAAAATTATTTTCTTAAACTTGCTTCTGAATTCAGGCCGGCAACTTTGCGTCGTAGGAATGGCGCGTGTCGCGCTCGTTTGCAATTACAATGGCCATTGCTGCTCCACTCTGTGCCTCTTGAAGAGATCAATAGGGTCGTCGCCGTGGCTGCACAGACGAGATGACATATGCGGGCCTTTCCGCAGCTCCTTATCCAACTATTTTTTATCTTGTCTCGTGAAAATATATTAAATTTATTCCGAACGATTGCCAAAGTGCTTGCGGAAGGCAAAACAATGGGGGCAAGAGCGTGTCAACAACCATCATCGCCGAATTATCTGCGCCACAATTGTTTACACTCACGGATTGTGTTCGATTGTCTAACCCAATGGAAGGAAAAGCAGAAAATTTTTTATCATTTATTTTTTTAATTTTATCGAAAAACCAAAGATAAAAAATATAAAGCTGTAAACGGGTTCCTTTACAAATTAATTAATCAAAGTTTGCTAGTATATTGAAAGGGTTTTTTAAAATTTAATTTAAAGATCAACTTTATAAATGGCTCAATTAACTAAAATTTTTTCTCAGATTTGAAAAATTTCTGTAATTTATTAGCCAAAGTTCAATTGAAACCGTTTAATTTTTTGTTGCATTTCTAAGTTTTCCCAATTTATAAAATTTATAATCTTTTTCAATAAAATTAAAACCGGTATTTATTATATTATAAAATAATAATTTCAATTAAAAGTAAACAAAATGTGAAACAATAACAATTTAAATTAAATATTTAAAACAATAATTTATAAACAAATTTTGGTTTCTAAAATTATTTTTTTCAGTGCAAAATTTTTTCCATTATCGTCTGACAAAAAAATTACGTAAGCCGAAGAAGAAGCTTGTGGGCCAAATCCGCGCGTAATCCGGCTCGGTCATTTTGCGTGGTTGGGCGGAACAAAAGGTGGTGCGAGTCGAGCAGATAAAGCGGCGCGGCCTCTCCTTTTTTACGTTACCTTAAGCATTGTCGCGCGCGTATGTATTTTTACTGATACTCTGTCGGCCCATTCTGCTCAAACCCTTTGATTGTGTCGTAAAGCCCGAATGTATTGCGGCGCAGGAGTAAAAAAGGCCTCCTCAGAGATGAATCTCGGCCCCGGCGGATTCACTCAAATATTTATGGCGCGCCTAACGCAATTCCGAACACGCCGCACATGTTTTGCTTTCTTTGTCACAGGAGGAGATGTGAGTGTGCACTATGTACTTCTTTTTACTTGATCCGAAGTGACCAGCAAGTATGATATCTTTTGTGTAAAGGCGCTCGTTTCTCATCGATCATGAGTCACACTTTTTTTAACCCGCACCTTCATAGAGGTCGAAATAAGGTTTAAAATTTATAATATGGATTGATCGTTAGTAAAAAAATGTATCTTTGAAAAAATCTTTAATGAAACGTATGATTTCTTAAATTGATAATTATTCATTTATTTTTTAGTAATTTTCAAATAAATAAAATCTAAGTGTTCTTTTCATGAAATAAATAACTCATAAGTCAGAATACTCGGAATTCAGAAGAACTAATATTTATTCTAATAGAATTTCGCCTTCAAAAAGGTGAAAACAAATTCGAAATTAAATTGCATGAAACTATTAATCAGATTTTAAATAAAGAAAATAAATCAATAGAGAACTAAAAAAGGGCAAAACCTTATCTTTTATGATTTCATCTTAAAAATTTTCATTCTCTAGAATTTTTGGGTATAATGAGATTTTTAAAAACTTTATTTTTGATTAAATTAAGTAAAAGTGTTTTTTTTTTATAATATTTTAAAAATTAATTCACTAGAAATAAATTTTTCCAATGGAGAATTAACAGAATTTAAATATAATTTGGTATCTTCTTCAATAGATTCAAACTCGCGCGTGATTAGAGAGGAAGGGACGAGATCCATATTGAAAGGGTAGAGAGACTCCATAATTATAATCGCCCGGAGCACAATGCGAGCTGCCAATATCGCACCGAGCGATGTTGTTGTTGTCAACTCGCTTCGGTATGCAGCATGTGCGTGTCTCGATAATTGCGTCACAAACACACTCACAGGCACAGATTGCTGTCACCCATTTATGCAAATGAGAAATAGAGGCGGCGGCAGGTGTTGTTTACGACCAACCAAACCGCAAAATTCGGCTCTATTGTTCCACAAGCAAATGTGATCCTTCTTAATTTAGTTTTTAATTTCCATTGTTTGATATTTACTTTATTTGCATTTTTTTTTTATTGAGTTGCGTTATTTGATTGCAGAATAAATAAACAAAATTTTTAGATAATTTTACGACTTCACAATTTTTCAAATTTTTTATTTTAAGTGTTTTTCTTTTAGCTAATTTATAATATTTTTAAATATTAGTTAATTTCAAAAGTTGGAAATTTTTACTCGAACCCTAATGTAATTTATTAAAAATATCATATTAAAAGTCGAACTTGAAGAAGGAAAACTTTATCCTGACACTTTTTTGATTTTATTATCAATCACCTTTTCTTTCTTTATTGCCTCGGTGCAATAAAACTCGCGAATCGCCCCCGCAAACAAACCGAGTGTGAGTCTCTAGAGGAGGTCTCGGAAGTCTCGTCATGTCGTAAAAGAGATTGAAAATTGAAAAAGGTGAAGGGTTGCCGCGCAAAACACATTCAATGCACGCAGTCGAGCCAAAAACGATCCGCCTCGCACGCCTAATGACATCTCAATGACGAGTATTTTATCAGCGGCGCCTTCGTTAAGCCGCGCCAAGAGAGGCTTTTGTGCCGAGTCTCCTCCCAATTATTGGGAAATGCAAAAGTGATTTTGATTTTTTTTTATTAAGATCGGTTGCAATGACAGAGAATAAATTTAGTCCATTCGTACGATTCGTAATTTTGTTTGATAAAAAATTGATTTTAAAAATGATTTTACGTAATTTAATTTTTTTTTATCAAATTATTATTAATCATAAAGAAGCTGATCAATTAAATTTCGTGTCAAAATCAGATCAGATGATTTTAATTAAATTTAATTTGTGCACAAAAAGAAATATTCTCGCGAAATTAATGAAATTAGGCAAAATTCATTTCAATTTTAACTGCTAATCTTTCAATACGAGAAAGATGTACAAATATTTATTTGCAAATTCCCGCGATGCATTAAAAAAGATAACATTCGTTTGAATTGTGAGTTCAATGCAATGAGTGTTGAAGTTATTATTTCGTGGCGAGTATTGAACTGCATCGTTGGCCAAAGGCACCACAGGGTGACCCACTTTGCTTAAGGCGGTTGAAATGCCGAGTCGCGACTTGCGTTGGCTCCACTTCAAACAAGCAAGTTTCCGTAGTGTAGTGGTTATCACGTGCGCCTCACACGCGCAAGGTCCCCGGTTCGATCCCGGGCGGAAACAATTTTGCATAAAAATCTTAATTGCCAAATAAAATTATAATTTTTTTAGGGCAAGGAAGACTTTCAAGTTTAATTATAAAAATTTTCAATGTAACTTTATTTTTTTAATTAAATAGGCAATTTGATAATATTCAAGACCAAATAGGAAAATGAAAATTGTTTAGAAGCTTCAATTCAATTTTGTACCTAAAATTGAAGTCAAAATTGTCTGCAAATAATTCAAAAGAAAAACGATTTTCCTCGCAGCTCTTTGTGAGCTTTGAATTGCGTGTCTCGCTAAATCAATTTCTTGTAAAAAGCGATTTCAGAAGCGCAAAAGAAACTGTTTTGATCGCGCCTGCTTCACCTTGTTATTGAATAATGAAAGCCAATCCCGCGCGTTTAATGAAAGCAACCGCGGCGAGCATGAATTCGAGTAATTGGATTCTCAGAGTGCGTCTCTCGTGTCGAGCCGGAGAGATTTCGCAACCAATTATTGCGGAAAACAACAAAATTTTCTCGGAGAGGAAAACTTAATTAAAACCGCGCGAAGAGCAGAAAAAATCATTTTCCTCCAAGCACGTCTGGTGAATTTGCCTCTTTTATTCACAAATTTTCTTTCAACAGAAATACAAAAGTGAGATTTTTCAATTTTCATTGTCAATTTTTCAATTAAATTTTGAACAAAAAAAAAAGAACAGGATTAATTAATTCAAATTATTTGAAGTTTGTGCTGACTTTTCTGTTCTCGGATGATTCCAGCAAGAGACAATTAAACGTTCTGTTTGTTGAAGTGACCAACGAGAGTCAACATGATGTTTGAACGCTGCAGCGAATGCTGGATTTTCGAATCAGGCTCGAGTAATTGCTAATCCGAGTGAATCAAATTGCAAACTCAAACGCGCGCAGCTCGGAAGCAAGTTGGTCTCGGTCGCAGCCATTTAATTATTTCCACCCTGACGCCTCTGCATTCTGTTGAAACAACGAGGGGACGCAAATTCCATCACAAAATTTCGCCTCGGCTGATTGCAATTATTATTGCATCGTTGTTGTTTCACAAACGCAATTTGGCGCCGCCGGATCAATCATTGAAATCGATCACTCAATCAAACGGTGGAATTGATCGAAAATTTCTAATTTCAAAATGAAATTGTGGCGCTGCGATCGCTGATTTTGCCAAGATTTCTACACAGCGCCGTGGGGCACAAGCGGCAAAATAAGCGATCGCAGCGCCACAAGTGACAAAAACCTGCACTTTTTTGACCGAACTGACGGAAATACTCAATTCTCAATTTTTTTCTCGCGAATCGCTTGAATTCGGTTTTCATTTGATTGCGACGCCACGGTTGGAATTTCTACAAGATATACTCAAAATTTATAAATAAATAGCAATACAAAAATGACCGGAGTGGGTCTTTAATTAAGAAATGGAAATGATTTAGACTGACCTTTTCGACGGTGGAGGCGCCGAGGTGGTCGGGCACGGCGATGGCGGCGCAGACGACCCTCTTGAGGCGCAGTTTGTTGACGTGGAAGGCGGAGCCGTAGCAGTACATGAGCACCATGGTGGTGGGGAAGTAGAAGAGACACGAGGCCAGGATGCGGAGGCTGGGCCGCGGGAAGAAGGGTTCGCACGCGTGCAGGCCGTCGCCGTTGAAGTAGAAGCCGCCGTGGCGCCGCGGCAGCACCATCACCGCGAACAGGGTCAGCGCCGTCACCCAGGTCAGACTCATGATGGCCACGCACCCCTGCGCAGAGACCAGTACGGTCGTGCCACACACACATAGGACCCTTAGTCGTCCCAGACAAACACACCAACACACACACACTAAACTCGAGCTACCAATCTTGGGATATGCGACTTAATTTCCACATACTCAGGGTCTATGTGTGCGTGGTTAATTAAGATCAGGGCATGCCAGAGGAAATCTAAAGAAATTATGCGAGAATGCATCAAAATGAGGAAAAGCAATAAAATTTTGGATAGGATTGTTTGGTTTTTGTTGTGAAACTTGTTTGTTGCAATAAAAATCAGACGTTTTCAATCAAATTTGAAAGTTTTCTTCAAATTAACATGATATTTTTTTTCTACTTCTCAATTTTTACAAGAACTTTATTTCAAAATCCGAAAATGTAATGATTTAATCTCAAATTCATCAATCTTTGTGATGGAACACAATAAAATCCGCTCAATTTCAATCAAATTTGGCCAAAAAACCTCATTTTTCCAATTTCTAACTCACCGGAAAGGAACCATTTTCGGTAATTCAATTGTTCGAATACTAATTTTAAAATAAATTAATGATTGCTACAAAACGCTTTGTTCAAAAGTTTTGAAAATTAGTATTTTGATGCGAATCTTTTGGCTATCTTGGATTTTGTTATCAAGTTGCCTATTTTCAAGGAGCAGAAAACTGTATATTTTGACCTTTGACCTGGGAACTTGGTGCCCATTAGGAAAAGATACCTTGGTTCATCAGCTCCAACCTCCCACCGAGAAAATTAAAAATCTTAATCGAAATTAATTTAGCTGCGGATTTAGTAAACCCTTATTTATCTCCGGCGGCAATATTGGAATTAGACATATTATTTGAATTGAATGGTTTTCATTAATTCGGTATTTAAAGAACTATCATGATAATTATTTGCAGAAATCAATTGATTTAATTTACTAAAAAATTAGCTTTGGTTTCTGAAAAACAATAAAAATGCAAAAAACCACGTTTTTCCAACCTCAAATTATACTATCCTCACAATTTATTACATATTCTAATTATTTAAATGATCCTTGTTAATTCTTCTTGAGGATTTTGATTTCCATCTTCTTGAAAAATTCCGTAAATTAACACTTTCCAATCCTTTTTTTCTTTCTTTTGTTATCAAGATTGACCTTTGTGACTTTTGCACGTTAGCAAATCACGCACCGTGTGTCATTTTGACGTGCCCCAGGATGAATTTATCTCGTTGCGCATTCATCAAAGTTTTACGGGCGGAACTCGCAAAGTGCGCAGACAGGGTGTGTAACTTTGCAGATTCCGCGGCGCGCCATTAAATATTCGCGCATAAAACACGCATTACGCGCGACCCACGTTATCACGTTTTATTGGGCCGCATCATTGTCGCTGCAGACTTTATGGCCGCGTTCAGTGGTTTGGCCCGATTTTGATAAATCAAAATAAATAATTTCAGACAGACGCGCATAAAAACTTTGATCAATCGATTTTCGGGGCTCGAAATTCCGTTTATCAGAACAAACTGCCAAATTTGGTAAAAGTATTCATTCTGTGTCAGATTATTCAATTCGCGCCAAGAAGAGGCAAAAATGAGCTTTCCTGCTTCCGAGAGCAGCTCTTGTTTTGCCTGCAGAGACAGAATAATATTTTAAACGAGATTCTAAATTCTGAAAATATTTTATGGCGCGCGGCTCAAGAGCTTCTTTTTCTTCCTCGGGCGCATTTGGCACCGGAGAGAGCGTTTTAAGAAGTTTCTTTGTTACACACGCGAGCTCTTTAATTTATTGCCTCCGTTTACGCTTCATTAATTGGCGCATAAATCACCGCCGATTCAAACGCGCACATTATGCGGAAAGCTCGTGAAATCTGGAGAGACGAGATTCTGCAGCGCCGGAAAATAAGCAGCAATAAACAAAAAACTGTTTACTTTGTACAATAATTTTTCATCATGTTCAAAATTCAAAGCCGGATTTTCCTTGACTCGATCATTTATTATTTCGTAGCAAAAGCAATTTCTTTGTTTACATAAATTATAAATTTCAACTAAAAAAACACCCAGTTTCTTTTCCTTTTGTATGAACAACTTCAATAATAATTTAATCCAAAAATTTTTAAACGAAATTTTAAAATTAAAGCAAAAATAATCGTTTTCAAGCATGAGAAGAGAATTTTAACACCTCAATTGTTTGCAAATCAAAAAACCTTGGTTGATTTTCAAGAACTTTTTGCTTTTTCCTCGTGAATCAGAGAGAAAGAATTGAAGTTGTAATCTGGTATTGTGCTCGCGGGTGGAAAACAAAGGGGGTAATCGACATAAATTGCGGCCTGCGGCGGTTGCCCCGGCGCTCGCATATAAATCTCGGGCCAGATAACGAATAATCACGGCGGCGACTCTAAAGAGAGCGAATAAAGGATGAAAAATTCCCTCTGATATTAAAGTTGGCGCGCGCATTGCAAACTTGCGTGACGAACAAAATTTTTCCCAGGGACGAGAGAGAGAAAGACTGTTTTTCTTGCCAGAGCCACTTTTCAGACACGCGCGCGCCTCTCTCAAAATTTCATCTCGCGCTCAAAAGTGATCCACTCGAAAAAGACCTCTTTAATTTTGCATTCTCGTGTTCTCCGCTGCCAACCCTCCCAGTTTTTTACGCTCAACAGCAAAAGTGTTTATAAAAAAACCTTTGTTCTGATGCAGTCACGCGCCCGCCTGGCTCTAATTTCAAAAGAACACGACGGTTCCTAAACGAAACTAAGCGCGCGGCTCTGCAAAATCACTTTCTGCAAAATGTTCACAGGGTAAACGTATTTACACGTGGCGTTTAATTAATTAAAACAGAAATTAAATCAAGAAAATATCCGTCTTTTGTTTTAATTTTTATTAAAAATTTCACTCTTCTGATAAAAAATGTTCATAGTTTTTTCTTTTCATTTAAAATAATTGAAATAATAATGATAATCCTTTTTCAATAAAAAGCAAAATGATTATATGAAAATCAGCAAAAAAATTAAACTAAAAAAATTAACTCTTGAAAACATTTTCATGATTTAAATTTTATAAATTTTGTAACTTCATTTGCACCTAAAATGAGTTATCATTAAAAGCACGAAATTCTTTCAAAATCTTCTCCCTTGTGTCGAGAAATATTTTCAATTCACTTGCTTTTGACTGGTCCCCTTTAAGGGATGAAACCCTCACAACCGGAAAAGTGTGGATTCCCCACTCGTTGAAAACCGTTAAAAGAACATGCGAAAAAAATGCTCCATTCTGGCAATTTTTCAACTCGCAACAAAATTCCAGCCGCACTAATGGAAAAATGTTGCCACGCATCTAGGCTAATGCACATTTTACCGAAAAAAAGAAGAGATACTTTCGGATCCAACTCGCGATGCACGTCCGTGGAACTATTTATTTGATATAACAACTTTTCCGTCCCCGGGGGTTTAATGATCTCTCCGCGCTCGCTCGCTCGCTCTTCTTTATTGAAGTGTTGATGATGGAGAGGCCTCAATTTTCCCGCCGGAGCATTACGTCATTATTTGTGTATGTGTTTGCGACGAGAGAGAAATAATAAGCAAAGGTAAAATTCTCGCGGGAGCTTCATCGCTGCACATCCAAACGGACCAATTTGTTTTGCGCTTTGCCCTCCGAATTATAATTTTAATTTTTCTGTTAGGACATTGTCTTTAGGACATTGTGAGGCACCCCTTTCAAAGCCAGCTTGATTTGACAGCAAAAATTGCACCTTCATTTTTTATTATCAAAATTTCATATTGCAAATGTCAAGTTTTGTGCAAATGATTAAAATAAACTGAAGTAAGAATCAATTCGCCCTCTAAATTTTGTGCGCTGAAAACTTGTACCTCAAGTAATTTGATCCTCCGCACAAGAGAGAAAATAAACAACAAAGTTCACTTCTCGATCGATCAGCATTGTCGGTTTGTGTTGGCAATTACCGAAGTTCGGGGCCGCCGAAACGCGCGCGGCACAATTTCCTGCGGGGCCACCTCTCAATAGTGATAGCATCGCCGCAACTTGGGAAGCATAAATCACAGGGGACGCGTGCAATCATTAGGCCTCGTTGTTTGCCGACCGCATTAAGCGCGTCGATTTCATCATTACTTTCATTTCTGGCGGAATCCTCGCTTCAGTTCAAACTTCAAACACAAGAGAAGAAATTTTAAGAATATATGATTTTAAAATAATCCAGAGCAAAAATTTATTATCATTTTAACTTGCAAATCTGAGCTTTTCCAAAAATCAAAGTAAAAATTAGCTTTTCCTGCTTGTAGGATAAGTAAATTTTAGTTCGATTTGTATTCTTTACAATTATTCTAATTCTGTGTTATTTATTTTCTAGCGGAAATGAAAGTCTATGAAAAAAACTTCAGCTTTTTAATTAATTATCATCATCATTGGCGCAATTTCTTTACTCAATGAATTCTTCAAAATTTAGGTCTTTATATTTAAAACTGATTCTGGTTCACCACATCAGACCACTTGGAAGTTACTAAAAAAGCGCCGAGTTTGTGCGTCTTCAGCAGAGACGCATTTTAATTTTCTATGCAAATACTTTCGGGGAAACGGAAATTCGGCTGCTCTCTCAATTGCCCCACCTCGACCCTAATGGCTTTTTTTTTCATCCAAAGGCTCTTTTTCTCTTTGCCTTTCTTTAATTTGAATTTCCACGGCCCTTGGAAAGACTTTTCCTATTATCTTGAATATTATTGAATTCAAGTTGGGAATAATTAAAAGCTTCCTCGGACATTTTGTTATTGCGACGAGTGTTGTTTTAAATTTCAAACGAAGAAGGTCGGAAACGTGACTCTTATTTAGACTCTTTGTTTTCGTGTGTGAATTGCAAAGAGCAAAAAATAGGGAAATAGCGCTGGAAAAATTCATACTTTCGCTGGCCAAGCACGTAAAGCAAACAACAAACTTCGCCGAGACGCGAATTCAAAAGCGTTTCATTAATTTCAGGAAATTGACCAACCTTCTCTCGCCAAAAACCGTTAAAACAAAGGTTTTTTAAAGGCACGTCTCGATTTACAAAGGAAATTGCTGGAATTTTTCCATTTACCAAGCAGAGAACTTATTCCGGAGAGTATAAATTTGTTGCTCGCCACCGCAGTCCCTGTTCGGCGCTTTTTATGATATGGAGCCGGTTAAAAGTTGGCAGAGTCCGCTGGGATTTTGTTTGCACCGTCAAGAGCAGAAAGCGTTAATTGCAGAGCGAAACTCTTTCTCCCAATTCACGGCTGCTATAATTGCTCTTCAAGAGTTTCGGAACCAAAGAATCGAATTTCTTTGAACAATGGCGAGAATGCAAGAAAAACGTCAAAGAAATTTCTTCTTTTTCTAATTGACACGGATCGAAGAGCACTCGAGAAATATATATTTAATTGCAGTCTTGGTCGCTCGCAGAAGCTGCTGCTTTTATTGAGTTTTTGCCGAGTGCCAGCGTTAATTGAGTCTCCGCAGTTTTGTCATGCAAATTCTTTGCTTTTCAAGAAGCAGCGAGCAAAATGAGGCCAGAGTGCTCGTCGTAATTAGACCGGCAACTCGAGAATTTCAGCTGCTTCGCCAAAGTGGTCATTGTCCGTTATTTATCAACGGGAGACACTGCATTTTATAGCGTTTGTCTCCTTTTAATGAACACACTTGTTGGGGACAGACAAAGTTCTGAACAAATGATGCAATCTGATCAGGCGTAAAAAATAAAATTTAATTTATACAAAATTTACTATTTTCTTTGCTTTTTCTGGATAAACTTGTTATATTTGGGATATTTTTCGGACAATAAATTCAATCTGATTATTATTTTGAATAACTAATTTTGAGCTAAACAAACTTGCCAATATTGTTCGCAGTTGTATAAATTATCCTCTGTTGCTGCTTTAATCAGATTTGGAAATCACGAGCTTCTCCCTTAGTTAATCAAACGCGTTTGCTTTTGAGTCAGACTAGCTCTCGTCACAGTCAGAAGCAGAGGATATACAATTTGCGAAAGTTCTGTTCTCTGATTAAACTTTTAAAACGCCGTCTGTGCGATGCAAATCGCACCGTAGGAATAAATTTGCTTTTGCAAAGGACGGCTCATCACTCATCCCGTATATGTACCTTTCCTGCTTTTTGGCTCTATAAAAATAAAATGAGCGTTTGGATCGCGCACCAGTCTGGACAGAATATCGCGCCGCTGCTGGCTGGCAGGGCGCCAATCAAATTGCGAAAGGGGTAAAAAATGGAGAGAAGCAAACACAGAAAAAAAACTCTTATCAAAGGTACATGAAATTAATGGGCCAAAAGAGGAGAATGTGATGAATGGACTTTCCTATTAATGTAAAAAATGAGCTCCTTATCAGCCGTGAAATTGTTTTCCGGCCCGAGTATAATTATCGCAATTTCCATTTTCTTCTTTTGTGTCTGCATCATTAGGGCGCACGCGTGTGTGTATAAATTGTGGCGACGAGAGCGTCTCATCAGCACAAACCAGACGTGAAACAACGCGCGCCATAAATTAGCAAAACGTGCCGCCCGAGCAAAATTTAAAACGTCTCTCGGCGCGCGCGCTAATGACACTCGTCGGCACCAGCCCGGCCTAATCGCCGAGGTCGCTCATTTGGCCTGCATTGTTTCGCATGACCAAACTCACAAGAACAACTTTTTGCGCACCTAAACTTGTGCCAAGTTGGTGCGATAATGCGAAAACTTTCCAGCTTCACGGTTCTGATTGGAACATCAAAAGCGCCGATTTTAAATGAAAATATTTCAAAACAAGATATATAAATTAATTTGCTTTCTCATTAGTATCGTGAATTGAACAGATTAATTACAGGTATACATCCTCTATTTAAGGGCAACACCTGAAGTGGCTTTAAGCTTTCTAGGTTCAATATTGATTTTGACTCGAAGCAGAAAATCTCTCATTTTTTAACCTTTCAGCTTTTATAAATTTTGTCGTTTTGGAATTAGAAGAAAATGTTAAATATAAAAAGTGTGCAAAATTAAATTTTCTACAAGTTTTGTATAAAACATTTTTCTCTAAAATGATTTTCAAACGAACTATAGAGCTTAACAACCAATAAATAAATGAAAAAACTTGACCTTTTTTAGAACAGGTTAAATTTTTGGTACCAAAATTATCTAAATTAAGCAAATTTGGTGAGTATTTGAAAGCTTGTTAAATTTCCTATCGATTCGCGTTAGTCTCTTGATTGTGCATTGAATAGAAAAATTAGTACAAAAAATAAAAAATGCGCCACCTTCAAAAGGTATTTTTCCGGGCAAAACGATTTTGATACGCGAACTATATCAAAACAAACTGGGCTCGTGCCTAGATAAAGCTGCTTCCCGCCCTAAACTTAATTAATTTGATAAAAGCCAACTGTATCTCTAAGCTCGCGCAATTAGAACGCCGCAGAGGGCGTTTTCTCATCTTATTGGATTCGGCGATTTAATTAGCAGCAAATTAGTTGCACAAGAGAAAACACGTTTTGCTCGTGGGCGAATATCGATCTCGCCGCACCATTACAAGCATAATTAACGCTTTGTACGTGGACCTGCTGCAGAGCAAAAAGACGCTCCGCGTTTTTCCTCAGCCAAAGAGGACCCAGTCGCAATTAGCAAATGATAAATAGTTGAGAGCGGATTGTGCAAATATATGCACGGAGCGAGTTGGCATCTCTCATTGTTAGCTCTGTCGCGAGAGCAAATATAATTGTTGCTGTTTAGAGAGAAGACTCGCAAGGAATAAAGCAAAAGCACTCTGGTGAAATGCGTGCTTCAAGCAACGTAGAAATGCAGCGAGAATATTTTTGTTCAAGTTTCATAAAGTACAGAGAGATCTTTCGACACTTTTAAAGAACAAAACAACTTACAAATGAAGAGAACAAATTGAACTGGAAAGGAAAAATTCCAAAATTTCAAATGATTAGATCATAGAAAAGGTTAAATAAACATTGCAATAGATGAAACTTTTCTTTAGAAAATGGAAAAATTGAAAGATAATTCACAATTTTCAAACAAACTGAGCTCATCACGTAATTAATACAAGTTGTATCAAAAAATATTAATATTAACTTGTGAAAATCTAAAATTGTGATTTTTCAGTGAAATCTCCTTTCACGTTTTATAAAGATTTTGATCAATTATAGAAACAATCTGAATTAACTTCAAGAATGGTATATTATTATCGATTACGAGATTTCAGAGCTTGCTTCTTCTTTGAACAGAGTTTGAGGCGGGTCGACCCTCGCACAAATGATCAATAACTCATTTGTTGAGGAAGCGGCGAAGCGTTTTTTCAGTTTGTGAAAACTTTTGGCAAGAAGGGCTAATATCTGCGGGTGAACAATTTGCGTGACAAATATTCAAGCGCACTTGAGTCATGTGCATGGGAAAGTGGGTCCAGCCGACTTTTCGTGATGAATTACCGTGTCCTTGAATGGTCTCTCTGCATAAATTGAAAGAGCTCCACATGTTTTCTTAGGTCCTTTGAAACGATCAAACAGAGCCAATTAACTGCAAGGCAGAGTCCATCAAAAGTTTGTGCATCAAGAAGCCGCTTGAAAAAAGAAAGGAAAAAAACAGCAGATTTCGCCGCTCCCGACTAATCCCATCTCTCGGCGTAATTCCATTTTAATTAAGCGCGCGCGCCAGTTTAAGAGAAAACTTTGAGGCAAAAACAAGCCAAGAAGCTGTGCAATATTTTTGCATTTAACAGAGAGAGAGCGAAAACGGCATTCAATTAAGTACCGTCGGAAAATAAACGGGCAGAGAAAATAAAGAGCATGGGATGGAGCGCCGCGCATGTTTAATTTACATTCACACAACGACGGCGACGAGAGTGCAAAGATGTTGCAGGGAGATCCGCACTTTCAAATTTTTTGTAATAAAAAAAGTACTTTGTTTTTCTTGTCGAATGCAAAATTAGGGGCAGAATTAACAAGGAGCTTGTGATATTTTAACTAAAAACTTCTGAATCTTATCCCTTAATTTCAATGTAATTTTTTTACGTCGAACTAGATTGCTTTTTATTTTCCATCTTAATTTGGGTGATATGAACGTGATTTGCTGAAAGTTTTATAAATTTTAGTCGTGCCAATTTTGAAAAATAAATTATTTTAGTAAATTTCCTTGCGGAACAATGTTAAATTTCAAAAAGACAGTTCTTCAAAAAAATTAAATTATTCTTACAAATTTTCCTTGGAACTGAATCTACAAACCAGAGCTAATGTAGAGAAAATTACCATCAATTTTTATTTCTACAAAATTCTCTCCTCAATTTCCAAAATTATTAAATTATTAAGTATAAAAATTAATTAGGAAATTTCACATTTACTTTTGTTCTATCAAAATTTTTTTGTGAACAAATTTATTTCAAACATGTTTTTCTTTCAATAATGAAAAGAAATTTTTCTCAAAAATTTCCCTCTGAACCGTAAAACTTTGATTCAGAATTAAAAGTTTCGAAGCCACAAATTTGTGACATTTCTCCCTTCAAGGATCTTTTCTTGTGAGGATTTTTAATGTATAATTTAAGCAGCGACGAAATCCTCGGGGAGTGCGCTTAATAATGCACAAGATCGGAAAGAGATTGGAATTTATTTGGCCTCAACAGTGGCAAATCCAGATTGATTTCGGATTAAAAGTTCAAATCTGGAAAAGGAGCAGCACTTTTTTTCACGCTAACGGAACAAAAGTGTATCTTTTCTGCTCGGGAAAATAGCAAATTGAAAGAAATCGAGGCTAATTGGCAATTTCCGGCGATGTATATATTTCTAAAGATTTCAAAAGGAAGAAGGAAAAATGGGGCGCGCGGCGCGAGTTTCTCGCACAAAAAAGAGGAAAGAAGTGATCAATCTTGATTCATTTGTGGCGATAATGCATGCGAAAAGGGAAAAGAGATGTGCGGCCTACCTTTTTGCTCGAGTGCTTGTGGTAGCTGACGGGGTGCAGCATACACATGTACCGGTCGATGGCCATGCAAATCAGGATCACGGCGCTCTGCTGGCTCAGGGCCCCTCGCAGGAGAGCCTGTTCAGCACAAAATCAACATCATTAGAAACTTTCCACGGATTAAATGTGTTTGGACGGACAATAAAACCGATTCAAATCCGCCCTTCCATAGACTCAGACCAGACGCACAAACTTTCTTTAACAGAGATGGAATTTGCCACAGCTTTTCCGTGCGTGTAGATAATTTAGTAATGGAAAATGTTTTTTATTCAAAAAGTTTAGGCGATGTCTTCAAAATGTTGTCAAGAAAGTTCAAAGTTATTGTGAATGATTTCGATTGGTTCAATTTAAATATAATCCAAAACTTTTTAAAACTATATCTTTTTTTTTTTTTTTTTTTTTTTGATAAATTAAGTGATTCAATATGAAACGGTAACCTTCAAATTGAGGAAGGAAATTGCGATCTAAAATCGTGGTTTTCTTATTTTATTAAATTTTTAATTTAGTTATTTTATTGTTATAAACTTCTGAACATCATAGTTAGTTATTAAAATATAATTATTTGACAATTATTAATTTATTTATTAATTTTATTAATTTATTAATTTTCAAATATTTAATAAGTATTTTAAAATTAAAAATAAGTGGTAGAAGGTGAGCAATTTCAAAGTAAGTGATTTCTGGTGTAAATAGTTGTTCTATTTTCTTGCGGAATACAGGGAAACAAGTAGTTTTTAAACAAATTAAAGAGATTTTCGATAATTCCAAAACGTCAATTTTTCTTGAACATATGAATAGATATTTATATGTGTCAATTTCCAGCAAATCGGTTGAAAAGGAGTTTCAAAAATTATTTTATACATCCCTAAGTTGCCTCCCACTCTTGAAGATTAAGACATAAAAAATTAATGAAAATAACTTTCATATTCACATTTTATAACCGTGTTTTATTTACAAAGAAGCATAAAAATTAAGATATATTACACAAAGGACATTATGCAGGGAATGGCAAAAGCAAAGAATTTAAAATGCAACACAAAAAACCTTGAAGATTGAGGACTTTATATAAAACATAGTTAATAGGTTGCAATTCATTCTAGTGTACCATGCATGTTAATCATGTGATTTCTTATTAGATAAAATTTAATTTCCTTGTTGCAAATTTTACACTTTGCTTTGCCATTAGAGTGCACTCCGCGAATGTGGTTTTTCAGTACTGAGGCATCATAAAATTTAGCCGGGCATTGTTCGCAACAATGTTTTTTCTCTATCAGATTGTGGACATTTGCCATGTGTGCCTTAATACTTTCTTTTCTTGAAAGTTCCTTGCTGCAGTGAGCACACCCAAATATTTTTTGGTTTGATTCGATGTTATTTAACTTTTGAAAGTTTAAACTTGCATTGGATTTCTGAGATTGCACATTTTGAGCTAAATGCTTCCTGTTCATGTGGTACTTCAACATATATTTATATCTAAAACTTTTCAAACAAAACTCACATTTACATTCAGATTTGCAATTCTTCTCATGCTTTCTGCGCAATTCCAAACAGGGACCGTTCACGAATGATTTAAGATAAATTGGACAGATTTTTTTTGTTACGAGCACCACTCTGATTTTTAGATATGTTGTTAGGGTTGATGAGAAACTACTTTGACCAAATTTTTAGACCAAAATATTTATTACTTTTTGAAATATTCGGGTTTTTTGAAAAACTCAAAAATGCTTATATCTTTGCTCCTCTTAGTTTTAGAGCAATTTGGTTTTCACTCTAGTAGGTAACTTTTTATTCTGAACAATTTTGCTGTTGACCAAATTGCCCTAGGTCAAAGGTCAAGGTCATTAAAATGCATTTTTAGTTTTTGAGGTCATTTTTCTCAAAGAAGCGTATTTTTGATATTTTTTTAGCAAATGCAAAAAATGTAGCCCGTGAAATTCTACATCTGGTCCGAAATATTTGCGATGGCGTATATCTTAGTTTTTTAGTTATTTTAATTTAAAATTAAAAAGATGCGTTTTTCCGATATGCGGTATTTTGACATTTTTCTGTTATATTATTTCTAAGCAGCCTAGAGCAATGCGGTTTTCACTGCTAGACCTATTTTTTAATTTTGAACAACTTTTCCGTTGACAAAAAATACCTAGGTCAAAGGTCAAGGTCAGTAAAATGCATTTTTAATTTTCTAGGTCAATTTTCTCAAAGAAGCGTATCTCAGATTTTTTCCGCAGTATAGAAAAAAATGTTGCCCATGAAATTCTACATCTGGTTGGAAAAATTCAGAATGGCGTTATTTTTAGTTTTAAAGATATTTTAATAAATATTTAAAAAGTTCGTTTCCGTATATAATATTCTGACCCCTTTTTGCCTTTTTTTTTATTCTTATTGAAATATCTTTAAATCTAAAAATAATGCCATTCTGAATTTTTCCTACCAGATGTAGAATTTCATGGGCAACATTTTTTTCTATACTGCGGAAAAAATCTGAGATACGCTTCTTTGAGAAAATTGACCTAGAAAATTAAAAATGCATTTTACTGACCTTGACCTTTGACCTAGGTATTTTTTGTCAACGGAAAAGTTGTTCAAAATTAAAAAATAGGTCTAGCAGTGAAAACCGCATTGCTCTAGGCTGCTTAGAAATAATATAACAGAAAAATGTCAAAATACCGCATATCGGAAAAACGCATCTTTTTAATTTTAAATTAAAATAACTAAAAAACTAAGATATACGCCATCGCAAATATTTCGGACCAGATGTAGAATTTCACGGGCTACATTTTTTGCATTTGCTAAAAAAATATCAAAAATACGCTTCTTTGAGAAAAATGACCTCAAAAACTAAAAATGCATTTTAATGACCTTGACCTTTGACCTAGGGCAATTTGGTCAACAGCAAAATTGTTCAGAATAAAAAGTTACCTACTAGAGTGAAAACCAAATTGCTCTAAAACTAAGAGGAGCAAAGATATAAGCATTTTTGAGTTTTTCAAAAAACCCGAATATTTCAAAAAGTAATAAATATTTTGGTCTAAAAATTTGGTCAAAGTAGTTTCTCATCAACCCTAACAACATATCTAAAAATCAGAGTGGTGCTCGTAACAAAAAAAATCTGTCCAATTTATCTTAAATCATTCGTGAACGGCCCCAACAGTCAAAAGCGACTTTGCATTTCCGACAAGAGCGTTTTATGTAATGATACGAGTATTGGATAATGTTAACTCTTAAATTGCAACCAGGACATGCTCTAAACTTATGCGCCATATACGAGTGACGTCGCAAATCAATTTTACTAATTAAAATTTTGGGACACTCTGGACATTTGATTATCTGACGTACTTCGTGAGCTTTTGCCTCATGATTTTCAATTGCATCCCTTTCGCAGGCTTTGTAATCGCAGATTGAACATTTTAAATTTTTCTTTCTTCCTTTATTTTTGTGCTTTGCCTCAAAATGCAAGTCCATCTCAGCCCGAGTTTTAAAATACAAAGCACAACTATGATTACTGCACCTGATTGCCACATCACGATGCTTTGATTTAACATGTTCACGTAGATACTCAACTTTAATACCTTTCTTAGTACAATAAATGCAGTCAGAAAGAGTTTCTACTTTCGGCTTCAAATGTATTTCTTTTACATGAGCGTCTCTTTCCTCAACAGTTATAAAGTATTTCCAGCAATTAGCACTGTAATTGCATCTAATTGCAACGTCTGCATGCATAGACTTCAAATGCCGATGCCAGTTTGTTACATTTTCTCCGCAGTAGCAGCAATTTCCGTCTAACCTTGATGCAGCCTTCATTCCAGCATTGGCACTTGCTTTTTCCTCACTTGGCAATTTTTCCAAAGAAACCCAGCATTGCTGCACTTTTCCAGCTGAAATCAATTTTTTTTATAAATTTTTTATCATTAATCATTTTATTTTCCTAAAAAATGAATTGATTAGGTTAATTAAATATTTTAACCTGTGTAGTTTTTGTAGAGGTCTTGAGTATCCTTATCAGAGCCTTCTTCCGGCCACCAGCACAAATCGTAATCATTTTTACAATTCACAGCATTATTGCAATTGTTACGATAAAACCTGCAAAACAAAGGTTTTTTATTTTAAGATTTCAATGCACATTTTTCGCTCTTTTTAAATTTTGAAACTGTATTTAAAGCTCAAAAGCTATTTCTTGGTACATAAAAAACAATTTTTTTCGATTCAAATACATTGAAATGAAAGCATTATGCTCATAAGAAAGTTTTAATTTTATCTAATCCCGATTTTTAATTTCGAAAACCATAGTGTTTGAGAGTCTCATTTTTCACTCCCACCCGTTTTAAGAGATTAGAACAAAAATATTTATTTATTCTGCTGTTTTAATCAAGAAATTAAATTGAAATTCGTTTTTCTATAGAACCAACCTGGCGTCCCAGACACAGAAGTAGCAGAAGAGGTCCTGGTCGTCGATTTGGCCGGCTAAAGTCGTGCCCAAGAAATTCAAACACCACTCGGCCAACTTGTCCTTGTCCAATTCGGCCGCTCGGTGGCCGCCGTCGGCCGCTCGCAAAGTCGGCACAACTCACCAAACATCTTCCAAAGCCGACTCAACAAGTTGTTTATAATTAGAGAGAGTAAAAATGGGAGACGCGAACGACCAACGCCCCCTTTTTCGGCACAATACTTACACCAATCAGCGACGACAAGACAAATGACTAACGCCATCGCTGATTGGTGTAAGTGTTGTGCCGAAAAAGGGGGCGTTGGTCGTTCGCGTCTCCCATTTTTACTCTCTCTATTTATAATTTTGAATCAGCTGTGGCGTTTTTGAGGCTCCTTTTTTTCAGCTGGGGGCGGAGCTTATTTTCGAAGCAAAGCGCGCGAACGAACACGTGGCCCTACTTTTGATTCCTGCAATTTTCTCAAATTGGGACGGGACGGGACAGTTTTATTGAATGGTTGTTCATTGCTGAAGTCGGCCAGGATTTTGCATTGAGAAGAATATAAACTTTGCACCTTAGTTTTACATAAGCTTATATGTGTTTTTAAAAAAAAATCCGCAAAAACTCATCTTTTTTTCATCCTCTTGCAGAATTAGAATACGTCAGAAATATTGCTCATGTGTCACCTCACCGAATTGAAAAACCTAACCTAATTTTGTGACGCGCCCCATTGTTTCGTTTGCTATCAACTTTAATAAACTCTGATCGTCAGCATGATCTAAAAAGAATATATCGGGGTCGGTCACAACTCTCAAGTGGTCATGAAACAGAGGTTTGCTGCTCAATGCACTTTGCAATGCAGATTACACGGGTATTGCTCGATCTCTCATTGTCTCCGAAGCTGAATAATAGCTCGGAGGAGGCGCAAAGGGGGCCGCGAGTCGATCCTCGAACGCTCTCTCGGCCAAATAACTCGCTCGAGAGAAGAGACTTTGAAAGCAGCCTGATCCAGCTTTGGCCCAGAGCAGAGGCTGCTCTGTTTGAATCGAGAGATTAACGAGAACGGCGCGTGTGCTTAACACGCACGCAAGTGTGTGCACCGCGTTGATTGCTCGGCACGTGTGTGTTTGTAATTAGTTTGAGAAACCGATTCTGCCTAAAACCCTGCGAGCGCATTTTCAAGTGCGGCGGATTTCCAATCTTAAAGCTGGAAAGTATACTTCAAGTGTTTCATTTAAAAATTAAGTAAAAATTTAAACTAGTACACCCAACGATCTCCAGGCCTGTAGCCGCGCGAACTGGAGCAGTGAACTCTCTACACTAGAGCTGCCACCGCTCTAAGCTTAGAGCAGCCACCGCTCTAAGAAAAAGCCCATAACGTTACACTACAGCGACCACCGCTCTAAGAAATTTCCCATAACGTTACACTAGAGCGGTGACAGCTCTAAGCTTTGTTGGGTGTAGTTTATTTATTGATAATTTGACCAAATATTTTTATCATTTTAATATAAAAGTGTAGTTTTGCAGTAAAGCCATTTGATAATTTAAAAAAAATATGGTTTAAAAAACATCTTGCACTAATAATTTTTTTTTACTATTTAATGTTTCGCTTGTAATTGAATTGTGGGGCGTTGAAACACGTTGAAACATAAAAATGGACAGTTAAATAAATCTTTATTTTTAATATCCATGTCATTTTACATTCAAAAAGGTTCTTTGTGGGCTGGGATTGTATCTGTTGGACGAAATGGCATTTTTTTTAATGTACAACAAATAAAATTTGAGATAAAAGTAAATTTCATTTCTTTGTCTAGACAATCTAGAGTTTACTTTTTCGCCACGTTGAAATGATATAGCTTGCGGCGGAAGATGAGTGGAATTTGTGTGTTGGGACGAGAGCCAGGCGGAAAAATGAAGAATGCGTTGAATCGCAATTTGTCTCTGTCATTTTGCAACGGCGGCCGGGTTAATAGAAAATGTCACTAATAAAGTGGAAGGCCGTGGAGCGTGACCAGCGAACTTTCATGCACGGAAAAGTTTTGTCTGCAAAAAAATAAATAAAACGGGATGAAAACCTGCGGGGGTGAAAAAACGACGAGGAAGAGCAGCGCGGGATTAAACGCTTGGAAAGCGGCGGCGGCGGCGGAAACGTTAGCTAACGAGCACTTTTGGCCTCGCAATGAAATTCTGACAGCCCCGGTTCTTTCTGCTCAAATGACATTTCGTTCCACTTTGCAAAAGTAATAAATTCATTCATCAGAATATATATTCAAATTGGATAAATTTACTGCGCTTCTACAATAATTGGGTAAAAATTATTTTAATTCAAGTATTAAATATTAAATTATACAATTTTTTAAATGTTTCATCGTTTGAGAGTGAAGAGGAATTATGGTCAAAATGAGTTTTAATGGAGCTGAAACTATAATAATATTTAATTTACATTTTTTTCGCAAATATTAATTTTAACTTTAAAAACCACATGATTTTCGGCTCTTAATTGAAAACTAGAAATAAAATATTCATTAAATTCAAAGCCGATAAAAACTGAACCGTCTCAATATCCTTAACTGCAGAGACTCTCCATCCCCATTAATTCAGGTCGTTCCGATTGCAAGAGATGATAAAAAAACATTCGCCGCATTCATTTGCATCGAGTGCTCATTTGAATCTGCAAATCCAGCCAAACCGCATCCATCTGTGCAGCCGATCGAAATAATTTTCTGACTGACAAGCCGTCCGTGCGTCAACCGCTTTTGTATAATTTCAGTGTCCGGATACAACACGCGGGACAAAACGGCTTTTTGGCTTGTACGGAAAATAAAACCGCGAATTCGCTCGGAATGTTTTTTAATCAGCAGGATCGTCGGCGCGCGATTCATTTTTCTTATCAAGCTTGTGCTCGGCCGACCACGCATTGCGCAGGAAAAGTTTGTTTCGTGTGGTTTTGGAATTGGAGGAGAATTCAGATTAATTGATGATGTTCCAACACAATGGCAAATTATATGAAATATATTTTTCCTGTTTCTACTTTTAGCTTTTTTGATGAAAATGCAATCTCTGAAGTCGTCTTTATATAACTGCTTTTGACAGCATGTTTTTGAATAAATACAGAAAAAAGTGGTAAAAATTAAAAAAAAAATAATAATTTAAATTAGAAAATAAAACCTGAACTTTTTAAAGCCACAAATAAATGATTTACTAAATATTCAAAGAAAAGAAAATGGGTTTTTGCTACTTTTAATTTAGCTACCTTCACTCACAAAGAAACTGAAACTTCAAAAAACTAAAAATATAAGTTCTCATTAAAAAAGACTAAAAAATTTATTATCAAGCAACAAATTTTTCCATGTAAAAACTCTTTTCCACTCTGAGCTTTTTGCTGTTTGTTTCAAAGCCGGCGTGCGCATTGATTGGGGGCGAAAAAGGGCGGCCGCGGGTTTTGGCAGCACCTCTGCAATTCGCCGAAATCACGAGCATGTATAGTTTTGCTCAAAGGGAAACAAATTTAATTGTCCCTTGTTGGGCGGTCGGCGGCGGCGGCGGCGGCGGAAAGACGAGCAACGCGCGTGACACAGCAAAGGCTCCAGGGACATCATTTGAATGTGCACAAAACCCCGAATGAATCACCATCGTGTTTTCCTTTATCTCGGGTGTCGTTTGCGAAATTCCAGCCGTAAACTGCTGCTTGCAACGCGTCACTTTTTTTTTGTCTCCAACCAGGATCAAAGCAAGGCTGCTCAAAAGCCAACATATTTGTCGCGCAATTTATAATCGTGACATCTCGACTTGCGTCGTAAATCAAAAGGGGCAAAAATTTTATGATAAAACATTTCTTTTCTTTGAATTGCTATTTGAGCTTTTAAATTTTAATCTCTAACAATATTATCAAAATTCAATTGAAGTGTTAAATAATCATATTTTATTTACACATCATTTTATAATAATTTTAAATCAAAATTCAAAACATTCTTTATAGGTAAAGAACAAAAATTTGAAAATAATTAATTCTCACATTAATGAATTCAAAATAGAAATTTAATTTCAAGCTCCACCTATATAATGAGTTAAATTTTCGACCCAGTTCCCTTCTTATTTATTTTCCCGTCTTTCTTTTTCTTCGTTAATTACGATCCCAGTCGCATCAAAGAAAATCCACGCATTCTCCTCCCCAAAGCAACAAACCGAGTATAATTAGAGACCACCCCTGTGCGTATGTGTTTGCGTCCTCACCCCTATCCAACTCACACCCTTAACCAAGGTTTCCCTCGCTCAAAGTGTCACTTATATTCATATATGCTAATGAGGGAGGAGTTGAGATGAACAAAGAAAGGCGCCGAATTAAAATAAAAGCCGTTCTCGGAATCAAGTTATTTTTCATCCCTTTCTTCTTTTTTCGGTTGTTTATAATTCAACCAATCAAGTTAAATAATGCGATTGACTGTCTGTTCTTGTAATTAGATTTCACTGGTTGGAGGAAAACGCAAATTGTGCTTTTTTTATTACCTGAATTTGGCAGATCATTTCGCCGTAGGGCCAGCAGTGCAGCAGCGTGGGCAGGAAAGCGAACGGGGTGACCAGCAACCCGATGGCGAGGTCATTGCACGCCAGCGACGTCAGCAGGTACCGCGGCTGGAACAAAAACCACAAAAATACTCGATGAACAATTTAAAAAATTGAGCTATTTAACTAAAAATGCAATAATTATTAATAAAAATTTGTGCATTTTAGTTGATTTCATGATGCAATTTATGATTTGCAACAAAATCTGACCATTCTAGTTTGAATTTTCTGTCAAATTTGTTTTAAATTGTTTAATACGATCAAGGTTTAGTTTTATGATTAAATTTTCTGTATTTCAAATTTCAAACTAGTTAAATTCATTTTAAAACACTTGATTATGAATTAAAACTAATCACCAATTTTTAATGGAAATTTCAAATTAGTACCTGTGCGTGAATGTACTTGGCGTATCTTCTGCTGTTGATGACGAAGATGAGCAAAATGTTGGCGGCGAGGATGCCGACGCTGAGCAGCAGGATGAAGAGCGCCTGGACCATGTCGATGATGGAGGGCACCGTCGACCACCAACCCGCAGCCATGCTCGTCGCGTACCGGGGGTGTGAGCAACTGCTGTTGTGGAGCGGGGGCGGCAGCAGCCACGTCCCCTTCGGATCCAGCACTGCGACAAATTTTTTCATTCCAATTACAAAAAACAAATGAGATTGTCGCAATTATAGAAGTTGTGAAGCGACCTCATTAGCTCCGATATAAAAAGAAGAGTTTTCGCAAAGGACACACTCTCTAATTTCACGCATTAATTAAAAGCGGCGCTGCCAGCGAAAGCAACAGGCGCGGGTCGTTGATTAATTAATGTGCAGAGGCAGCAGCCAGAGACAGACCCTCGTGTTTTGTTTATTATTCGCCAATTGGGCCGAGAGTGTTGCACTTGATGGCCCCCCTGCGCGTTTCACGCTTTTAAAGCTTCCGTCAAATTTTTAATATTTCATATCTCGGGCGAGATTAATTACGAAATAAAATAAACTCGCAGCCTGCAACCGACGCACTTGAAACGTTTGAAAGAGTTGATAGTGAGCTCATTATAAATGGAATTATTACATAAATCAAACTCTGCATAGTAAATTTCAAATTGAGCTTTATATTACTATTCATATATACATTAAAATTTCCAATTTGGGGCTCAAATTTCGATAAATAAATCTATGATTGCCGGTAAAATCGTTTGAAATTTATGCCAAATTCACATGAAATGGATCAAAATCTGCGGGGCCATGAGTGATTTTGCAATTTCTAAAGCAGTCGCGTTGAAATGCAGATTAATGCGGATTAATCAGACTCTCGCTGTAGCTCCGAGTTAATCGAGACAAACAACTGGCTCGGCAAAAACGCTCGCTGCAATTAGCAACTATTTATTCAAATTTGGAGCCGCCATCTATCACAATTAGCGGCGCCATTCACTCAAATGCTTATGATCATAAATCACAAACAATCCGTGTCTTGTTTGCAAAGCTTGATATGTTGACTGCCTGCACAGTTGGTATAATAAAGTATGAAATGCTCGGACATCCGACTAACACAGCACATGCTCCAGATTTCAACGCAAATAAATTGCAAACGGAAACATAAATTGCATGAGTCTCTGCGCTTCAAAAGACCATTGAATAAGAACTGTTAAATTAACATATAAATGCAGTTCAAATAAATCTATAAATATTTTTCAACATACAAAATGTTTCTGATAAAATTTAACAACCTCCTAAGGATGTTCTTCAAAGCTTTTGCTATAAAAAAAAACGCGAATTTGCATTTTATCAGACGAAAAAATGGGGAATTCCAATTGAAAATAATTGGAAAGAAAAAACTGGAGTGATTCGAGCTCTTTAATTAGACTGGCTGCGAGTGCAAGTTCCGCGGTTCGTTGATCTTTCTCTCTGTGTCTCCATCTGCAGTGCGCTAACTTGGCGCTAACTCTGCACTCGCCCGGCCACCACCATGAATGGGGTGAAATTTAAACCATTCACGTTTGAAGCGCAAAGAACTCCATTCTGCTCTTTTGCTCGCAGCCAATTGAGCAGGCGACTCGCTCGTCCATTGTTCTCCGCACGCTTTCACCACTTTTATTGTTGTGCTTATTTATAGCTGAGTAGATGGACGAGTTTATAGCAAAAATAAGGCGCCACTCAACCGTGCACGCTCCTCTATTCACGCAAAATAATATATTGAATGGACACGATTGCCGCAGAGCAGTCGATGACTTTTTATACAAAAAAGACTAAAAGCTCAGTTTGTCACTTTCTCCATCTTCATTTTGTTCAGTTTTTTTATTCTTTAAAATAATTATTTTTTATAATATTGATGAATTTATTTGAAAATTCTACGGTTTTTAATTAGTAGTATCTCCACGTTTCTGTTTCAATTAAATTTTTATCATCAAAATAAACTTTGTCTGATAACCAAAGAGAAAACTAAATCAAGCGTATTGAAATTGAGCTATTTTTGCCCATTTTTTTTCTTTTCAAAATGAACAAACTATTTTCATGATGAGTTTTGATGTTTTAAATCAAATAAAAGCACCGTTTAAATTCATGAATGAAACACATTTTTCAAAACTTTACCCTGCTTTTTGTATGTTAATTTAAATTCCGCACTGCAAAGTTTTGACCAGTGCAAAACTTTTCAACGACAACGAATTCCATAAAGAGATCCAGCCTATTTTGAGTCACGCCGTGTTTATTTCTGAAGTGGAGTTTTTCATGAACAGACAATAAAAGTGGTCTTTGAAGCAGAAGCAATATCGCCTGCATTCAGCTGACCCGCGGCACTGGGTCAGCTAAGTATGATCTTCATCTCTGCGGCGCGCATCGCAAACAAACTCCTTTGTGCGTCTGTTGCCTTGAATGGACCGCAATTTAAGGGCAGAGGCAAATGAAAAAGCGGTTCCGCCGCCGACAAAAAAAGCAGACGCATTTCATAAGTTTGCGCCGATTCTTCTCTGCTCAGGAATTATTCGTGCTGACCGCGAATTTATTTATTATCTGCGCGTGCGGCACGAGATGCAAAGGGTTGAATTCTCTCCTCCCCTTTTCCGAAGTCTAATTAAACGGAGCGTGTTCGGATGAATCGCTGGCTCTGGGGAGATTTTCGCGACTGCGGGGAGTTCAAGAGAGATTGTTTGTTTTTTTTTTACCACGCGATGATGGATGCGGTGGCGGCGCTACTGCGATGTTCCCCGCTTGTTTTCGCTAAATTGAATCTGCTTTCTCTCTTCAAAATGGCGAGAGTGATACTTTTCCGCCACTCCGTCATTGTTTCGACGACGGCAAACAGTTTTGTCGCAAATTCACTTCTATGAGAAATATTTATAGTTTTATAGAACTTCAGTTTTATCGATAATTCCAACAAAATGAATATAATTCTCCTTCTGCTAAAAAACGACCTATGATTAATTTTGATGATTATTTTTTTTCGTGTAGCAAAGGATTCGAAGTCTCAATTCCCCTGGTGAAATTATATAGTTGCAAATTGTGTTTATTGATCTATCACAAAGGCAATTGCTGCCCATAACGGGATACATCATTTATACATTCAAAATTATACAAGTTAATATAATGAGAGAAAAGATGATAATTTTACATACAAATTTTTACAATAACAAAATACAAAACAAAAAGAAAAATTAACAGTAATAAAGTTCTTTGGACATTTTTTTTTTATATAAGAAAAATTCAAATCAATAAGAGAATTGAATTTAAAAAATAAATATTGTCTCTTATAGAAGTTTTCTAAAATAATTCGCTCTTAACATTTGCCTAGTTAAATCACCTCAATTAAGTTGGCAAATTTGAAATCAATGAGAATCTTAATTTCAAAATTTACATCGATGAAACGATTAAGTAAATTTTTCAGTATCGAATAAGCTTTTCATTAATGACGTAAAAAACGCGGTGATTTATTAATCTGGTTGTAAGTAATTTAAGGAATTTTAAGATGATTCATTAAAAAAAATTGGCCATTTTGTACCGAAATAAGCGTTCAGGCAATTGACTCTCTCTCATTTTCAGACACTTGAGCTTTTGCTGGCCGTTCTCATTCATGAGCAGGACGCGATTCATATAAAAGTGGGTCCCGGAGCGTTTTCGAGACTTGTCTGCGGTTTTCATATTTTGCATCGGCCGAGCTGAGCCGAGGGTGCAATATAAAGGGCGGCTAATTGCCGCGTTTTAGTGCTGTCGGCTGTTAAGTCGGGCATCAACACCAGAGACGAGTGAGATGAGTCTGGCGGTCCAGCACATCTGCCCGCGCCTGTTGATGTGAAGCCGTAAAACGCGGTGCACGCGTCGTAAATGAGAGCTAATTGAGGCGACGAGACGCACTCTCGGGGTCGTCGGCCTTTGATGCTTTTTCGCCTCATTTCACCTCGCGGCTAATTTAATTATGAAGCCTTTGACGAGGATAGATAGGGGAGGGGCCGATGTCTGATTATTCCAGAACCGAAGCCCGCATCATCATCATCAGATATCAGAAAAGCCAAACCGTTTCCGAATGAACGGCTGAAGTTGAAGTTGGGCTCGTGTTTGAAGAGAACTTTGTTCATCGGAATTCTGTGTGGGTTCCCAGAAGCCACACTAATGATCCATTTTACTTTTAATCTTGGTACTTCGATTTCAACAGAATATATTTTGTAAAATTGCCAACGATCAAGATTAAAATTTCTAAAATATTTCAAGACTAAAACCACAAACTCTGTAATAAGAAATTTCTATTATTTTTATTTATCTTCTAAAAGAGATCAGATAAAAAGCAGGTTTTTTTAAACCCTTTTTTGTGCTCATTTTTTTCTATTGTTGGTTTTTCCTCTGTTAGGGTAAAAGGATTTCGTGCCTTGCGTCTATAATTTGGCTCAAGACCGCCGTTTTTGTGCGAGACAAGTCGTCGTTGAAAGAGCAGGTAGAAAAGTTGCTCGAATTCATGAGTTTGCTGGTCCGCTCGGGACAACTTTTCAGGGTTATTTTTCGGTGAGACATGCAAAGCAGCGGCCGGTGCACATTTATTTCACTTGGCGAAAGATCTGTCTCGGGGGTGGAAACGCGGCTGATGCATGTTATTGTTGCGGCGCGCCTATTAAATATTACCTCGGCGCCGCCGCCATGAATAAGATATTATGTTTGCGGCGGTTTGGGACGCGACCCCGCCGGCTTCACTAATTTTATGCTGATGACAATGTGGCTTTCGGGCTTAACGAAACGTGAGACAAGCTCAACAGCAAACTAATAGAAATGACATCAAAATTATGGACAATTATATCAATTTTTTTTTTCAAAACTTCAATCAATAATAATAATGGTTTAAATTTTGACAAGTGTGAAATTGGTAAATGAAATAATTCAATTTCTGGTTTTACTTCAATGCACAGTCGATTTCCTCGTTATTCATAATTTTTTTTTAATTGATTAAAACTAAATGTCGCTTGATTTTGATAATTTTTTTTCCTTTTTAGGACTTATTTATTTTTAAAATTTAATAAATTGGCCTTTTTCATTTCTCTTTTTACTGAAAAGAAGCCAAATATAGTCTTTAATAAAAATCCATTATTGCCCTCCTCGAATATCCTGATCCTGAATTCTCTAAAAATCTCATCTTTTCTTTACAGAAAATGTCAAG